TTGGCTGACTAAAGCAAGCATCCATTGGTTCCTGTAGCTTTTCTCTTTGCCTTTTGTTTTATTACAGCTTCAAGTAAAAGCTTCTCTTCTGAGGTGAGCCCTGCCTTGCAGGACTAGTTCTTTGGCCGAGAGAGTCGCTACCAGGCTTAGCTCAGAGAGCTTCCAGCTCTGTGTCAAATGTAGTGGAGTAAGGAAGTGGCATCCAGCGGACCCCAGGTCCAACAATGGTGCGGTGCCATAGGGCTGCTGGCACCATAACCACTACAGTGTGATGTAGTGGTTATGGTACTTGGAGTGTTCTTTTAATAATTTTAAAAAAATTTTTTAAAGATGGCGCTAAAACGGGCAACATGACAGATCACATTTCATCAGATTTTAAAAGTGTAAATACCGATTGTTTAGAAAAGTGTAAATACAGATTGTCTTTAGTCGGTGTCACACATTGGCTGTGGTTGCAGAGATTGCCAAAGCTCTCTGCCTTTCCCATTACCTACATCGAGCTCCCCCTCTTTCCAGGTTCAAAGCTCCCCAACGCCAATCTTCTGCGTCACAAGGTTCCTAGTATCATACAGGAGGGGATTCAGCTGTGAACCTTTGTTAAAATGTACCAAAATCAAAGATTGGAGCAATTATTGAGCGATACTCAATGAAAAAAATGTATTTACTCATTTAAGAAAACCCATTAGAAACCCCTGTGGCATTGATAACAGAGTCCATTTATTGTGTGTTGATGCTATTAAATGTATAGTTTTTATGGCTCTATGTATTTAATCATGTTATCCAATGAAGAGAAACCAGTATTTTTATACCTTACGAGCATGAATCTGTTTTCAGCCTTGCAGTAGCAGTAATGGGCTGGGAAATGTTTAATTAAACCAAGAGCTGTAAAAATGGAAGCATGCAGTGACTGGGACCCCACGTGTCGGAATCTACGGGGCTTGGTGTGTCAAATTAGAAAGGAAAATACACTATTTTGTGATTTTAATCTAGAAAGATTCACAAGCACTATTTTTTTAAATTAAAATTTGAATTTTTGGGGAATTTATCAGAGATTTGCAAATGTAAGGCCAGAACTGCAGAGCCGAAGCAGTTTGCATAATAACCTATAAAATTTGTAATTCCCTGGTGAACTCCTGACGTGTCACAATTTAGTGGAAAACCCTGAGGGTTATTCACTAAACCATGAATTGTAGAGAATTTAAAATGGACTGTGACTTCTCCGGTATAAAGTTAATTATGCAAAAAGTCACTCGCTCAGAGTAATGCAGGCACAAAGCCCCTGCCCTTCGGGCCGTACCTATGTAATAAGAAATTTAAATACCAGCAGCACTGACTCTTGGGCGAAGGTTATCATGCAAAGCATCCAATAACGCAGACCTGGCAACGTTTGGACACATCTAGTGTAAGGATAGAAAAAGACGCTGTAGGTGTTTAAATGGTGTCAGGATCCCTCTGCCTGTTACAGGTTATCCCCAGGTGCTCTGGACCTACTTGATTCGCTGTTAAATTCTATACATGTGCACACATGCTTGGGCTGTTCTTCCACAGTGCAAAACTTAAAGCATGCTGACTAGTGATGTCGCGAACGGTTCGCCACGGACTCATCATTGAGTAAACTTTGACCCTGTACCTCACTGTCAGCAGACACATTCCAGCCAATCAGCAGCAGACCCTCCCACCTCCTGGACAGCATCCATTTTACATTCATTGTGAAGCTGCATTCTTAGTGAGCTGTCCAGGAGGTGGGAGGGTCTGGGAGGGATGGTCTGCGGCTGATTGGCTGGAATGTGTCTGCTGACTGTGAGGTACAGGGTCAAAGTTTACTCAATGATGAGTCCGCGGCGAACCGTTCGGGACATCACTAATGCTGACGTATGTATGGCACTGTGGGGGTTAAACTAATTTACATGGTGTACTTTGGCTATGCCAGGAGAGGGTGGTACACTATATATTATTAAATTAAAAAAATGGTATGGAATTCAAAACAACCTTTAATTGCTTATCAAGCTGTACATTACAGGGTTACTTCAAGCACCATAGCAATTTCAGTGATTCGAGTTTATCTCACGATAACATCATGGTAAATAATCAGCCAGCCCAGATGACCGCGTAGGACAGGGGTAGGCAACCTTCGGCACTTCAAATGTTGTGGACTACATCCCCCATAATGCTGGCAAATCAGCTGCAGTGCCGAAGGTTGCCTATGCCTGGCACAAGACATCATCAGACAATCGGAACAAGAGTTTCAGACTGGGTAATGTCAGTTCTGTGCTAATTTCAATGCACAGATACGCACTGGTTGGCTAAGAGGGGTTAGCCGACGCTCTCAGCCAATGAATAAGCAGCAGGATCGCCATCCGGATTCTGTGGTGCTAAACTAGCCTTTAGAGGAGACCCCGCGCCTAGCAGGACACGTTAAAGGGCAAAAAGAATGTTGCATCATAATAATGGAACACTACCAGCTACTCCTATCATCACAGCCATTCCAACAGGCTATTATAGGAGCTTGGAGTAACACTTTAAGCTTGGAATTGACATTTGTGCTTTGAAATTTTAGTTCGGAATGCAGAATTGTGAAGAAAAAAAAAAAGTCTCCAACTAAGCTATTATGACATACAATTCTAAATCTACTGATCAGTTCCCAACAATTCAAGGATTACTGAATAACCCTGAAAACATATCAATATTTCAGGATAAGGAAACCAAACTTTTATTACTTACAATACACTATTACAGGGATAGGCAACCTTCGGCACTCCAGATGTTGTGGACTACATCCCCCATAATGCTGGCAATGCATCATGGGAGGTGTAGTCCAAAACATCTGGAGTGCCGAAGGTTGCCTATGCCTGCACTATTACATATTTTAAAGTGCATACCAAATCACCTTAGAGATGAATTCACTGAAAAATGGCTTATGGCATAATTGGCTCCAACTGTGATTTAACATGTAGGTTGAAATCTGTAACCTACTTACCAGCCTTCCTAAATCCAGCATAACATTCCTGATTATATGGCACTTATGCCATTATCCTGGATTCCTTCTTCTGAACTGACTCATGGGCATTTATGCTTCAATTTCACTCTGTATATGGGCACCACTGCTTGGCAGCCAGTTATTTTGGCATGCATCTGTGCTGGGATTACATGCTGCCATTAATGGGTGCAGTGGCATAAATGTCATCGCTTCTACGTCTCCTAGATTCAAAATTGCCAAACTTGGAATGTATGACGGAAGCTAGTTTGAGCTCTCGTCATCTCTCGTTCCTGCACTTAGAACGTGCCCTGTCACAATTATGCATGTCGTTTACTCATTGTACTGTGAAATGCTATGGTACCTAGTCAGAAGGCTGTAAAGCCAATGTAGTTACATTATGTCACAAAATTAATTCCGCAGCCCAAGGAAAAAAAATTATTATTTGTGAGGATACACATACAGTAACTGTTTATTTAGACATCTCTAGAGCACACGTGAACCCTTAGTGTTTAGAATCCCCTCCACAGCTGTAGAGTTCAGGAAGTTACAGTTACTGGGTGCCTTGCTAGGACGGAGCTGCCATCGAGTATAGTGCAGGGGGGAACCTTCCCAGGGAATTGATTAACTGGAAATAGAGGATGTGGCTGAACTGCCATCAAAACAGAGGTGGTTTGAAAATGAGTGAAGCTCGGTATTTATTTGAGGAAGGGGACGGGGACGGGACTTGATAAGCCCACCATAGCAAAGAAAAATAATACATGAACCCACATCAAAACATCTGCTGTGAACTAAAATATGTTGGGACAATATTTGGGGCTTTTTATTAGCCAAATAGAAGATTAACATAGTTACTGTCTGTAACTTCAAAACAGTGATCCACACTTACTTACTATCGCAAATCCCAAGTAACATTGTGGAAGACTAAGATTTAGAGAACTGTCTTCTTTCTCCTTTGCTCACTCATAGCAAGATCAAATGCTTTCATTAAAGTGCCACGGCCAGTTTAAGGTTTTTTCATATAGGCAGAATCTTTATGAAGAAATCGTATAGACAGCGTTGAAACTTCACTGAGATTCATACAAATCAGAAGGAACATTGGGGACCTTTTGCGCAAGCTCATCCAAGCTTCCCCATAGAAAAGCATTGTATTCCATGCTTATTTAGTAGCTCCCACATCACATGACCCAATTTTATTCAGCGCCTCTGGTGGCTGCCAGTATTACAGTCACTCTTACTGAGAGGGTAGTGGATGCAAGGAATAGCCTTCCAGCCGAAGTGGTAGAGGTTAACACAGTAAAGGAGTTTAAGCATGCGTGGGATAGGCATAAGGCTATCCTAACTGTAAGATAAGGCCAGGGACTAATGAAAGTATAGAAAATTATGCAGACTAGATGGGACGAATGGTTCGTATCTGCCGTCACATTCTATCGTTCGATGTTTGAAGCTTGGTGGATTTAACACTGCAATGTAAGCATTGTAGGGTTAAACCTACATGGCCACTGCACCCAGACCACTTCATTCAGATGAAGTGGTCTACATGACTTTAGTGTCCATTTTAACAGTAACCACTGGTTCTGGTCAGAGTAACTCTTCTACTCCTGGTTCTGCCTGTCAAAAAAAAAAAAAGTATGAATTCTTCCTCAGCATGCTGTGTGATGACTTATTTTGGACTGGCTGATGATGATGCTTACACCTTTGACAGTAGAAGGGTTAATCCCTGTACATGTTTCTTTTCATAGCGTAACGATGTACATACAAATTGGTCATGGTGCTTGAAGAACCCTTTACGAAGAGAATTCTAAGTTTTAGGCAAGAACAGATTAACTGGAACATTTCTCCAAAGCAGCATTTTGTTCCAAACACTGCTATTTTAGTGAATACATCCCATACCAAAAATATCCTTCTGACAAAATTTAACTACACCTTCTCCCCCGACCCCCTTAAAAGTCTCAATTTTAATTTACACGCCCTACCTGGCTCTCTGGGAATAGCATGAAAATAAAAAAAATAAATCCTGAGCAGGGTACACATATGGCGTGTCTCGTGGATACCATACCATCACAAACACTGGCGACATCATGTGGTATTGAAGTTACCCTCTATATGAGAGTAAAGCAGAGGTAACTTCTTACTGTAAAAACATGTCAATAGCACTTATTGGGGAATGGAAACGAAGAATGGACACTTCTAAGGTTTTACACAGCCTGTGAGGACCAAATTTGTCTCACACTTTACTTGCACTAGGGTAAGCTCTCACTCTATATTTACCTTTCTGTAATCCTTTCCTCTTTCATAATCTGTTCCTCATTTCCTGTCTAGATCTATTTAAAAATATAAGTCAAGGACTATTTTGTTTCATGTATTTTTGAACTGTGAAAATGGGGAGGCAACAGGAATATTGAACAGTTTGGTGGCACGCTGATGACTAGGGTGGAAGGTTGGGAGAGAACATCCAAAAAGAATCTAGTGCAACCATCACAGAACCACTATAAAAGATTAGTTACATTTTAAAAATGTTGGCCATGCAACAAACATTGTTGGATCTTTCCACACTTTACATGAGGACATCCAGAGTCTTCAAATCTCCCGTAGGAAAGTAATGATTCAATGCTTGCCTACGGTGAAGGCCTAATGGCATGTAGTGCTCGCCACGTATGCACATTAGTTTGCCTTTCGATGTGGACAACAGAGGAGGCGGAGATGGAGCCAGCACCACCGAGCGACTTTGGCGTTGGAATAAGGTGAGTGATTTGCTGGTTTTTAAACCTTTTAACTGCCACGGGGGAAGAAAGAGCAGCTTTGTATTCCTAATACTAAAGATTTAATTTAAAGGGCGAATTTTACAAAATATGCAAAATTTCTAGCATTACATACGAGGTAAGGTGCTTAATTCTTGAATGAGATTCCCCCCCCCCACTTTTTAAAAACAGGCTGTTACTTACAACTGCGGAAACATGTTTATTCACAAATATCCCATTCTAAACAGTGGTAGACCAACCATACAAGAGTCTTGATATTTTATTGAGCTGTTCCCTCACAAGACCTACACAATGCAAAGGAAAGCAGGAGTCTGGCAGTCACGTGTCCTTCAAGTAGAACAATGGCCTTGACACTGATTATTATTCCTACACAAGGCTCCTTATAGCTGGCTCTAATACATTAGCAATACAAGAAACAATTAAACTACATCTTGTCATACACGGAAGAGTTTCAATCTACCCACTGGAGTGTCCTGCAACAAAATAATCCCAATCTGTATGATGTCAGGTTTGTCCCTTGTGCCAGGTGAGTTTTCAAGATACTGTTTATCTTCTGGTTTTAAGCTTGACATATTACACATCGTCCCATTTCCAATTTAATAGGAAACCAATGGATCTGCTTATGGTCGAATGTGCTGGGGATGTTCTTGCCAATTTAAGCAGATATAAAAGCATGTTTAGCATTAGTGCAAAAAAAAAACCCAAGGTGAAATAATTGGCGCTAATATAAACAAATGTCAATAGTGATTAGCGCAGGGGAAAATTTGTGTTCTATATCCACTGTGAGCTCTCATGAACAAATTAAAACAAAGAAAATTTATCTGTGCAAACATGGCTCATGAATACTTCTATTTATCTTCAAAGATTCTGGTAACGATGTCACACAAAAAACAAGGACAAAAATGGTGAAATATGCTTTGACTACTGTACAAACATCCGCCCCAAACTACTGAATTTCCAGCTCACATTAGTCAGAGGAATCAATATTGCTCAATAGCGGTTTTTTGTTTTTTTTGTCCAATCCGAAGAGAAAGGCGACTTCCATCACATACATCCATAAGAGCAAGAGAGGGGCAGAAGGTAGGTAAACAGTACTTTATAATTTTATATATATTATATATATATAGATAATATAAATAAAATGCTCACACAAAGTCAATTGTAAGAAGCCGCCTACTTATGGGTAGAGGTTTTTCAGTGTGCAGTTTGGTAAACTTGCCCCTCTCAATTAAAAAGCCAGGTTTATAAAGATGCCGAATGGAGAAAAAAAACAAAAAAAAAAACAATCGGCACAGCAAGTTTGGATTTTACATGTGACTATTTTATGTTTTAAGTAGTAAAAGGAATGTGCCTAAGCTTTTACGATCACCATTTACCTACCTTTTGGTCCCCTCTTTCTCTTATGAATGTCCATGTGTGCCGACATCAAATACCTATTATGCTGGGATAGTACCAAAAATACAGTTCATGTGTAATATTTATTTCCCTGAAGAATGCAAGATAAAAATCAACTAGTTTGAGGGAAGAACTGTTCACTATTCGATATATTACACTATTTCTTGTCCTTGTATAATTAATGCATCTTTCAAGAAAAATATAAGTATTTAGGTGTTGTGTGAAGTTGCACCAAGGTGTTTATGTTTGTACATAAATGCGTTTAGTGCTAAACACGAACGTCCTTCTTAAGATTCAATGACAAAAGCCACTGCTCCCTTTCGTCCACAATGGGTGTAAAAATATAAGCATGGGGTGGAACAGGCCATTCTGTGGTTGGAATGGTGTTAAGAGGAGAGGGCATTGCGTCAAGAGCTTCTGCTTGTGTCACTCTAGATTCTTAAGGTTTGACAGGGAGGATGGGGAGAAGGCTGCCAAATTTAAAATGTTGAATCACAGGAAACTTCTCCAAGCACTGCAAAGAAAGAGAGAGAGCGAAAAAGAAACCTTTAGACATAATTATTTGCAGTACATGGGGTTCATGGAAAATAGCAAGAAAATGTACATTGTGCATTTACATTTGTCCTATCACATATATAAAGAATATACAGTATACAAATTACTTCTTGTGGTCTCTGTGCCATTCTAAGGTGAAAGCAGACCAAACACTAAAATTCCATGTTGTGTGTATTGTGCTTTTACTAATATAAATTCCAGACAGAATACAATAAAAAAAAAAAAAAAGCCACCTTAAAAAGATCTACCATCTTTAAAAAAAAACAAAAAAACCCCCACCACCACTAAAATTTCAAAACTCCCCCTCCAATTTACTATGTACATTTTGTAGGCCTTAGATTTATAGATTGCACATATTAACGCTCATTCTACAATGCTGCTGAATGTGTTGGTGGCATTATATAAATAACATTCAATGGTTACACCAACCACCAGATTTATCTTCACTAGTGTTTCCGGCAGACATGACTGTTCTACATGGTCTAATGTCAATTATATGCAAAACGTTTGCACTGTGCACTGGCGACAGACATCATCAGCTTCTATCCATGCAGGTAGCAATGTCCTCCCCCTCTTTTCAGCCTCCTTGTATTGTTTAGTGCTAGTTTTTATTTTTTTTAAGTTATATCCCTTTGTCCACCCTCCATTTCCTTCCTTCCTGGCCCTGAGCAGGTGGGGACAGTCCAACCAAATGATTCTATATAAGAAGAATTTGATTGGACCTCATGAGAGAAGCACTGATGTCAGATGGGGCGTTCAAACCAGCAAGGCAAGTTCCTTTATTTTACCCTGTTTTCTTAAATATAAATGAGAGGGACAACAACTTACTAATGCCCAACAGATTATGCTAAATAATAATGAAAAAAGTGTTGGATTAACTGAAGTATTTTAGAAGAAACGGTACAGTGAAATATTTCTCTGGTTTCCATTTATGCTTAAATAAAAACACTGTAGGAACCAAACAACTTTAGCTTAATGAAGCAGTCTAGGGGTATAGATTATGCCCCTGCAGTCTCACTGCTCAGTTCTCTGCCATTTAGACATTAATTTGCTTTGTTTATACTGCATTGTCACACCTCACTGCATTAGATGATTCTTTACATGAAGTGTTTAAGAAGGCTGTGACTGCACAGCCTTCCTAAACACTTCCTGTAAAGTGTCATCTAATGTTTATACTTCCTTTATTGCACAGTATTTTTAATTTCGAAAAAAATAAATAAAATATTTCCTGCTCTGTTAATAGTCTTCTAGACTCTCGCAGGAGCCTCCTGTGTGTGAGATTAATGTTCAATTTACAGAGCAGAAGGTAAAAGAATCTACAGCAAGTTAACATCTGACTGGAAATTAAACCATTTGTTTTCGTACAGACTGTCAGTCACAGCCAGGGGAGGTGTGGCTAGGGCTGCATAAACAGAAACAAAAGTGATTTAACTCCTAAATGACAGTGGATTGAGCAGTGAAACTTCAGAGGCATGATCTATACACCAAAACTGCTTTATAAAGATAAAGTTGTTTTGGAGCCTTTAGTGCCCTTTTAATGGTGCAGCTGTTATTTTACCAATCTAAATTGAAAACATTTTATTTACACAGGAAAAACTACAGACTGAGTAATTATTTTAGGCAATGAAGAAGTAAAGGAAAACTGCCTAGAGTCTGCTGCTCCTTGCCACCACTACCATTGACAGGGCCTGAAGTTCCTAAACAAGAATGTCCGTTAGCCTCATGAACTAAGCCTTTAAATGTAAGGCTTAGCTAATTGGTTGCGAGTGTCAGCTGATCTGTCAGCCAATGAGCTAAGCCTGGCAACTTACAGCTCTCCGGTGCTGTTATGACGGCAGGCAGCAGCTCCCGGCAGACCCCAGCTAAGAAGCTAAAACATTAAAAAACGGTTTGACTCCATACAAGGGTGTGGCCATTGGGGCACTCTGTGCTGGCACCATAAGCACTAAAGCGAGCTGCAGTGGTTATGGTGCTCGGAGCGTTCCTTGAACACACAATGCTATTTCACCAGCTGACAATAATTATAACACCACCATGGATTATTTTAAAACCGAAAAAGCATTGTCTACAGTGGAAGTGAATCTTGCTACTTTAAAAATTGCCTTGGATTGGCAATATAATTTCATTTGCGTAGCCTACTCTCAGTCTAGTAACTTGATGGGAGAATCACAAGATTGTGAATAAGCCAGGTTTGTAATGGCAACACTGCTACCCATCCTAAACATTGTGATTATTGATTCACAATAGACTTGTACTGCTGTTATAAATAAGAACACTCACAGGATTCTAGCAGTTATTTATTTTAGATCTGGAAACATTCTCCAAGTTACCTTTTGACTTGAGATATAAAATTCACTTTCATTCCTGACCATTTACAATTTAACGAACGACTCCGTTCGATAAAGCATCGTTATAGAATACATGCCCCGACTGAAGCACAATCAGAAGAATTGAGGAGGAAAATGCAACTTTTAGTCCAAAATAGACGAGATTTTAAAAAAACAACAAAAAAAAAAAACTAGCTCAGTTGAAAAATTGTTCCAATAGAATGTTTTCTTTACGAAGTCACAGTTAAGTAGACAAACTTGTCAGTTCACTGTATTATGTTTTAGGATGGGAGTACAGATCTATGGAAAACTCAGATTTAAACCACCTTTCAAGGTGAGAAGGTGGAGTTCTGTCTCGAACGAGTCCTTTAAAGTTCTGCTGTTTGCACTGTGTTGCTTAGTGTTTTACATAGCAGTAAATGCTGTTAGGATAACGAACAGGCTTGCTGATTAAGACCTGATGAAACACAGAGGGAGGGGACTGTTTGAGTTCTTGGTTTCTACAGGAAGTTTACTGGTAATAGACTTTCCACGTATGTGTGGGAAGAGACAGCAAGATCTGCAGCTGTGCTTTCCAAACAGGGCAATAAATGGTGTTAACTCTTCCCCGTATCTCAGGAGGTGCTGTCAATTTGCCCCCAAGCTGCACCGTATTAAAATCTACTATGATAGCTATCCTAATAATCAAATATACAAATACAGTACTTCTACTAATTGAAGGCATTTTGCCCGAACTTGCTTGAAGCACACACAGCGTCTATTCTTGTCTAATGAAGGAAGTATCATACACAGATTATACAGATTTAAAAAAATGAGTCGTCTTTTAAAATTAAATATAGAAAAGAGATCTTACACCACTATTATGTGAAACAAAAAGATTCAACCCATAGCTTTCTGGAAGACATTCTAAGAATATGTAACAGCAGAAGTATAAATATAAAACAATAACAAACAAGGCAATATACTTCTGCAATATAGTATTATTTTATTATTTATATAGCGCCATCAGATTCCATAGCGCTGTACAATGGCTAGATGCTGGGTTCTATATTCATGGATTCTAATAGGATTGTTTTTAAAACTGTATTCACTAATTTTGTCCTTCTTCACTATGTACCATGTTCCCAATAGGTAATCCATCTGGACACACTCCGTATATGACTGCACTAATCCTCGGGTGCTGTGATTTGTCTGACCACGGTCTAACCTTGTCAATGAGAATTTAGCCCAGCACAGAACCCACAGGACCCTGCATTGTTTCTTTAAGCTACCATGCCCCTATATGTTTACACCTTAGCGGATGCAGAATATTTCCTTTAAGGTTTTGTCGGATCTGGTACCAAGAAATTTAAACTATTTGGTTTTGGTACCAGATCTGGCATTGAAGGAGATATTGTGCATCAATTAAGGTGTAAACTATTTTGGTGTACAAGGTTAATTTGTGTTAAACATGACATTGTGTGTAAAAAAGAAAAAAAAAAACGGCATTACACTTCATTTTTGGTCCGTTTAAGCTATAATCTTAAAAATGGATCCAGAATTTCAATTATTTTGGGAATCCCTAAAATGACCATTTTTGCAGTTAAGCATTTCTTCAACATAAATTGGAACCCATGATGGTTGTACATACAGCCATCTTTACCTAAGGAAACACAACATAACCTGCAGACCTGAAATTGTGCGATGCTGTGCGAATCATATGGAGAGAGAGAAGTAGTCGCCCTGTTCATTTCTGTCCCATACTGGACTACGGGGAAAGCCATATTCATGTATAGCTTGGAACAGGGTTTAAAGTTTCCACTCGTCACTAACCACTGATCAGTGATACTTTAGCCCTGATGAGTAGACATTTACCCCTGAATATGCTATAGCTTGAAGTGGCAGGCCTGGCTCGTAGCGCATACCTGTAAATTTTGTAAGATGTATATTCACACGTGCTGATGATTTGTAAGCACAAATGTTTTATTAACAACCAAGTTTAGGTCAGGGGTAGATTTTGGACTACATCTCCTATAATGATCTTACAACCATAATGCTGGCAAAGCATCAGGGGAGATGTAGTTCACAATACCCTGAGTGTCAAAGGATGATTTCCCCTGATTTAGCTCATAGTGAGAAATGTAAGAATACATTAAGCATTGTGCGACTGAGAAAGATAGAGACAATGCATTAAACAGTCATCAAAAATAATGAATACATAAAAAAATACTACCTATTAACCTGTTTTCTGCTTCAGTATGTAGAATTTAGATCATCAGTTTCAAGTAGCTTCGTTCGTGAAAACACATGAATGACGCCATGTCTGTTTTAATGAATTGAACAATGCAGGGAGACCAGGACAAAGCAGCTATAACCTCTGCAAGGAGCATAGGTAGTCCATCCAATGAAAGCATTATGTAAATATATACTACAAGAATGTATTAAAAATCAGGACTATAATATAGGGTGCCATTCTGATTACAGTCCTGCCCTTAATGGCGATACTGTGCACCGTATTAATGAAGGATCTGGCAATAGACTGACAATTATTTCATAGCAATTGAAAGATAAAAACACATTTTGATTTTAGATTAAGGCCAAGGTCTGCCGTTCCCATCTTAAAAGCTAGTTGGGGCCGGGGATTTCTTCACCTCTTGTCTCTGTTATATTTCGTATGTAATAATAATAATATTTAATCAATAAATACATTTAAAAAAAAGCAATTTAAGTGGCACTTTTTTCTCTCTTTATTTTAAGTATAACTGAACATCAATTCACTTCCACCCATCGAGCATGCAAAAGTTAGTACATATGGGGGAACTTTGTGATTTAATGAAAATAAAGCAAGAATTATATATTCAGCGGCACATAAAGAGGGGGTGTGGGTACAGGATATTGTACATCACAACATTATTTTACATTGTAAACAGCAGAATTGTGCAATGAGATCAAGACGATAAAGGCTTGGTTCTATTGATTCCCAACCGAGGCACCCCAGATGTTTGCAAACTACAGTTCCCATGGGTGCCAAGATTAGCCATCACGGTGCGTTGTGCTACTGCTAATTTGTGAGCATAGTGAGTCTATCCTTACACACTTGGTGTTTTAGACAATGCAGATTCATGGTAATGATTGCTGGCGTGGCTTTATTTTACTAAAATTTCAAAGTGATAGTAAGTATGATATCAAGCAGGAGTCTTTTACAAATCTGGAAAGTCCAGGGTTAATAAATTGTATGTATAAAGTTGCAGTAATGATAGATAACGGTGAAAGCAAGCGAAGGGAACAGGATCCTGGGAGCCATAGGAGTCCCCTTGTATCCTCTGTTAGCCCGAGCGTGTTGCAGCTGCCGGCTCTGCTGATGTCATGAGGGAGGCTGGGGGAGTGTAGCGATCAGACCACATGGAATTCCAACCAGGGTGAAAGTTCGCCTCGCTTCCCAGAGACTCTGGGGCCTGGAGGAGACTGAGCAAACAACAGCTCAGCTTCAAACCTAAATGCTATGCTGTTCTGCAGCCAGGAGTGGGTTTCATTTGGTAGGGTGAGAGGAACACACATGAGAGATGAAAGAAGGAGAGGTTTAGAAGTGGTTAGTGTTAGTCACAAGCGAGCACACATGGAAGCAGTATGTAAGAGGAAGGGAGCAGCGCTTTGGAAAAGTCAGTGTATGGAGCTGATAATTAGCTCCAATTTAGTGCGCCTGGGAGGTATAATCACCGCCTGTAGATATGGACCTGGTGTCTTGGTCCAGGTGGGTGGGAGGGATATAAAAGAAAAACAGAGAATGACACAAATATAGTGTAGTATTTATGTTTAAATAATAATAATAATAAAAAATAAAAAAAAAGCTACAAAACTCACTCACATTTAATGGAGCCTTCTTATGGCTCCTAGTAAATAATGTGGAGTGGAATGATCCCCACTCTTGGCTGTATATAGCAGAGATCCTCACCGTGGAGTATATGGATAAAACAAAGTAAAATATAGTTGCAGTATACAACACAATGCTTGGTTGTATAGGGAAATATATTAGCAATAGAAAGAGGGAAGTGCTCATGCCATTGTACAGATGAGACCTCACTTGGAGTATTGGACCCAGTACTGGAGACCGTATCTCCAGAAGGATATTGATACTTTTGGAGAGAGTTCAGAGAAGGGCTATTAAACTGGTTCATGGATTGCAGGATAAAACTTACCAGGAACCAGGATCTTAACATGTATAGCTCTGAGGAAAGACGAGACACAGGAGATACGATAGAAACATTTAAATACATAAAGAGAATCAACACAGTAAAGGAGGAGACTATATTTAAAAGAAGAAAAACTACCACAACAAGAGGACAGTCTTAAATTAGAGGGACAAAGGTTTAAAAATAATATCAGGAAGTATTACTTTACTGAGAGGGTAGTGGATGCATGGAAGTGGTAGAGGTGAACACAGTAAAGGAGTTTAGGCATGTGTGGGATAGGCATAAGGCCATCCTAACTATGAGATAAAACTAACTTAAAAGTATTTTGAAGTATTGGGCAGACTAGATGGGCCAAATGGTTCTTATCGGACGTCACATTCTATGTTTCTATGACTGATGTAAAAAACAAAACAAAAAAACACTAGTTTCTTCCTTCCATTCCATAACCTGTAGAGGTCCCAGGCATGGGCGTAGGAACCGGGGGAGGGGGGGACGACGCATCCCCCCCAGCAAATCATGCGGGGGGACAGGTTATGGGGAAATCCCCCCCAGCTCCGCCGGCCCCCCCATGCTGCAGGGGCAAAAGTTTAAAAATAATACCAGAAAGTTTTAATTTACCGAGAGGGTAGTGGATGCATGGAATAGCCTTCCAGCTGAAGTGGAAGAGGTTAACACAGTGAGGGAGTTTAAGCATGTGTAGGATAGGCATAAGGCTATCCTAGATATAAGATAAGGCCAAGGACTAATGAAAGTATTCATAAAATATGGGCCAAATGGTTCTTATCTGCCGTCACATTCTATCATGTTTCTATCAGAGTAAAAATTGGGTTTTGCTTAATCCATAAAGCGTAGGTGGTATATAGCCCACCAAGGAAGATGGTGTTCAAACATCAGGATAAAAGGAAGGTTGGTATAAGAGACTAACATTTTTTAAGTAAGATAAAACACCAACGCATTTCACCTATTACTCAGGCTTTTTTAAAGTGTTACAGGCAACGGGACCTTCACTGTTTATATAGCAGAGTACAGATTTGAAAGAAACGGTCACGTGGTCGTCAAGTAATTAGCATTAAAAAAAATATTAAATGTTTACTAAGAGGGTTAGAAGGGGAGAGGATAACAACACATATGGATACTTTAAAATATAAAAATGAAATGGCCAATATGAACAATGTAAATAGGCAAGGAGAAAGTAGGACCAACATGGCAACGAGGCCTGCGTCACATGGTTGGCACGGCTGCAGTAAAACAGATAAAATGAAGAGTAAACTATATAGCTGATACGCAAGAAAGAGGGAAGGTGGAGAGGCTGGGAAAACAGAGATGAAAGAGGGACATTTCTATGTTTTGAAGTGGTTAGTCACAAGCGTTAGTCACACATGGAAGCAGCATGTAAAGCTGCTATAGGCTGTAAGGGGACACCTGATCTGCAGGACTGTACGGCATGGTATCCACAAATACTTTAGGTGTTTATTCAGAAAAACGAGGATCGGAGAGCACCAACAAGAAAGAAAAATGCTAGGACAAAAATAAAAAAAATAATAATCTGCATTGGAACATTTTTTCTACAGTAACTTGTCCATTTTGCCCTAGAATTTCAAATCCCCAATGAGTTCTGCACAATTCACATTCTACTGAATAACCCCACATATTTTCCTTAAAAAGTCTGCTAAAAAAAAAAAAATTCTGCTATAACGGCTTAATTATTGCAGCCATTGTGGGCTACAACACCCATCAAGCTGGACAGGAAAACTGTTTTTTATACCACATCAGACAGCCAGACTGAGGCTCCCTAGTGCGATCTCTGAACTCTGCTGCTCAGTGATGCAGACTCAACTGTGAGAACACATGGGAGTGTTTATTCAGCAATCTCCATGATTTAGATAGCTATAGCCGAGGGCTGAACTCTGAAGTTTCACTATTCAGCATATTGCTTGAAGAACTGATGGGTTCGTCTGGGTTGGCATTCTCCTGAATTCTACTGGACCTGTAGTTTTACAGCTGAATTCAAAAGGCCGGCAATGTTAACTTGCCGAATACCAAACTAAAAAAAAAGCTAAACTTAAACGGAGTTTAACGAACAAAAAGCCGTGTTCTGATTGAGTTTACTGAACCCAGCAGTTCTTCCCAGTCTCAGTATTGAACTCAGCAGAGTTCTAGATGAGCCCAATGGGACGGCTGCATTTATATTACCAACTGATTAAAAACCGTAATTCTACTGAAACGAAATCCAAATGCCAGAATTTAAGGCACGCTATAACGTTAGGAATCCAAACACTTCTTCGCCTGAGGATTTAAAATGTAAGACTTACCTTATATTCGTCAATCTTGCTGATCTCACCCAACGCTTCCCCATGAAGGAGCATTGGGAGGCTGTTGCGCATGCACGGCAAAACACAATGTGTTGCGCCAATCAAATGCTCTCCATGAAAAGCATTTGATAAAGTAGCTGTGTCGAACTTGGCTGATTTGCTGTGATTTGGGTGTTTTTAGTCTTAAATTGCTAAGTTGCAACTGTAGCCAAGTTTGTGACTTTACAAACCAGCTATGTGTTCTGCCATTTCTCTGCAATTCGTAGTTTAGTGAATAATCCTTCTGCTTTCACTATTGCTGGGTTTTCGTATGACAACTATCTTTTCGAGATTATATTCTCGCCCCAACAAAGTCTACAGGTGATCTCTCATGTCACTAACAAACTAATCAGTAGATATCGTAGCCTCCTGCCACTGTGCAGCAATGCAAAATCTTACAGAACACACAAATAAGAAACATCGTGCAACCAGTCCTGCAAGTGTATTCAAACTGTACATGTAACCCAGGATGCCCAAAAAACTGTAAAAAAAATAAAAAATAGATTTAAACAAAGCTCATCCTCTGAAGAAAAGATGGGATTTTCTAAATTATAACCGAAAAGTAGAAAACACGAAACAGAATTTCAAAAACTAGTCTAAAATAACAAATTTTTGGATCCCTCCCCCCTAAATTCTACAATCCTGATACAGCGAAAAACCCCGATTCTGATTAGAAACAGTTATTTCGCAGTAATCCATGCAAATGTGCGTATATCTATATGCATGGGTCCGTTTATGGTAAAAGTACATATATATATATATATATATATATATATATAAAGAAAAATTGTGTTTAACACTTTCTATGCTGCATCGAGCTCACTCACAGAATAAAAAGGGTTAAATTGCAGGGCAGTGAAACTTCCCAGCCAGCACCTGGTCTGTGTGTGGATGCATAGACAAAGCCTGGTTTGCAGGAAGGAGACAGGACAGACTTCCAACAGACGCCTCCCAGATTACAGAGGTATGTGGGTGGAACCACACACAGGATGTGAAGCGGAGGGAGGGGGGGAGAGATTGAGGAGGGGGGAGGAGGAAAGACTGATTCAGTTCTAAGGAACTTTTAACCTCTTTAATCCTTTGTCCCTTCATGCATTAGCAGAGACATGGAGGGGGTTAACACCAGCTGACTGTTAACAGGATTAAGCCTTCTCTATTAACTATTTGAAGACACAACATTCTAAACTCCCCTCAGATTCTGATTGCCTTAACTCTGTTTCCCATCAGAAGAGTATGTTTATGGCACTGAAAAAAAAGTTAATAATTAAATTGAAGCTAAAATACACATGGCGATTTATTATTTATTTATTTATTTATAAAATATTTTACCAGGAAAGATACATTGAGATTTCTCTCGTTTTCAAGTATGTCCTGGGTAGATGGCTACAGAGTAGGTTAGAAACTTAACGCTAAATAAAATAATCTGTGATTATTCACTAAAAATTAAACTGTAAAACTGAATTAAACTGTAATAAATGGATAGGACTTCAAAATGTAGGCAAACAGACAATTTGGAAAAATTCTCCAGCTCGACTAGCTTGACTACTTTAGCCTAAATTTTACAATTTGGGTTTCAATTCTCTATAATTCTGTGTTTGTATTAATTTATTTAATTTTATTAAAGGGACCCTATAGCATTAGGAATACAAATCTTTATTCCCAACACTACAGTCTTATTGTCTGTATTAGTCCCGTCCCCCGCCATCCACAATGTACAAAAAAAAAAAAAAAAAAATATATATATATATCTATCTATCTTGAGGAAGACCCGAAGAGGTCGAAACGTCGATCGAACATTGAATTATGTTGGACATTAAATACCAATAATTATCTTTAAAAGACCACAGAGTGCATCTCTCCTTTACTCATTATAAAATATATATATTTTCCCCACTGCCAAGCCTCCTTCGGTGCTGCCGGTGCTCGTCCTCTTGAAGGTGTGCCTACAGGATGATGGTCCAATCCAGCGTTCCGTAGAGAGGAGCTCTGGGGAGTGAAGGGGCATGTGCAGCGCTGGCCACAATCCGCCAATGTGTCTCTTGTCATAGAGAATAAATGAATGCATGACTCCCTAGGACAACCCGTGATGGCACTGCGCATACAGGACTTGGAGGCATAGCTTGAAGCCGAGCTTCAAAGCCTTCACATAATTAAAATCATGCTATTTAGAGCCTAGGGCATAGGGGGTGGGGGACGACGACTACTGTAGGCACTATAACAACTTCATTTAGATGAAGTGGTTTTAGTGAGCACCATGCTTATTCATTGTATTCATTTGCTTATGTAATTTTCAAAAAGTTATAGTTAGCTTTTAACATGTTTGTGGAGGGGAAAAAAAAAATAATTCCTAAATGAAACAGTAATAAACATCAATATGGAAATCAAAAGCACATAGCCAGGACTACGTTATTTTGAGCCACACACATCTTCCACGTTTGTGGCTGAGCTGGATACGCCTTCAACTGTTGACCAGCTGGCTGATAGACCATTTTTGATAATATTTTCGTGCATAAAAGAACACATTCTGCCAAAGGGGAATCAATTAATTAACTACGGGAATTTCTGTAGGATTTATTTTGTGATTAATCTATTTCCCTCTATCAGAATATAGAGGGAAGCATTTTTCATGTACATCCCAACAGAGCATGGAATTTGTGTATAACCAGTACCAAGTGTCCAAATCTGCTACCTCTAATAAACGGTCATTAAAGCCATTGGAAGCTAGGATATAATTCTTTTTCTATAACCTTGTTACTTCTCTACCCCATGTCAAACCAAAACAGATAGTAGATTTGTGACTGGAGGCTATTCTGTAAAGAGGGAGTTTCAAACCTTCTCATTCAGCTGCTGTGGAACCACAATTCCTGTAACTCTGTGGCAGAGAATGTAGGGAAATGGAGTCTGACACTCCTACGTACAAGGCTGTACTGGATCATTGACTCTTAGGATATTGTTTTATGCTTTTTATAGACAATTTGTCCATTGGATGTTACCAATGTACATAATACACATTTCACATTTTTAATGGTTCTAGTCTGAAAGAGAATGAATGTGATATATTAAATCCACTGCAAGATTGGTGGGCTCGGCTATCTTGTTCCATGACACCATAGTTCGCTTACCTCAGCCTTATACATGCGAACGAGCCCTTGGTTCACTTTAGACCAGGAAGGGACCGCGCTGATATTCCAAAGCTGGTTGGAGTGCTCCGCAAATGGGCCGGTCTTCATCTACGAATAGAAAGCAAGAATTTTACTGAGAGAGGTTAAGGCCGGTCATGCTCTGGAAGCAATTTTGCAATATGGCAGGTAGACTGGAATAAACCCACAAGGAGCAGCCGTTTTTGTTTTTGCAGCACACTTCATAAAATGACTATTTAAAAAAAAAAAAAGAAAAAAAGTATTCGTTGTCATCACTTAGATCCCTGTGAAAAACAACATTTTGAAGGTTTTGTACCACTAGAAATAAATGGTTCACTACTTGTGCTCAGTCATATGTGGTTGCAAAATAGTTTACATTCAAACAAGGCTGGGAAGAAGGGAAATATACACATTTTATGGAGGCGATTATTCATTAAATTGAGAACTGATGAGAATGGACGTGTTACAGGCCAGAATAATGGAGATGGAAAAGCAGATCAAAGAGTAGAAGATTTTTCTTCTTCAGTTTGGACAATTTTGCCTAAAATTTGCAATTACCTCCAAAATATCAGATTTTGAGACTAAACCTCTAAAAGTTCATTATGCAAAATTTTCGTATGACTCACTGTTCTAATGATCATTGCTAACTTCTGCTGTCAAGTACCGGTAGATCTTGGTTAATTGGATTGCTAGCCTTTCTGACTAGAGTTTGAACTCTGCACTGGTTTTTCTTCTCACTTTAAAAAAAGCGTACAAAGTGAGGTTCTATTGCTGTAAAAACATTACAATGCCATAAGACAGTAGAACGAGATTTACTACACTAGGAATTGCGCACAATTCTCTAAAGCTGGATTTATGTAGAATTACAAATTTTGGCATTTCTCAACATGAAATATTATCCAATTCGGTTATTTTTCCTCCACTGCTATCTTGGCTTAAAATCTGAAATCTTGTCTAGTCCTCACAACGCTCATTTAAGCGAATAATCTTAAATAAGTTGCTTGACAATTGGACAATGAAATGGTTAAAAGATTTGAAAGAAGGAATACTGTCCCAATCTGTCAACGTTGTATCCGCTAATAAAAAGGGCGTCTAGATTTATTTCCAAATATTTATTTTCAGTGAAGCTGTGCTATTTACAGAACGGAATGAAACGCAATGTTATTTGCAGTACGAAACGCAATATTTTTTGTTCGGTTTACTGCTCTCCTGTTTCCCAAGACACTTCCTGGTTTTGGCTATCAGTGTTCCTTCCTGAATTTCGAGATAAAATACCTGCAATTATCCAATAGGACTGCAGCAACATCAAACCTCCCGCCTACCCCCTTCCCTCTTTAATAACTTGTCATTCTATTTGCCTGTACAATCTTGTAGTCCGTTTAATTGCTAGGTTGCACTGAAGCAGAGACAAGCAAACTGGCATTTCACAAGCCGGGACTTTCCCAGCGCTGACACTAATCTGTTATAATGCCAGACAGTAACCAGTGCACCGTATATGGTTAATGGTAAACTTACCAGGGGCCAGATTTCGAGAAACAAGCAGAATGGAGGGATAGGTGGAAAACCTAGGTTTAACCCTTTGATATCTGACAAAACAAAGAACGAAAACTGCTATAGAACGTACGGCTGCTAACAAACGGAAATTTTTGCGTTCTCTCTTTTTTTCATTTCCTCTAAAAACTGAAGGACTTCCAGTTAAGAGAGAGCAGGAGGAGTAACGATTTTCGTAAAAAAAAAAAAAAATTATATTATGCACACACAACTGCAATATGGATATATATTTTAAATATCGACATTTATAAAAGGTATTTTTCACGTGCAGCAGGAAATTACGCACATATATTTATTAACACAGACACAATATGTACACAAGCAAATCAGAAGTACATTAAACACTTGATTTTCTTTGTGTCGCTTGATAAACGTGTTGTATTGTACTGAAAAATAAAAAAATTGAAAACCAAAGAAAACCCGTTTCCCCACTCATTTGAAGGATAAGAATTGTATAAAAATAGCTGGTTTTAAAATGGGCCAGTAAAATATGGAAAGAACGGCATACAAAGAGAATCCAGGGATATGTCAGAGGAGAGAGACTGCAACAGAAAGAGTCCAGAGCTGAGAGAGAGAGAGACACATCACATGATGGAGAGGGGAAGAGAGAGAGCCAATCCTTCAGTATCCTCAGGGGGATTGTATGAGTCAGAGAAGCCATATTGAGCAGGAAATTACTCACACAGGCTTCTACGTTCCTGACTCTACTCTCCCCAGAGAATGAGCCTTTTGTAAATGGTTCCTCAGTCAGTAAGAGGAGGGAGAGCGGGGAGGGAGACAGGGGGAGATGAGGGATAGATGAGAACAACCCCTTCCTGTCAGTTCCTTCCCTTCCAGCAGTAACCTGAAACCTCCCTTCTCTAGATCGAGAGCAGGGAGAGAAAAAAAAAAAAAAAGGAATTTCTCCTCCAAATTTAGAAGGGCAGAGTGAAGTGGAAACTGTGTTGCGAGAGATTTCTCAGGCATGGCAGGCTTCACTGTGTCTTTTTTAATTTGCTACAAGTCATTTTCGTTGAGACGTCTTTTTGTTGTTTGTTTTTTTCTACTCATTTAGAACTTCAGCGATTTTACACTTTATTATAGTACATGTTTAACACTTTCAGTGCCTCGGTGTACATAAGACTTTAACCCAAGTGTGGCTGACACTTTGCCCTTCGGTTCTTGCAGTCTTTCCACTCGCATGGTGCAATGCCAGGATATAGGCTGGCAAAGGGCAGTGAGAGCCTTACGAGGGTTCCAGGGCTGTGTTTTGTTCACCCCTGATTTAAACAAAGGCTTTGCCCTGGAACAGGGGGGGTATATACCACCGGCTCAGTGCAAATGTTCCATGCCCACAGAGGGAGGGGTTAAATATATTTTAGACACCTTTTTAAACAACGCCAACAACCTTAGCCATTTATGTTCCTTAGGGTACAAAAGCAGAGTGAAATTTCCACACAGTGCCCATCCCTACCAACGGAAAGCTGTGCCACGCATGGTTAGGCATACGGTTGAGCAACAGGGAGCTATTAAAAAAATAATACATTGCTGGGCAGAAGGGAAAGGAACCGGCACTAAACAGGGCTATTTATGAGCCAGTTCACGTTTCCATCTTTTTTCGGTAACGGTTAATGAGTGACTAATGGAATATGCAAAATAAATGAAATACTTTGAAGGGGAAGTATATTTAAAGGCACTGTGTTGTGCAAAACATTACAGAGTCACGTTGTTCTTTGTCAAACCTTTGGGAGTAGTTTGCAAAAAACAAGGCTGTTCACTCCCCCCACTGCCATCCAGGATGGACACAACAGATATTTATATTGGAGAAGAGTAAATTCTGCATTATCAATGCTGCCCAGGAGGAGGTGGGCTCTGGGTGCCGTGGAGACCCACATTATTTTGTCAGACCGCACCTACAGCATTTGACAAAGGACCAGGGATGGCATTGAGATATTATTGCGGTCCATACAAGTCTCCCAAGATGGCACGACTGACATGGTTGTATTATATTAAAGATCATTTATTTTATGTTACCAGTTACAATTTTTTTTACCGCAAATTAAAGCCTACGTTTAACAGAAATATGTGTACATTTTCTTAAGACATATTCCCTTTAATTGAGTAAACTTTTACACAGTAGAATCTTACTTAATGTTTTAGTCACTGCAAAAAGTGAAACGCTGTCAAATGGCAAACTACAAAATTTACGCCAAAAGAAATAGATTTTCTAAATTCGAAATATTTTAGACTAGATTTTGCTTTGTTGTCAATTCACAACCTGCTTCCCAAGACGTGTCCCTTTGCAGAGGCTGTTCGTCACTAGGACCAAATTTGGATTTTTTTCCTACTGCAGCGTCCTACTTTCTGGGAGCTAAATTGTTTGATGTGTATAAGTGTATTACACAGTATCTGATTTGTAAATCTCACAGTAACGATAGTAAATGCATTCAGAAATGACATAAATGACTATTGGTAGGGCATGAAGTTACTAAAAATGTTCTCTAATCGTCTAATAGAAGGCCATATCTTGAACAACAATGCTAAAAGTGCCCAGGTTTACTCATCTGAAATTATGGGATGCGTCTCAACAAAAGATGACAAAATATCCTTTTTATACAGTACATGAAACAAGTGGAAGATAATTTTCATGGGAGTGGACCTCTAAACAAAAACGGGTCATATACCTTTAAATATGCATCTGCTGCAGTCAGCAAGTCAAGAGTAACTTGTCTTGGTACATGAGCATTAAAAGGTAACCTTATATTTACCCTTCTGTTAATGTATACACAAGAATATTCCTGTGTTCAACACTGTAGCACACTGATGCTAATCACTGCAGGTGTTCTAGATGCACTGCTGCTGTTCCCATGTTGCTCAGCTAGAATGTGGAGTGCCTGAGCATCATGTGAGTGCGAGTCACTAGCAATGGTGGTGCCAAGGGTAGCGATCAGTGCTGTAGGATGTTTTTTTTTTTCTGACAATGGTTTAAAGGCATTATTCGATAAACGGTGTTTACAGTGATTATAGTGCAGTTTGAAAGAAACGCTGTACATTTTTGTAGTAAAATCAAACCCAAGTTATAGAACATCTGTACTGTTTTAGTCACAAAAAGGCAGATCCAGATAAGGTGAAAACCTTTTTTTTCTCATTTACGAAATACATCAGGGCTATTCGATAAAGTGTGAATTACCAGGGAGGTTTCCTTGTTGGGAATCCTGGCATAAAACGAATTTACTTTGCATTCCTTATCATTAGTGAATAATTCTGCTGATATTTTTTAAAATTCAGCTGTCTATATTTCCTTTTCACCTGTCCTTTTAAAGGAAAATAAATAAACATAATAATGAATCAAATAGATGTAACTTCCATTAGAGGATTTTACATTTGGTTTCCATGAGAAATGCTTAAGCTGGCCTTTTAATTGATAAGGATCCCAAAGCCTGTTTTACAGGCTCACATGCTATTGGAACGAAAGGTGCCCCCAGGGTTCAATCCTGTATTTAGCCACTGGGGGCAATACACTGAGTCTTAATGCACAAAAGGCTGGTATTCTCTCACTGACCGTGTTCATTCAAGTCTGATGTCGGGGGAGGTGGGTGTTAAATACCAATGCAGACCTACCCATGGAAACACTGCATAAAAGGAAAGTGGAGAAAATTACAAACTCACTGCCCTTATTTATGTTATTATTATTATTTTATTATTTATATAGCGCCATCACATTCCGTAGGCGCTGTACATTAAGATACCTTTAAAAGTTCTGCATCATAATAAATGAGATTTATTTATCTTTTTCCTTGTATAGGATCTGGAAAAAAGACCACAACAGTTTAATTTTTATATATTTTTTGGTATTTGTACTGGGAAAAAAAAGCAGCACTTTGAGTGGTAAACACGTAAAAAATACATGCAGTTTATAACACAGAAAGTGTTATTTTTATGCATTTATAATTGATGGCATTAACTACAAGGAGAACATTCCACTTGCTTACTTAATAAAAACATGGTTGCAAAGAGTTTTATGTATTCTATATTTTCAATGACTGGTCCTTACATAACCCAATCCTGAATGATTCTCAGATTTGTCCTGGACAGATTGTGCCACAAGCCTTAGTATACACCTCTGACATAATTAATAGCACGTGTTTCAGCCACGGGCCTATGGCTGCTTGTCTGTCATTGAATATATCAGAGACAAAATGACCCATCTAGGCTCCTGTAAGAGGATCCTTAAAGGGACACTATAGTCACCAAAAAACAACAGCTTATTGTAGTTATTCCAGGGAGTATAGTCTGTCCCTGCATGCTTTTAATGTAAACACTGCCTTTTCAGAGAAAAGGCTACAGCCTAGGAACACCTCTATTGGCCACTCCTCAGACAGTTTGCATGAAGATGCTGAATTTTCCTCAGAGAGATGCATTAAGTCCTCTACGAGGAGATGCTGATTGGCCAGGGCGGCATTTGGCCCCGCCTCTGCGGCTGATATGATCAGAATTGACGACACCAGCCAATCCAATGCTTTCCTATGGGAAAGCATTGTGATTGGCTGAGATCAACATTTCTGATGTCAGCTAAGGAGGTGGGTCAGGGGCGGAGCCAGAGACAAGGAGCCTCGTGTTGCACTGAAAAAAGGTGTGCAAGTCACATTTCTAACCCTAGGTAAGGGGGAAGACCACCTAAACTGTGGTTTTAGAACTATATTGTCAGGAATACACATTTGTGTTCCTGACAATATAGTGTCCCTTTAAATATACATTATTAGTAGAATTTGAGGACAATGGAGACATTTGTTAGTGAGTGACATATCTGTATTAAGGACAGGAAGACACTAAAGTATAATAGATTTTTTAGACTTGTTCATTAAAATCAAATTCCTTTTAATCCACACCTGAAAGTCGATCGGTCTGGTACTTATCTGTGGAGTCTTATTCATAAACTAAGACTCAACAGGTAAATCCCAGATGGATTCATTAGTTGAGATGTGGAATAAAGGAATTTGATTTGGACAAACTGGTCCAAACTAATTTTTGCACAAATCTTAAAAAAATATATTGTGTACCATGTCTTTAATGCACATATGTCAGACTCACTGACGGGTATTACCCCGAAACAGAGAAAAAGAAACCGTGCGCACCGAAGCAGGATCAGCAAATCCAAAACACGTATAATAAAATAGAAAAAAAATCTTCAGGCACTCACGGAATTAAAGGACCACTATAGGCACCCAGACCACTTCAGCTCAATGAAGTGGTCTGGGTGCCAGGTCCCTCTAGTTTTAACCCTGCAGCTGTAAACATAACAGTTTCAGAGAAACTGCTATGTTTCACTGAGGGTTAATCCAGCCTCTAGCAGCTGTCTCACTGACAGCCGCTAGAGGTGCTTCCGTGATTCTCACTGTGAAAAATCACAGTGAGAAGACGCTGGACGTCCATAGGAAAGCATTGAGTAATAGTTTCCGATGGGCTGTTTGAATGCGCCCGCGGCTCTTGCTGCGCATGCGCATTTGGCCCTGAGGTCGGCAGGAGGAAGAGAGGTCACCAGTGCCGAGGGAGCCCGGCGCTGGAGAAAGGTAAGTGGCTTAAGGGGTTTTAACCCCTTCAGCCCAGCGGGAGGGGGGACCTATTAACACTATAGAGCACTATAGTGCTCCTTTAAAGACACACAGGCAGATTTATTGGATCAGGAAGGCAAAGCAACATTTTGACCTATTAATCTTTATCAAACCCACCTTTATCAAGGTATTACCCTGCAAACTGAGCGTGTCTACTGCCTTTGAGGATCTGACCTGGGCTATCCTGCCTAATAGATAAAATATAAGCAGCCTATGGAAAATTGGAGACATATTGTGGAGACATGTATACATTTACAGTAATTGTGATGGCCAAAAAAAAAAAAAGCTTCTTACCTCTGTAATAAACAAAATACATTCCAGGAACATGTAATCGTTGTGATTTTCATTCACCACCTTTTCATCCACAAAATGCCTGGGTTCCAAGGTAGGATTATCTGCAAATAAAAATGGATTACTTTCTCTGTTCATCTGATAACATGCTTATTGATCAAAGCTATTTCTTATAGATGAACAGCCCATATAGTATAAGATGTATTTTCAAAGTTATTTCTCAAATGGCAAAGCCCATTTTTTGTTTACTAACCTATCTGCTTAAAGGGACACTAGAGACACCAGAACCACTACAGCTCAATGTAGTGGTTCTGGGGTCTATAGCATTTCCCTGCAGGCTTTTTAATGTAACCACTGCTTTTTCAGAGAACTACTAAAGGTGCTTCCTAGTCCAGTGCTGCACAGGAGGGCTGAATGTTCCCCAAAGAGAACTGATTGGCGCAGCATGGCATTTTGTTGCACAAGTGCAATAGCCTCCCAATGCTTTCCTATGGGAAAGCATTGGATTGGCTGAGATCATCAAGTTTGATGATAGCAGTCATGGAAGCAGAGCCAGCCCCGGTGAGACCGGCACAGCTTGGGAAAAAAGGCAAGTTTGAACACCTTTTCACTTTAAAGAAAGGGGGCAGGACCACTAAACAGTTTAACACTGTAGTGTCAGGAATGCATGTTTATGTTCCTGACACTATAGTGATCCTTTAATTACCCTTAAGTACTCAGAGGTGTGCCCATGTCACATGGCTCTTGGGGCGAAAACAGCCTCCAAACATTAGAAATTTTCATTTATTTTTTTTATTTGTGCGTGTCTCACTTTGCACACCTTAATCCCCTAAAATTCATATTCACACACACTTACAATGATATACACAGACACACAATCATATACACTCACTTAATTTTTCATATTTTTTTTTCCCACAGTGAAGTCCATCCAGCCTTCTTTTTCTTACCTTAAAAGGAAGCTGGAGTAGAACCTCATCCATGGAGGGCAGTGGTTTGCTGCACAGATATCCCTGCTCCCAGCATCAGTACATTGAGCCGGGCAGGAGGCAGTGCAGAGAGATCCCAGCAGCTCTCACCACCTGCTCCGCAGCCACTTTAAACAGGCCCAGAGCAAGCTGTGCATGCCCCGGCCGGCTGTCCCCCAGGGCACACAACACCCGGTTAAAACACCATTGGATGTGCTACAACTCCCAGAATTCTTTGAATGCAATCTAATTATTGGCATTACTGTTTAACATCCGGGGTGGGGGGTCTGGAATCTGACAACCTTGATGGACAGACAAAGACAGCCAAAGAGAAGTAAGGGATACTAGTGTTTTGCTTTTTCTCATATCTATATGACCCTACATTGGGATGCTGGAAGTACAGGTTGATAATAAAGGGTAATCTATTCTTTACCTACAAATTGAGCACTGCCCCATATAAATGGAAGGAACTGGAAGTCATCTAGCCCCCAGACTCCTTGGCTGCCAGCCGGTTCCATTCTGTAGGTTTTCTGAAGCTTTCTCATGACCTCAAGGTAGCTGTTGAAAGTAAGAAAAGAAAACAGTATGAACACTGTATGGTTTGCAGTTTTTATTTTAAAGAAACACTATGGGGTCAGGTATACAATATGTGTATTCCAGATCGTATAGTGTTAAAAAACACAATTTAGCCCCTGACTGAGATCGTCAATTCTGATTATCTCAGCCAAGGAGGCGTGGCGGGGAGCGGAGGCCAAATGCCGCACTGGCCATTTAGCATCTCCTCATAGACGTGCATTGAATCAATGTATCTCTATGGGGAAAGTTCAGCGTCTCCATGCAGAGTGTGGAGACGCTGAACGTCAGTGCTATATGTTGTGCAGCACTGATCCAGGAAGCACCTCTAGTGGCCGTCTAAGTGACGGCCACTAGAGAGGTTACTAGGTAGTAATGTAAACACTGCCCTTTCTCTTAAGCTGTAGTTGTTCTGGTGACTATAATGTCCCTTTAATTATAACATTCTGTGAGACTTGGTTTCTCAAGAAATACTATGGATACAATACAATACAATGGAATTCTCCCCTGTGGGTACTGGTTCTTACCGATTAAACACTCTAAAGACGATGGCCAGTTGGTCGTCTACTTTGAGAACTTCAATTTTACAGAGGCAAAAAAGGAAAGCTGCAAATGCAGCTTCATGACCTGCAAAAGAGAATCACTTGAGCTTGTGCAGAATGAAATTCACGCATCTTCATTGAACAGACACACAGTTATGGAAGGATAGCTTATACCATGCCAAAGGCACCCACTGGGTTATTAGGTACTTTTGCTGAGACCAACACGTTACAAGGGGACATACAAGGTGTGGGTTGTAACGAAACAAGACAACAAAGAATAATGGCAGTTATTATCCCTGAAACCTTTATACATTGTACGTCCTAGGACAAATTTGATCAAACGATGTCAAGTCAGGTGTAGGCAATACCAATCAGTTTCTGACAAACCTAACCAATCAGGTGAAACCAACTCGCATCAAACTCAGCAAGAGCTAGGTTATCAAGTCCTGGTTTAGAGCTACTTTAACCTGTGGCCACTGCTGCCTTTTTCGCTTGATAGATCACATAGCAGCTTAATTGAGCAGTGTTTAGTCTGCTGAGTGGTATCTGAAAAAGGGCACACCTCATAGCTTATGGTGTTTACATTTAAAGGGACTTATATAGCGCTAGAAGTACAAACTTGTATTCCTAACGATATAGTGCTCTAGTTGCAGATAACTATTACTTTTTCGCCAACTGTTCTGCCTCTCGCAACGTTATCCAGCTCTTGAGTTAATGGCTAGTCCAATGCTCCTCATGGAGGGGTATTCAAAATGGCTGCTAATTCACGGTGAGTTTTACTTTGTCATTTTAGAGAAAGCGCCGCTAGTGGCTATCTGGATGACAGCCACAAAAGGTGTGTTTCACCCTGCAATGCAAACATTGCAGTTTATACAAAACTGCAGGTTTTACATTTCACAGTTAAAATTACAGGATTGGGCAACCAGACAATTTCACTGAAATAAGGTGGTCTCAGTGACTTTAGTGGTCCTTTAGCGGAGTATAATTTAAATCACTGGTATACTACAAAGTCCTTATTCTTTGAAAAATTGTACATTATAGATATGCATCGTGGAGATATGAAGTGTGAATTGTTGGGAAGTCAATCAGATTACAAAACACACAAATTGAAATATAGATGTGTTGTCTAGCTGACCCTCTATACAGAGGCAAAGTAAACACAATTGAGATTTGAAAATACTGGGGGACAGAGCATTGGAAAAATGTAGAAATCTGCTATTAAAAAGCACCAAAACAACTTTAGCTTAATGAAAGAGGTTTAGTGTATAGATAATTCCCCTGCAGCCCACCTGCTCAATGCTCTGTCATTTATGAGTTAAAAACACATTTACTTTTATTCGGCCATAGCCACACCTCTCCTGGCTGTGACTGATGCAGCCTCCCTACGCCCTTCCCAAAAAATAGCCATATTTTTGAGCTTCTGACCTCTTGCTCGGTTAGTAGCGTGCAATATGCCTTTTAATTTCAATTAACAGAACAGGAAGTAAGAATTTCTAAAGTAAACACACTGTGCTGACTGAAAATGCTGTGTGAGTCACATGCAGGGAGGTATGATAAAGGCTGCAAAAACCAAGTGATTTGAGTAGAGAATTAAGTAGTGGGGCTACAAGGTTTTTATCTATACACCAAAACCGCATCAGTAAGTTAATGTTGTTTTGATGCTTAGACTGTCCCTTCAATACAGTAAAGTCGCCAAAAAAAAAATATATATATATAAATAAAACGTTGCTGCATATTGCAATTTACGGTTTCGATCTCTAACTACTAGACATACTTATTGAAATTTTTACACTTTGTTGTAAATAAGAAAAAAAAAGAAAAAAGTTCTTAGAGTGACATGCATCACTTGACAATTATTTTTTGTAAAACCGGCAAATACTTTTAAATATACAAAAATATACAAACCAAAATAAAGTAATAACTACATTGAAAAATACGTAACAAACATTTCTTAACTTTCTGTAAACTTGGTCAGATAGCATTGTTTGGTACGGATCTCAGTTAGGGGAGATTCTTCAGCCCCCATCCCATCCTTTTACCCACATATATCTCAGTTTCAGACCAGTCCACTAATGACAGAAACAGGGCATCAATGTTCAGCAACAGGAGAGAGAGAGAAACCAGACACTGGAGCCTGCTCTGCGTGAATCACACAGATCAGACCCCTCACTTCTCCCCCTGTCAGGATGTTACAAGGTGAAGAGATCTTCCAACTGCACATGGGTTTATCGGTCAGACATGCCCAATGCAATTTTTCCAGCATTTCTAGGGACAGGACGCTGCTTGGTTAGATCAGTGTCCCCCTGAAATGGGCGTGGAAAGTATAAGAAGGAAAGAAGCAGGCACATTTAAAATAAAATAATAATTATATTTACCGGTATCTGCTTTTTCAGCCAACTGTCTCATTCAAAGGTAACGTTTTTGAATGAGACCGTTGTCTCAAAGTGATGCATGCCCCATCAAGTTTTCTAGGCTTTATAAAAATGGTAAAGCTTTGCAAATATATAAAAACAGACTACATTGTACAGCGCCACAAACTATGCGTATACAACAAAAACAAACCCCCCAAAGACAACAAAAAAAACTGCAAGCACAAGGCATGTGGTTAGCCAGCAAACAGAGATGAACAAAATAACAATACGTTAGTCTTCAAACAGTGAAATAATAATTAAAATAACTATAAAATAGAAGTGTGATTGTTCAAAGTTTTAATTCTGTATTTCCTTGAAAAATACATCTCTCAGTGAGCTCCTGCCTGTCAGCGCTATTCTTGTTCTGTATCAGCACCGATTACGGCCTGCAAGCAGACAGAATGAGGAGGAGGATGTAGTTCATTTACTGAACAAATGCACAAAGGCTTTATTCAATACCAACTTCAGGCTAAAATAGATGCATCGGAAACATTCTCCCAATCAGGTGCTTTTCCAGCTTAACTAGTTAGGTCTACATTTTGCAATCTTGTTTTGCGTTTACCACAATTCACTGTTTAGTGAATAAAACCCACAGAGTCTCCGAGATTGTGGCTGATCTGATTCTGGAGTCTATTTCTTGTAACCTTAGGCAGTTTCCTTTATGCCCTGCAGTACACAGGTTAACTCTTTAGGCAGCCACTCACCTTGCCTGAACTATACGGTGTATTAAGCCACAGCTGGCAGACCTGACATTAGTCTCGTGATGTTTAACCTGTGGCACTCCAGCTGGCTAAGAATCATGTGAATCACTATAGAACAAAATAAAAACAAGGTTGGCCATAACCAGAATAGACTAACGGGAGCCCTGGATAAACGATAAAAAATACAAACGCAATTGCAACAGAACAGCACAGATCGCGCAGTGTATCACTTTACAGTAAGTTCTTTCGAGCTGCGCCCACATCACCTCTTGTTCCTGCGTGCCAAACGTATTCTGTAGCTATCATTTGCATGCATCAGCCAGAGAATATGCTGGCGTTCTATACGTATATTATAACCAGACTGATGGGCCGAATTACTGCAATAATGTAAGCTTTGGCATAATTTGTAGTTCATTCCCATTATATAGCACCAACACCTTCTGTGGCGGTGTAGAAAAAATAATGTTAAAAAAACAGCATGCCAGCATTTTGTTTCCAGATAAGGTGGGCAGCTATACAATTCTATTGTGAATCCGGTATATATTTTGTATTTTCAAATCATGCCACGAATACTAGATCTCAGATTTTGCAAAGTGAAGACAAATAAATAAAAATAGGAAACAGGGAAACAAGCCGTTTCCTTGAAAAAGGTGGCATTATTCATTACCTGTGAAAGCCTGCCTAAACTCTGGATCCCTCCCGGTGTGCTATACAAGTGAGATGTTATGCATGCCCATGGAGTATTGTGTGCGTAAAATCGTCTCTGTGTTTATAACACATCTTGCATGTCTACCAGTGTTCCGTTGAAACACATGTGAGTGATGCTGTCACCCCATGGAGTAACGAGGCACAAACTGTTTTAAAGTGACTAACTGAGAACCAAAAATGATGTAAAGGAGAGCGAGAGAAAAAGAGAGAGGGGGAAAAAAAATCTGACATATCAGGAAGCAGTGGGCAGGAGAGTATTGAGCGAAACCTCTGCAGGCGACAGGCAAGCAGACACCTCTGTAGCAACAGAGCCCCCTTGAGTCTAAACACAAAACTGCAGCTTACACTTCATTTCCCCCTCTCTGCATCCAATCATAATGTCAGTGCCCTGTGGATAATATTACTTAGAGATGATTGGGTCTGTAACCTCTTTTTATAGCGATGATCCTTTAAAGAAATGTAACCCTCTCACTCACAGGACAGCCAGACCCCACTTTTAAAGGCTGGATGCATGCGGAAATGCCATTTTGAAAGAGAGCACGAGTTAAGACCATAATTCTCAGTCAACCCTTAGCTAAAACTATTGCGGAGACCCCTGAAACATGAGCTTTAGATTACTTAAAAGGAAACATAAATAATAGCATCATCTATTGTCACAGAAGGTATTTGATGTCACTTTGTGATTTCTCAATTTGACTTTTTCTTACAAAATTCACCCTCGTGCTTGTTAAAAAAACAAAAACAAAAAAAGAATAAATGTATTTAGTTTTTTATTTTATTTAAACACGGTTTACACTGAAACGATTTAAGGGAAAACGGTCACTTTCCAGTATTGTTATATTAGGTTTACTTGTGTAACAAATTTAACAAATATGTATTTGCAAGGTGTCAGAAATTAATTTTAATGTAGAAATCTAAACCTTTTCACCCTGCTACTGGGCGCCTCCATCTTGGCTTCCTGTCAACCATTGTTATAAACTCTGTCCTTTGCACCTGGCAGTCAGCATAGAGAAAGAATACATGGAAGAGGAGAAATGAAACGGTGTTCCGATTTCTCTTCACTCGCAATGTTTACCCTGGCCTTGCCTTGTCTGAACTGGAACTAAATCTGTAATATAATTCTAAAAGAGAATGGTGCCTCTAATGAAAATAAAATGTTAACACTGGTTATAGGTGATTGTCAGCGTTTTATTCAATGATGTTATTTTTCAGAGATGTCACGGTCCCACTTAAATTATACCATAAAGCTACACACTTGTGTGGAGTGGAAATGGGAAAAGGAATAGCTTAATTGTGAAACAGTCATTCTCAGGAAAGGGGAAGCAGATAAAGGTTAAATGTTTATACTAATCAGCAAGTAGGGACAAAAAGAAAAGTAGAATATAGATATGATTTTTTTTTTATTATTCTAATACTATGCACAACTGTAAGCTACAAAGAATAAAAACAATTGTCCAGGTACCTGTGCCATAGTCAATTCGGGTAGAGTTGCCGACTGATTCCTTTAGGTACACGGCCACTTCGGGTACTGCCGCACTTAGCGCTGGTGGGATAACCGTGGAAACTAGGTTTTCTGCTTCCTATGTCAACGAGACGCAAACATTATATCGGTACTGTTTAACATAGCAATTCAACACTGGACCTGTGTTTTCCCAAGGAGTAGTCAATAGGTACCTACTGTTGATTTACAATGGTCGGCTGAGGCTCATGGGTGTTGTAAATAATTAAGAGACGTAGAGCTGCCCGTTTGTCTACATTGTTGTGAGCTTAGTTAACAGCCTTTACTAGAAATGTGTTGTACATGGTTGAATTGAGTTCTTAACAAAACACTCCAAGCCACAGATGACCCGTTCTTTTTTTAAACACACTGTGTTCAAATAGCCAAGCTGACAAAAATAAATAAATTAAAAATTCCATCTCCAGACAAAAACATTTTTTTTTTTACAAAATTTAAAAAATTAAAAAACAGTTAGGATGCTTTTAGTAAACAAACACCTCACTGTAAAAAAAGAAAATGCTTACATTTAGGTTTCAATTCACAAATAAAAAATATATATATACACACACACACACCTCTCTATGGGATCTGTTTGCTAATCTGTGCGTAATCATGACTTGAGAACCATCTGGATGCCATTTTTCTTTCGAGAGTGCAACAAGACATGGCTAAACGTGGTTCTGACTTGCTCCAAATCGCCATAACAACATGATTTGTTTTTAAATCAACCTTTACCCCGATGTACTTATTTGTAACAAGGGCGCATAAGGAAATTCTTACAGTTTCATGTCTGTGTTTAGCAATATTTGTAAAGTGAGCCTGCCATTTTTCAACACCCTTGACCAAATGGAATATGCAATCATGACCTGATAGTCTTAATTATTTCTCTCCCTTAACTCAAATCTTTCATTATTATCACATATGAGGAGGAGGGATTAGTAGAAGGGAGTCCGATCAAGCTGGATTAGACTATAAGAGAGAACTTTGAATAAAAACCTAATATGTCAAACTATACTGTTCAGAATATTTTTTTTTTTTTAAACCCCTCAAGATTTGCAGTTTTTGAAAGGGAGACGAAGATTGTAATAGCAACATTTCCACTCTACACTTACAGTCCTGACCATGAGTAGGAGTTTGTTGAATCTGTGAGATACATATCCAGTGATGCTCTCCGAGTGGACCTATCAGAATACTAGGCCTAACCTCTATCAAGCCAGGGATTCTAGCAATCAGCTCTGTGTTATTATAACACTGAAGGAGAATGCGGTGGTTGTTATGGAAACAAAACCATTTATACTTGGAAGGGTTCCAGATTAATAAAACCTTTAAATAGAATTCACTATTCTCTTCACTGTGTCGGAAGACTTCTACCGTGAAAGTTAAGAGGTAGCCATGTATTTCACATCAAGAAAAACAGAATAACGATAGTCAATCTTAAATACTGTGAACAAGAAGTGGTAAAAATTATAGGCTGTGACGGGGTTAACCATTTGAGTGCCAAATTATTCAGAGCTATGGGTTAAATGATACCAGAGGCCAGTGCAGCTAAAATAAGCTACTAATTAATAATCCAAACCAGTGGATTTTAGGTGAACCATTTGGGTTCCTCATGCATTGTGTGGATACAAAGTGTCCCCTCTCCTTTGTAACACACTCTGCTGGAGACCCCAAACCATAATTGGTCGCCCCTGTAGTTCTCTCGTTGTTCCCACCTGATCCAGCTTTCCGTACCAGGTGCGAAAGGCCTTGTTGCCGAATCGTGACGGTTGGTCCACTGGGGGCGTTTCATCAATCCAGCGATCCAAGATGTCCAGGAGCTCCATTAGCTTCTCGGTAGCCTGTGTAAATGCCAACAACAAACTCAGCTTTTCATTAGTCTACAACTCCCTACAGACACCAACCCCACCTACAGGGCACTATAGAAATACTTTGTGTTTTCTCACTTAATCATGCATTCTTCCCAAGCCACAATCAGTGGTTAAAGATTCGGGGCTCATATTCTAATAATCTGGAACATTACTGGAGATCCAGTTACATGAGAAAATTTACGAACCAAGAATATAAAACACAACCAGTAGGGGGAGCCCCGAAATACACACCCATTTCCTGGTGACATTACTTTTTTCTTTTACAATTCATTTTAACTTTAGCATAGAGGGCTCTTGGATCTTTTAATCGTGCCCTACTCCTTGGCTGCTGCATTTCCCATTTCAACCTAAAACATAACAATGAGCAACTAGCGTTGAACCCTTCGATTGCCAGTGTGAACACAGTAGCCACTGTGGGGTGAACTTGTTAATAATGTAATGAACAGAGTCTTAGTTTCCTGTTCTAATGCCTAATCAACATGGGCTATGATCATACCGAAATGGCCCGACTGTGCTGGTTACAGATTTGCGTTGCAATTAAGAATAAGGGAGCGAGGCGTTTGTAAAACAACGTTTACGATTTACATGTATACATCCTCGCAGCCATAGGCAGCTCATTACAGGCAAACCGGCTTCCTGCAAGCCTCTTGCAAAGCAGTGACGGGCTGAATAATGGCTGGCAGGGGATGTTGTACCTCTAGGCTTAGAAGCTGGAGAAGAGGAGGCGGGGGGAAGGGTATGACAGTCACGCATCCATTGCTTTCTGCGGCTTTTTAAAAGGGATTAAAAACAGCAGAGCTGTATGCATGGAGCAGGCCCCAGCTGCCAGCCCAGGCAGCCTAATACATAATTAAAGAGACACAAGGGTTTGCTGGTGTCTGGGTCTCTTTGAAAGGCAGTGTGGAAGCGCAGCCGTCTTTCTATTGTCCAGCTAAATTAATATTGCAACGGAAGCAAAAGGCTATGTGCCCAGCGTAGCCAGGGTCAGCGGCAGCAGCAGCCAGCGAGGGCACTGGATGAAAAGCCATTCTGTGAAGCGGGGTAATATTGTACCTGACAAGGCAGAAGACTGTGAAAATAAATGTACTATATAAACCCACACAGACCTTTACATAGCAATATAAACGTACAAATAGATTGCAAGCTCACAGGCTGTCTTACGTAGAGCTCATTATAAAAGTGCTACAAATGTTACATTAAAGCCCTGTTAATAACTGTTAAACAAAGATAGAGAGATAGACAACGTATGACCTCTATACCTACTGCCTTTTTAGATATATATTTTGTGAATATTTCAGATTTTTATTCCAGTGATTTTGCCTCTTCAAGACCCCTAATATTTTTTATCTGTGCATGGATATATCACACATAAATATAGCTATACTCCCACACCCGTTATCTGGATAAGAGAACAGAGTATCTATAGATTACCCATAAATATGCAGAACCGAGCAAAATGTAATAATATATATATCACACACACACTGCATTCAGATTAATATTTCTTTTCATGTTGCAGCTTTCTGCTACAATTGTTTAAATTATTTTATTTTCACATCAGTCTACCCTGAATGCACACACCCATTATACCCAAATAGTAAACTAAATACTACAGGTCAAGAAAAAAAAAACCCCAGAAAATACAGCCTTACATATAACAAGTTCGCTAACTGTGTTATTACATTGAATGAAACAAATATATATGTATTGCAACAGTTTCTCCACAACATCCATTTAAAAGGACACTATAGTCACCTGAACAACTATAGCTTAATGAAGCAGTTTTGGTGTATAGAACATGCCCCTGCAATTTCACTGCTCAATTCACTGCCATTTAGGAGTTAAATCCCTTTGTTTATGAACCCTAGTCACACCTCTCTGCATGTGACTTGCACAGCCTTCCATAAACACTTCCTGTAAAGAGAGCCCTATTTAGGCTTTCTTTATTGCAAGTTCTGTTTAATTAAGATTTTCTTATCCCCTGCTATGTTAATAGCTTGCTAGACCCTGCAAGAGCCTCCTGTATGTGATTAAAGTTCAATTTAGAGATTGAGATACAATTATTTAAGGTAATTTACATCTGTTTGAAAGTGAAACCGTTTTTTTTTTTTCAATGCAGGCTCTGTCAATCATAGCCAGGGGAGGTGTGGCTAGGGCTGCATAAACAGAAATAAAGTGATTTAACTCCTAAATGGCAGTGAATTGAGCAGAGAAATTGCAGAGGAATGATCTATACACTAAAACTGATTTATTTAGCTAAAGTAATTTAGGTGACAATAGTGTTCTTTTAAAATAGTGTACTACCATTGACATTGTAATGGTGCACAATCTGTAACAGCACAGCATCAAGGGATCACCATTATTAAAGGGACACGGTAGGCACCAGAACCATTTCGATGGACTGAAGTTATGGTGCCTGGAATGTGTAGGTGCAGGTTCCGCATCAAGACTAAACAGCTTTCACTGACAATATGGCAGAGATATGATGGGCCGAATGGTTCTTATCTACCGTCACATTCTATGTTTCTAAAAAGAGTATAGCTCCGCCTATGTATTGGAGACAGGTCTGCAGGAACAAAACCAATTCACAGGACCTTGCACTCACAGACTAAGCACCATACTCACTTCAATCCACTGAGGTGGTTATGACAACTTGAGTGTCCATTTAAAATCAAACCTTTTGACATAGCTATTTTAAAAGTTAAAGGGGCACTATAGTGACAAGAACACAAACGTGTATTCCTGACACTAGTTCTAAAACCACCGTTCGGCCCCCCCTTACCTCTGTTTAGAAAGGGAATTTACTGAACTTTTTCCAGAGTCACATGGGGCTCCTTGATTCTGGCCCCGCCACTCCTCCTTGGCTGACAATCAGAATTGACGATCTTAGCCAATTACAATGCTTCCCATAGGAAAGCATTGGATTGGCTAAAATAGTCAATTCTGATGATCTTGGCCAAAGAGGTGGGAGGGAGGGGAGGGCGAGGGCAGAAGCAACGAGCCCTGGCCAATCTGCATCTCCATATAGAGTTGAATCAATGCATCTCTATGGGAAATGTTCAGCGTCTACATCCACAAAGCACCTTCAGTGGCCACTGGAGGAGTCCCTAGGCTGTAATGTAAACACTGCCTTTTCCCTGAAATTACAGTGTTTACAGCAAATATCCTGCAGGGACAGACTGTACTCACCAGAAAAACTACATTAAGCTGCAGTTGTTCTGGTGACAATAGTGTCCCTTTAACCCCTTGAGGACACATGACATGCCTCAATGAATATTTTTGTTCTGTATTTACAGATGAAAATGAAGGAAAGGGACCTCAGTTGCGAAAAAGGATAAATGAGTCATTTATTACACGTGAGTTTACAGAGGAAGAGGTTCTATTTCAACTGTCAAAAGTAAAGACAAATAAGTCAATGGGACCTGATGGAATACACCCAAAGCTATTAAAAGAGCTTAGTGGTGTACTAGCAAAACCATTAACAGATTTATTTATCCAATCATTGTTAACAGGAGTAGTCCCAGAAGATTGGAAGTTAGCGAATGTTGTGCCCATTTACAAGAAAGGTAATAGGGAGGAGTCGGGCAACTATAGGCCAGTAAGCCTTACTTCAGTAGTGGGGAAAGTGATGGAAACCATGTTAAAGGATAGGATTGATGAACATCTAAAAACACATGGATTTCAAGATCAGAGACAACATGGGTTTACTTCAGGGAGATCATGCCAAACTAATCTTATTGATTTTTTTGATTGGGTAACTAAAATTATAGATCAGGGTGGTGCAGTAGACATTGCTTACCTAGATTTCAGTAAGGCTTTTGACACTGTTGCACATAGAAGGCTTATCAATAAACTGCAATCTTTAAGTTTGGATTCCAATATTGTTGAATGGGTAAGGCAGTGGCTGAGTGACAGGCAACAGAGGGTTGTAGTTAATGGAATATATTCGAAGCTTGGACTTGTCACCAGTGGGGTACCTCAGGGATCTGTACTTGGACCCATTCTCTTTAATATTTTTATTAGTGATATTGCAGAAGGTCTTGATGGTAAGGTATGTCTTTTTGCTGATGATACTAAGATATGTAACAGGGTTGATGTTCCAGGAGGGATAAGCCAAATGGCAAATGATTTAGGTAAACTAGAAAAATGGTCAGAATTGTGGCAACTGACATTTAATGTGGATAAGTGCAAGATAATGCATCTTGGATGTAAAAACCCAAGGGCAGAGTACAGAATATTTGATAGAGTCCTAACCTCAACATTTGAGGAAAGGGATTTAGGGGTGATTATTTCTGATGACTTAAAGGTAGGCAGACAATGTAATAGAGCAGCAGGAAATGCTAGCAGAATGCTTGGTTGTATTGGGAGAGGTATTAGCAGTAGAAGGAGGGAAGTGTTCATGCCATTGTACAGAACACTGGCGAGACCTCACTTGGAGTATTGTACGCGGTATTGGAGACCGTATCTTCAGAAGGATATTGATACCTTAGAGAGGGTTCAGAGAAGGGCTACTAAACTGGTTCATGGATTGCGGGATAAAACTTACCAGGAAAGGTTAAAGGATCTTAACATGTATAGCTTGGAGGAAAAAAGAGAGACAGAGGGGATATGATAGAAACATTTAAATATATAAAGGGAATCAACACAGTAAAGGAGGAGACTATATTTAAAAGAAGAAAAACTACCACAACAAGAGGACATAGTCTTAAATTAGAGGGACAAAGGTTTAAAAATAATATCAGGAAGTATTACTTTACTGAGAGGGTAGTGGATGCATGGAATAGCCTTCCAGCTGAAGTGGTAGAGGTTAACACAGTAAAGGAGTTTAAGCATGCGTGGGATAGGCATAAGGCTATCCTAACTATAAGATAAGGCCAGGGACTAATGAAAGTATTTAGAAATTGGGCAGACTAGATGGGCCGAATGGTTCTTATCTGCCGTCACATTCTATGTTTCTATGTTTCTAAGCCAAGACAATAAATGATATGTGTGTAAGTGCATTTTGATGACATCAGTGCATCAAAAGGCTCTGAGAAATGGTCATTCATAATCTGTCAGCTATACAATCCCTTTAAATAACACCTTAAAATAGCAAATTAAAAATAAATAAACCAAATCAGCTGTGTTTTCTGCAAGGCTATTTTGAATATATTTTGTATTCCTAACAACGCACAGCTTAGTGAATAAATCTAACAGAGAATCAGGCTGGAAAATGAAACAGACTGCGTGTGACAGCAGTACTATGCACACAAAGAGACAGAAAGACACACACAAAGACAGCTCAAAGGATTTATTGGCAATTACAGCTCAGGGTCAGAACTCAGGTGGACAGTGACAGCTTCACTCCCCTAAAATTTAGTTATTTGTGACCATCAACAAACGCAGATTTTAAAACAGGATTTATGGCTGTGCAACGTCCATAAGCTATTACTTACATTCACCAAAACGAACAAAATAACAGTCACACAATTTAAAGCAATAGAAGTTACTTTATTCTACTCTACGGCAGGTTTCATTTTTAGTTGAGATGCGATATTTCCTTTAAATAGGCAGACCCATACTTCACAAGTGTCCCTATTTAGGAAGGGCAGTCCCTATTTCAGGTCTAACGCCCTCTGTCCCTTATGTCTAGGAGCTCCATACTGTTGGGGGTGTTGGAGCATATAACAGAGCTCCACAGTAATATGTCTTTAAACTAAAATAAATGTGTTTAGAAGTCAGTCTCGTAAATAAGATACATTCTACAATACACTTTAGTTGCATGAATTGTTATAAGTAAATCACCTAAAATTTCTAAGACCAGCCCCCCCACACTCACACCACTAAAATTAAGGTGCCACTCTTTGTCCATTTAAAATGTTTGAAATCCGGTCACAACCACACAACTTACAGAAAAAAAAATAAAAAAATAGAAATCTGCATTAAAAAAGTGTAACAAACAGGGGGTAGATGGCCACGACCTTCTCACACCATAATCTATTCAAGGAGTATAGGTGGTTGTGGGGTTTGGCTCTTTAAAGTATGACAACACTACCTGTGAATATAGATTGTACTACTTATTGCGTCATTTCTGCTTTTTAACAGTTTTCATATCCCATTGTCTAATCGTGTGAATCTAAGGTTTTGGGCAGGGACGGGTTCCCATGCTATAATTAGAGTGTCCCTGGGATGGGATGGAAGCGTCCTATTCTCCGGGCCGTAGGCAACTGCCCACAGTAAGTTGTTTACTTCACAGCACTGCCTTCCCCGGGGCAATGGAAACACTGAAGAGTCTTATAAAGGCTTTCTGGAGAATTCATTTTAGTACTTTACAATTTAAAGGGTCAAAGAGTTAATTTTAGATTCGGGAATGGGATACAAACCTAACAGCATGCAAATAAGTTAAGTCCCTGTCAACAAAAAATGTTTAGAATCACTGGTCTAAATGTATTACGATTATGTAATAATACCTATTGTTTATAACTATGAATATTGTGTAGTAAACTAGAGACCCAAGGGGCAAATGAAGGGTTATGCTATGAATCCTCTTTAGGAGAGAGCAAGAGACAGGTTACTCTGGGAGGCCGTAAGCTTTCCTAAAGAGATGGGTTTTGAGGCACTTTTGAAATGATTGAAGACTAGGGGAGAGTCTGATGGCGGTAGGCAGGCTATTCAAAAAGAAAAGGAGCCACCCATGAGAAGTCCTGCAAGCGTGAGTTGGCCGTGCGGTGCAAGCAGCGGATAGAAGATCCTGGGCAGAGCGGAGAGACCGAGAAGGGGCATACCTGCAGATCAGTGAAGAGATATAGGAGGAGCTAGAATTGGTCAGTGCTTTATAGCTGTGGATTAGTACCTTGAATTGACTCCTAAAGGATACAGGAAGCCAATGCAAGGACTGACAAAGGGGAGGTGTGTGAGAGGAGCGACAGGAGAGGAAAATCAGTCTAGCTGCAGCATTCATTATAAACTGTACCGGGGCAATACGACTTGTGGGAAGACCTATTAGGAGAGAGTTACAATAATCCATGCAAAAGATTACTGGAGCATGGACAAGTTCCTTAGTAGCATCTTGCTTAAGAAAGGGACGGATGTGGGCTATGTTTTTAAGGTGAAATATACAGGATTTGTTAACAGACTGAATGTGAGGCCAGAATCAAGTATAACGCCAAGACAGCGTGCTTGCAAGGATGGACTGATGTGGGTACCACTAACTTGAAGGAAGAGTGAAGGAGGAGGATCAGTATTAGGAGGAGGAAAGACAAGTAGTTCAGTTTTAGAGAGATTGAGTTTCAAAAAGCGGGAGGACATCCAGTCAGAGATGGAAGAAAGGCAAGCAGTGACACGTTCCAGGACAGCAGGGGAGATGTCCGGGGAGGAGAGCTATATCTGAGTATCATCAGCGTACAGGTGGTATTATAATCCAAATGAGGTTATAAATTTGCCAAGAGAGGCAGTATAAAGATAAAATAGAAGGGGATCAAGTACAGAGGTTTGAGGGACTGCAACCGAGACAGAACGAAGGGAGGAGGTATCATTAGAAAAGGAGACACTGAATGAGCATTGTGAGAGATAGGAGGAAAACCATGAGAGGACAGAGTCACAGAGACAGAGTGATTGAAGATTTTGGAGAAGGAGATCATGGTCAACAGTTTCAAAGGCAGCAGAGAGGTCAAGAAGAATTAGTATGGAGTAGTGGCCTTTGGATTTAGCTGTGATTAGGGATCAGTAGAGTGGAGGGGGCGGAAGCCAGACTGAAGATGATCAAGAAAAGAGTTGAAATTGAGGAAACAAGTCAGATGGGTAAAGACCAGTCTTTCCAGAAGCTTTGAGGAAAAAGGGAGCAGAGATATAGGACGATAGTTAAAAGGGGAGGATGAGACGAGACATGGCTTCTTTAAGATGGGTAGCATGTTTAAGGGCAGCAAGGACAACACCAGAAGAGAGAGCGCAGTTGAAGGAAGGCACATGACAAGAGGAGAGAGATCTGATAAGGTGAGCCGGGACAGGATCAAGCTGGCAATTGATGGGGCGAGAGGAAAGGAGAAGCGCAGCCACCGCTGGTTCAGTAGCCTGGGAGAAAGTCTGAAGGGTAGGAAAGGCATGATCCAGGTGAGGTTGAGAAATAAAGGGGCAAGGTGGGGAGAATTCTTTCCTTAGCTGTTCTATCTCGTCGTTAAAGTAGCATGCAAAGCTATCGGCTGTAAGGTTAGTTTGGGGGGTGGCCACAGCAGGGTGAAGAAGGGAGTTAAAAGGTATTAAAAAGACGCCTGGGATTGCGGGAGCATGAGCTAATCAGGGAGGAAAAGTATGACTGTTTGGCAAGGTCTGTGCTGTGTGAACACAACATGAATTTGTAGTGGAGGAAGTCAGACTGGGTGCGTGACTTCCCCCAGCAGCATTCAGCACAACGGGAGCATCTCTGCAGGTAGCGTGTTGATTTTGTGTGAGACGGTTGGGGCGTGTTCTCCTCAAGGTGCATGTTTGGAGCGGGGCTGCAGCGTCCAGGGCAGAGGTTAGGGTAGTGTTATATGAGGAGATAGCCAGTGAGGGACAGGAGAAAGTAGGGATGGATGGAAGTTGGGAATCAATATTAGCTGATAGCTGCTGGAGGTCAATGTAATTCAGATTTCTTCTTAGTTGAGGGGTTTAGGTTGAGGATGATGGTTACGGGGCTATTGAGAGCAAAGGATAAGGGGTGGTGATCTGAGAGAGGAAATGGGAGTGTTGCAGAAATTAGAGATTGTACATTCATGAGAGAAATTTTTAGAATGTTTTATGACAACTTACCTGGGTCCAAGGCTGCATCTGCTGCTGGGGAATTCAGTTAACTGAACTTAAAGGATCACTATAGTGTCAGGAAAACAAAGCGGTTTTCCTGACACTATAGTGCCCTGAGGGTGCCCCCAACCTCAGGGTCCCCCTCCCGTTAAAACCCCTTCAGCAGCATTTCTTATTCAAGTGCCAGGCTCCCTCGGCGCTGGTGACCTCTCCTCCCCCGCCGACGTCAGCGGAGCCGAATGCACTTGTGCGGCAAGTGCCGCGCGCATTCAAGCTGTCAAGAGGAAAGCATTTTTAAAGGCTTTCCTATGGACGCTCTGCGCGATGGAGGCATAATATGCCTCCAGCGTCGCAGATGCGCCTCTAGTGGCTGTCAGGAAGACAGCCACTAGAGGCTGGCTTAACCCCAAATGTAAACACAGCAGTTTTTCTGAAACTGCTATGTTTGCATCTGAAGGGTTAAAACCTGAGGGACCTGGCACCCAGACCACTTCATTGAGCTGAAGTGGTCTGGGTGACTATAGTGTCCCTTTAAGGACAAAAGCAAAGACACTCAATGACACTATAATAACAATACATCAGTCTGCAGTAGTTATGGTGCTTGGAGTGTTTATTTAATGAAGACACAGGCACTTTCTCCAAGAGAGTAAAGAGATACTGGCAGAATCCTGCCTATGCAGATGGATTAGGTATGGCTGTTTCAAGCAGTTTAATACTCTCTGCATGATAAACTGCCCATAAAAGGCAGTGGTAGAAATCAGGTACCCCCTAGTCTGAAGCAACTGGAGGTGAGGTCAAGAGGGGTGGCAAAATTTTTTTTTTTTTACTAGGCTGCACTATATTTTAGAAATTACAAACAGTGATGCAAAACCAGCACAAAATGTACCCGTTCACATCTAAATGGATATAAACAGCACTGAACAAGATTAACTCGGTGTGTATTGCAGCATCGCACATGTGCTGGCTGCAAACTAGATTTAATACGGGGAGGGTCACGCAGTGTGTCACAAGCCCCATCCTGCAGACAATGAGATAACATTATTCTGGAGATTGGACCAGCGCAGTGATTGCAAGGATGTCACAACAGTGATATGTAAAGGGGGTCCGTGGATTCAGTTCTGTTAGAATATCAGATGGTAGGGCTTAGGGGGATTATGAAGAAAAAAATATTTTTTTGTAGTTGTTGCGGTCAGGAATAACCTAGATTATTAGAAGTTTACTTGGACACTTTTTATGTAAAAATTTGTTGTATATTTAATAAAATATAATAAAGATGAGAAGATACTGTGGAACCGTGCCGATTCTGTGTCTTGGACTGGCAGAGGATTCTAAACGGTCCATTAGACAATGTACCTGTATCTTTAAATATATTTTCTTATCACCACTACTAAAAGGAAACTCCATGCTGTAATCCTTAAAGATAAAGAGGTATCTACACATCTGTTATAAAACTACAATTCCATCATGCATTACCAGCCTATAGCAATTAAAGTTGAGATAGAGGTCTAAAAAGGAATAGCACCTTGAGTGGGTTATAACAGAGAATGAGCCCCCTAAGTATGGTTCATTATCTCTTGTACATCTCTGACCTTCTTTAACACGACTTAAAGGGACACTCTTTTCTGAAATTGGTACGTCTTCATTGCAATATATAGGTAAGGCATTCAAATACAAGCAAAAAAAAAACAAATATGAAAAAAACAAAAACAAAAAAAAACTAACACACATACTAGGTTGGGATGGACAAAGCAAATCTCAAACGGCCCCTCTGGGCTTCCATAGCATGCATAGATCAGGAAGTGCTCCTAATTTACTGTAGCAATCTGGTCACAAACAAGAGCTGTCTATAAACCAGTCAGCTTAACACAGTACGTAGAATGTGTGTTTATAAGTACATATACACACAAACTCACAGAATACAAATAACGATCTCAACAGACAAACAAACACATGCACATATTATATTCTAAACAATGAATACATTTCTTCTCCCATAGGAACTGACTGTGGCTCACTAAGGAAGGTGTCAGCTCCCTTCATCGTTCACCCACCTCCTCATGTTCACACTCCCTACTCCCCCGACACCCAGTGCGTTCTTCAATCAACCCCCCTTTAACATCTGCCTCTGTCACTCAGCAAGCAATCCTGTTGTGATAGATACAGACTGATCTGATATTGAATATTATACTTTTTCAACATGTATTTATCTGACACACAAAGAGATATGAACACACGTCAGTCACATAGTATTAGTTTCAGGACATAATATTAAAATATACACAAATGAAATGAAATTATATTTGGCAGATTTTTTATTTGACATGCAGATATACAACACCTATCTGGAAAATGCAGAGCACAATTCAGGAGAAGATGGGATAAAACATTAACAAAGGTGGGCTTTTGTCCAGAGCCCCCTGTGCCATTTGATTCATTTTGACTACATTGACTGGGTTCTGGTGACGGATCCTTTTGGATCATAGCCCATTATTTTTATTTTTAAATGTCAATTGCCAAGTGTACCTGCAGAAATGCAATATGGAACATTATGCCTGTCTGTGCTCATTTGCATCTCAAGCTGGGAACTCTGGGATAGTTGTAGAAACACGATTTCTAGAGTTTCTGTTTCCAAGAAGGACGACTTAAGTCAAACGTGAAATATGAATGTGATGCATAATAGTAGTTTTGTATTTGCATTGTAGGAAGTTTTATTGTATCTGGTCTCACCACAATCGTGTGGTACCGAGCTACAATATGCAGCGTCAGCCATGTTTCTGCTGAAACTGTCCAGTGTACAGCGCAATAGATTGGTGCTTTATAACCAACAATAAATACAGGGTAATAAAATTATAATTACTGTCAAACATTTCTGTTTGTAGTGCAGCATTTATCTCACTTTATACAGTATATTTACATTAGTTTTGTACCCACTCTCTATGCTTCACATTTCTCAATTCACAATATGATGCACAATCAGGATTGTTAAAGGGACACTATAGTCACCAGAACAACTTCAGCTTATTGAATTTGTTCTGGTGAGTAGAATCATTACCTTCAGGGTTTTTGCTGTAAACACTGTCTTTTCAGAGAAAATGCAGTGTTTACATTACAGCCTAGTGATAATTTCACTGGCCACTCCTTAGATCGCTGTTAGAGATCCTTCCTGGGTCATGGCTGCCTAAAATGCATCCAAACATCCAGTATCTCCTCCCTCTGCATGCAGACACTGAATTTTCCTCATAGAGATTCATTGATTCAATTCATCTCTATGAGGAGATGCTGTGTTTGAATCATGCTGGCTCTGCCCCTGATCTGCCTCTTTGTCAGTCTCAGCCAATCCTATAGGGAAGCACTGTGACTGGATCAGGCTACCACTTCTGATGATGTCTGCAGACTGCTTGTTTTTTTGAGGCAAACAGCATGCAGATCTACAGCTTCTGGCTTGAATACAGTAAGATATTGCCATATTTATGGAGGCATGAGGGGCCCAGGGGGGCTAGATGGTGGTTTTAACACTATAGGGTCAGGAATACATGCTTGTGGTCAAGACCCTATAGCGATCCTTTAATGAAAGTGTGACATTCCGGTTATTAAAAGTGAATTTCAAATTTCAGGCAAAAACAGTTGAACTGGGTAATATTGGATAAGTCCAGTCAAGACTGCATTGAATTAACAAGCTATGCTCTACTGCAGAGGAAACCAACAAGCAGCTGTCCAGTCAGTAAAACTACATTTCCCATGATGCTATACCAGTCTAACAGGGTTATTCACTAACGTGAGAATTACCAGGAATTCAAAGTAAATTTAAAGGCATCCTATAGTGCCAGGAAAACAAAGCCATGTTCATGGCATTATGGATTTCTAAGGTTCCCTCCTCCCTTGGCACTGGGTCAGGCTCTGCCCATGCTCCTCCCCCACCGTCAGCCTGCGGGGTAGACCTAATGAGCATATGCGGCAATGGCCGCGCTCGCATTAGGATTTCCCCATAGGAACGCATTCATCAATGCTTTCCTATGGGGAAAATCTGACACAGAGCGTGAGGACGTCCAGCGTCGGATAACGGACAAAAGGTCAGTTTGGATTTCGGAAGCCCTCTAGTGGCTGTCTGGTAGACATGTTTTACATTGCAGCACCAAGTGCAAAAGGGTCACAGCACGCGGACCACTTCAATGAGCTGAAGTGGTCTGGGTGCCTACAGTGTCCCTTTAAACTGTAAGGTCAAAACAGCCGAACTGAAAACAGAATTGACTGGAAGAATTTTTAGTAATTTGGTATTTTGGCCTAAATTGTTAAAATTCAGTCTGAATTTCCAGCAATTCTCACTTTAATAAAAAAAAGAAAAAAAAAAAAAGAGTTGGGTTTGCATCATCACCATCTTGCAATAGCTGTGCACCTACTTGTTGGTCACATGTACTTTAAAGAAACACTCTAGCGATAGGAATACAAACCTGTATTCATAACGCTATTGTCCCCGTATTTGCAGAGTAGTTTAAGGTATCCCGCCCATTTTCAGTAAAGTGCTAAATAAAATAAACCTTTAACTTATCTTTTCTCCAGCACCCAGACTCCCTCTGCGCTTCCGAATGCTCCGCCTCCTGTGATGTTATTCGGCTCTTTAGCCGATGGCCAATCCAAGAGGAGCATTGAAAACTGATGCACATGCACAGTGAGTGTCACACACATCCAAATGCTAGTCACAGGAAAGCATTGAATTCAACTTCATGTAACCGGGTTTTACTTGGTTGTTCTAGAGGAAGCGCCTCTAGTGGCTGTCTGGAAGACAGTCACTAGTGGTGTTTTTAACTCTGCATTGTAAACATTGCAGTTTCTATAAAACATTGCAGAGTTAAAATAATAGGACCACGTCACGCAGAACAGTTCATTGAGATGAAGCCGTCTGGGTGACTTTAGTAGTCCTTTAAGGAATCTGACGCACTAAGTGGATCCTTCCCACCATATACTCTTATTAGACTGGTTATTTAAGAAGGTGGTCCCAAACTTGCACACCTACCTCTGAAACTTTGTATTCACAGGTCAACTTCTTTCCTTTGACTGCATCATTCAAGGCCAGGACAAAACCCATATAATCTGCGTAGGCCTGGATCACAAGAGACAGATATCAGAATGGTACATAAAAAAAAAAAAAAAAGTTGCCTTGCGTTAGAAATTAAAAAAAATAAATAAATCTCAGTTACTCAAAAGGGCAGGCCTGGCCTTCTTAGTGGTTATGATGCTATGGTCTAGGGGAGATGTCTACTTGGATTGAGGAGGTTGCATTTCCAAATGTCCACCCTGCTCCCCCCTCTTTCTACATGTATCTGCCTAGTGCTGAGCTCATGTGGACAGCGATGGCACTGAAGACATGTATGAGCGCACAATGTGAGACTGTGGTGGCAACAGGAGAAAGTTAATTTTATGTCTGACAGTTGGTCAGTGTTTATTAAAAATAAAATTACGCCCCATGCCCATGGTGCCCAAGTCCAAGGTAGTAGGTAACACTGCACATTTTAAATTGTGATTCATTAAAAATGGAGTGAATTTAAAAATAATCAAACTAGGAACAAGCAGTTTGAATAGGAATGGCACAGTAAGAAGTTAGTATGAGGTGACAGAACAGTACTGCCTTTATATATAGATTGATGCCGAACCCCTTAGTAGGCGCATGCGCAATTACTGATGAGACAGCTGGAGGTTATGGTGAAACAAATACAAAAGTGCAAAGGCAGCCCCAGACACGAACTCATGGAATTTATAATAAAATTTAAAAATTAAAAAAGACATGAAGCAGTCCAAATCTATTTTTATATAATTTAAAGGATTCCTGTCATGTTCCCTATAACCTTTGCTCCTTTTACAGAGCAAAAATCTCTTTAAAAGTAGGTCTTTCTCACACCCGTCAGTCAATTCTTCCACACAGAATCTAACAAGGGAGAGCAGAAGAGGCCTTCCACAGGTGATCCTTCTGCTCTGCGAACACGGTAACATGAGCACATGCGCTCTGGTTGCCATGGCAACATCATGACTTTGTCATGTAGGATTATTTTCCTCTACACTTTTTATTTATTTATGTTAAAATTATTGCGATAAGTGTACAATTGTGTTTTACAATAAAAGTTCTGACAAGCTGACACGGTTATTGCTAGCTAGAGAATACAGGAACCGAGTGACTGACATCATTCAGATGCCAACAACAAAGCCAGTGTCGGCAAGACAGAGGAGGTTTGTCCTGTGCGGGGACGTGTCTCCAAGCAGGGCAAATCAAACAAGAAAGCAGGCAAAGCACATTAGGAGTGGAGGTCATGATGTTGGTGAATCAGAGGTAAGGCAAATTAAAGGAACACTCCACTGCCAAAATACAAAATAAATGAAATACACTGTAAAGTAGATATACTCCAAATGAAAACATGTATGCATTTAATTATTCATTTTTCCACTGGGAGTATATCTAAAAACAACTTGCAATAGTTGCAGATCTCATGTTTGCCACCTTTGCAAGTCCTTCCCTTCAAGCCCCGCTGATACGTTCTGTGGTTGTCCAATCAAAGACTTCTCAATGCAGCTCAATGAGAAGTCTTTGTAAGGCTGGTGCTCTGAGCAATTGCTGCCAATTAAATTTAGCTCCACTGAGCTAACCAAACCAGGATGTAACAGGACCTGTTGTCTACTTGAACACCACAGGGCTGTAAATAGTATACCGTATTTATCGGCGTATAACACGCACCGGTGTATAACACGCACCTCATTTTAAGAAAGAAATTTCAGGAAAAAAAAAACTTAAATTTCAAATAAAGAACTTCTTACCCCCTTCTTACTCCCCCCTCCCCCTCTTCTTACCGCCCTTTCTTACTCCCCCCTCCCCTCTTCTTACTTCCCCCTCTTCTTACCCCCTTTCTTACTCCCTTCTCTTCTTACTTCCCCTTCCTTCTTACTCCCCTCCCTTACCCCTTTCTTACTCCCTTCTCCCCCTCTTCTTACCCCCCCCTTTCTTACTCCTTCTCCCCTCTTCTTACCCCCTTCTTACTCCCTTCTCCCTCTCTTCTTACTTCCCCTCTTACCCCTTCTTACTCCCCTCCCCCTCTTCTTACCCCCCCTTTCTTACTCCCCCTCCCCTACCTCCCTCTCTTCTTACCCCCTTTCTTACTCCCCCCTCCCCTCTATTACCCCCTTCTTACCCCCCCTCCCCTCTTCTTACTCCCCGTGGCGTGGCCGAGCTGCTCTGCTGTCCGCGGTGGCCGGCCGGAGTGATAGGAAGGTGCACGCTCAGTACAGGAAAGAGAAATAGGAATGGCACAGTAAGAAGTTAGTATGAGGTGACAGAACAGTACTGCCTTTATATATAGATTGATGCCGAACCCCTTAGTAGGCGCATGCGCAATTACTGATGAGACAGCTGGAGGTTATGGTGAAACAAATACAAAAGTGCAAAGGCAGCCCCAGACACGAACTCATGGAATTTATAATAAAATTTAAAAATTAAAAAAGACATGAAGCAGTCCAAATCTATTTTTATATAATTTAAAGGATTCCTGTCATGTTCCCTATAACCTTTGCTCCTTTTACAGAGCAAAAATCTCTTTAAAAGTAGGTCTTTCTCACACCCGTCAGTCAATTCTTCCACACAGAATCTAACAAGGGAGAGCAGAAGAGGCCTTCCACAGGTGATCCTTCTGCTCTGCGAACACGGTAACATGAGCACATGCGCTCTGGTTGCAGGATTATTTTCCTCTACACTTTTTATTTATTTATGTTAAAATTATTGCGATAAGTGTACAATTGTGTTTTACAATAAAAGTTCTGACAAGCTGACACGGTTATTGCTAGCTAGAGAATACAGGAACCGAGTGACTGACATCATTCAGATGCCAACAACAAAGCCAGTGTCGGCAAGACAGAGGAGGTTTGTCCTGTGCGGGGACGTGTCTCCAAGCAGGGCAAATCAAACAAGAAAGCAGGCAAAGCACATTAGGAGTGGAGGTCATGATGTTGGTGAATCAGAGGTAAGGCAAATTAAAGGAACACTCCACTGCCAAAATACAAAATAAATGAAATACACTGTAAAGTAGATATACTCCAAATGAAAACATGTATGCATTTAATTATTCATTTTTCCACTGGGAGTATATCTAAAAACAACTTGCAATAGTTGCAGATCTCATGTTTGCCACCTTTGCAAGTCCTTCCCTTCAAGCCCCGCTGATACGTTCTGTGGTTGTCCAATCAAAGACTTCTCAATGCAGCTCAATGAGAAGTCTTTGTAAGGCTGGTGCTCTGAGCAATTGCTGCCAATTAAATTTAGCTCCACTGAGCTAACCAAACCAGGATGTAACAGGACCTGTTGTCTACTTGAACACCACAGGGCTGTAAATAGTATACCGTATTTATCGGCGTATAACACGCACCGGTGTATAACACGCACCTCATTTTAAGAAAGAAATTTCAGAAAAAAAAAAACTTAAATTTCAAATAAAGAACTTCTTACCCCCTTCTTACTCCCCCCTCCCCCTCTTCTTACCGCCCTTTCTTACTCCCCCCTCCCCTCTTCTTACTTCCCCCTCTTCTTGCCCCCCTTTCTTACTCCCTTCTCCCCTCTTCTTACTTCCCCTTGCCTTCTTACTCCTCCCCACTTGCTTTCTTACTCCTTCTCCCCCTCTTCTTACCCCCCCCTTTCTTACTCCTTCCCCTCTTCTTACCCCCCTTTCTTACTCCTTCTCCCTCTCTTCTTACTTCCCCTCTTACCCCCTTCTTACTCCCCCTCCCCTCTTCTTACCCCCTTTCTTACTCCCCTCCTACCTCCCTCTTCTTACCCCTTTCACTCCCCCTCCCCTCCCATGCCTCCCCCCTCTTCTTCTCCCCGTGGCGTGGCCGAGCCGCTCTGCTGTCCGCGGTGGCCGGCCGGAGTGATAGGAAGGTGCACGCTCAGTGTGCACCTTCCTGTCAGTCCGACCGGGTACAGGAAAGAGAAACTCCTGTTCCGCGCGGAACAGGAGTTTCTGTTTCCTGTACCCGGTCGGACTGACAAGAAGGTGCACACTGAGCGTGCACCTTCCTATCACTCCGGCCGGCCACCGCGGACAGCAGAGCAGCTCGGCCATGCTACAGGAGAGGTGAGAACCAACTGCAGCCGCCTGACCGCTCTTGACAGAGCGCTCAGGCGGCTGCAGCATTTAAAGGGCCGGCGTATAACACGCACCCATAATTTGCCCCCTATTTTCAGGGAGAAAAAGTGCGTGTTATACGCCAATAAATACGGTAATTTATAAAAAAGTGTCAATTTCTTTTGAAACATAGAATGTGAGGGCAGATAAGAACCATTCGGTCCATCTAGTCTGCCCAATTTTCTAAATACTTTCATTAGTCCCTGGCCTTATATTATAATTAGGATAGCCTTATGCCTATCCCACGCATGCTTAAACTCCTTTACTGTGTTAACCTCTACCACTTCAACTGGAAGGCTATTCCATGCATCCACTACCCTCTCAGTAAAGTAATACTTCCGGATATTATTTTTAAACCTTTGCCCCTCTAATTTAAGACTATGTCCTTTTGTAGTAATTTTTCTTATTTTAAATATAGTGTCCTCCTTTACTGTGTTGATTCCCTTTATGTATTTAAAGGTTTCTATCATATCCCCCCGTCTCATCTTTTCCACAAACTATACATGTTAAGATATTTGTGCATGCTTTTAAGCAGATTGGCCCCATCAGAAATACATGCCTTAGAAGCAATCTAAAATGATCTGAGGCGTACCTATGGTTGCACCTCCGGTGTCATTACACTTCCCCTCCTTACTACTCACATTGTTCCAGACAGTAATGTACCTAAGCAGGGCCACGGGAGAGTATTTTCTCTGACCCGTCTGCACTGTGCCCCCACCGTCCATACACAGGAAGTCACCTCCATGATTGTACGCTACTGGTAATCACAATGATTGGCTCTCAGAGTGATCGCACTGCAGAGGAACTAATAAAATCACTATTGCTGGACTCTCTCACTGTTGAGACAGCCAGTAATAACACCGTGAGGCTGATTTAAGCAATCACTGCTATAACCAGGTACCCAGCTGTCAGTTACAGCATATGATCACTGTGAGCGACTTTTACAATGTTCGTTAGCCCAACATTCTTGGGCTATTACTGGAAAGTCTCAGTGCAACTGCAGTGTTTAAAGGTTTAAATGGAAATCACATGATGCCTAGTTGTGATAGACATGTGATTGCTGGGGGGTGAGGGACTTCCATACTATTTCACAAATGAGGCATAAAGAAAGAGAAGAGTACCAGTTTGAATTGTGTGCTGTAGTGGTTATGGTGTCAGGAGTGCCCTGTACCCCTCCTATTTTCCCTATGTAAGTAGTCAAACTCTTTGTCAACGGTTTGTTTTATTACATGGGGTTGGCCAGACACCAGATCTTGCCACCAGATTAGAGCCGGAAGCTATAAGCCCTGCCCGGTGATGCAGGACCTAGCTCATTGGCTGAAATTAGTCAGCTGATGCTCTCAGGCATCAAAAATTCCAAATTAAGGATGAGCCCATTCTTTTTCAGTTTTCTTTATTTATGGTTTCATTTTCAATTTTGAAATTTCATGAATCTTACAAACAGACTTGGAGATACAGTTGCAGAGGTAAAGAATATGCATGAACCATTAGTACTGCTTTTGAACATTGGCTAACAGCGTTCTAAGGAATTAAGTTTTCTTATTAAGATTGCCAGACCATTATTCAGTAGAAGAGGTCTATAGAAAAATAAAAACATTTAAAAAAGATCGAACTTTTGGGATTGCCTATGTGAACATAACTACAAAGTATTGTCGTCCCGGTCCCCCCAGTAAAATTAAATATGGTACCAATACCTTAAATCACTAAAGGGCCACTCCACCTCATAATAACTTAATCTCAAAGATTTCATAGGGGCTGGAGTCCCTGAGCACTTTTTCACCTAAACCGTTTTTGAACGGTTTAACCTCAAAGCTGTCCCCCAAGCAGCTGTCTATCTTATCACCTCAGTCCTTCTCCAGCTGCCACAGTGATCATAAAAGTTTAGCCTTGGGTGTTGGCTGAGCAACCTACCCGTAGTCGATCATTGTAGCAGTAAGTTATTACTGGTGCCCAAGGCAAACCGGTGCAGTCAAGAGGAAGCACAGAGGAGGGGAAGTTGTAGAAAGGCACCCAGGAACTCTGGAGTGTTGCTTTCATACAAGGTTGATTCATACACACATATGCATAGGTTTTTATACCTCATATACTATATTTCCATTCATCTGTGAAGAAAATATGTTCTATCAGACTCATCATTTCCACTAGCTCTGATTTTATCTAAGGAAGATATTTTCCTTTGCACAACAAAAATAAATAAATGAAGCTCTTTCAAGTTTTGGAAAACGTTCTAATCATACTTTGAGTGCTACATGGTAATGGCTGCATTAATACTAGAAGCCATTTGCAATTGTATGCAGTAAACAACTGATCATTTTAAAGAATCATAAATCAAGCCACAAGAAAATACACTTCTAGAACCTTACTCCCAAGTCATGTGGACTGAAATCAATTTAAAAGGCATGTTTTAAATTTGACTTCATCTACTGACTGAAGCCAAAAATAAAACCAATCCTAAAATATGTGATCTCTGCAGTGTAATATGAATTTATATCACTAGAGGGCGCCTACTACACATTCTCTGACTGCAATGATGCGCACTTTGTGTTTGTTACTAAGCCTACGTTTGGTCTAAGAAAAAATATATTCAAATGCTACAAGTGTGTAATGATGAAAAGCAGATAGTTTGATTTTTCAGTAGGGATGTTGATGGGGAGCATGGGGCTTCATGATCCTTTTGGCTTTTTAAAGGGACACTATAGGCACTCAAAACAATTGAAGACTAAAAAAATGTAAGTGCCAAAAGAATTCAAACACCGGTTTTCACGTTTAAGTGTCAAATAAGCAATGCTTTATAATGTGGTAAACTTGAAAAGTGCCTGGTAGTCCTCTAAGTAGTTCAAAAGAGCGTGTAAAGAGGTCACTGGTTGGAAGTGCCAGATATGAGCAAAAAAAGTTTTTTGCGATTTCCCAACATTTTCGCTTTTGGCACTTACTACGTTTACCACTTTTAGTCCTCAATTCATTTTACTGAAGTGTTCTGGGTACAGTGTCTCTGTCTAATAACTCGTCGCTTTAAAACATTGCAGTTTTAAAGAAAATACAATGTTTACATTGCACTGTTAAGACAACTGGTCTCTAATGGAGTTTTACTCTGTGAAATGATGCTGGACAGCCTCACACTTTAGTTTACTACTTTTCTATGGGTAAGTTCTAGTTCCCTCATCGGCGTTAAGTCTCGGGAGGAGAAAATCTAGCCAGAGCTGAGAGACCTCGGTGCTGGAAAGAGGCAGGTGGGAGAAAAATATTTTTTATCCTTTCAGGAGCAGAGGTGTGGGGGGCAGTGGGGGAGCAAATAAGTTAGGGACAGGGCACACTATGATGTTAGGAGTACAAGTTTGTATTGTACTACTTAAAAAGGGTTTGAATAACCCTTTAATATGGACTAAGTTATTTGCCTCGTCTAGCATGTCTTCGCATCCTTGGCAACCCTCACAACTACATTTTCCAGACCCTACGCAATATCCCATAAATATAATCATTAACAGAATTCAATAAAACAAACACCTGGGATCGCTTCCATTTGGCCATATCAGGAACTGTACTGATTTCTTTCTTTGGGACAATGAAGCAATGTCCATGAAGAGATGCAGGGACCTCATCCTTTGGAGAGGGGTCTGAAAGAAAGGAAAAATGGTACAATTTAAATAAACATGTGACATTCTGTAAAGATCCTATTTTTAACAAATGCTTGGAAGAGATAGAGCCACTTGAAAAGACTATGATGCCTCGAATTCTTTTTTAACAGGTGATAATATTGACTGTGAACAATAATTTTTATATAGTGTCGCTCCTGTGAGTGGTGGCACTGGCAGATTTGTAAATCCCTCTGTAATGATAAAGACTTGCAGCAAAGTGAGAAATAAACATTTCGTCCCGCTGCTTCAAATAAGCAAGTAAACCTCTCATCTACAACCCAGGAATAGTCATGAAGTTACAGAGTTACCATTTATTGTTCAACATTATCATAGGACTCAAAGTCCATGGATCAGTATTGACGTGAGCCATACAAACATCACAAAAACTGATAAAACTTTATAGATTTTGAGGAGTAAACTCTTCCTTTGATTGAGTGGCAATTAGAGCTGAACTTTTGTTATTATAGGACTCGTTCACACTAAATTAATAGGGAAAAGTTCAGGTTTCTGCGGTCCTCCTTTATCCCGACAGCTGGCAAGCTTGTGCCCCTCTACAGTTCCACTGTATTTGTGTACCAATGGTGACATAAAATATACAAGCAACTTGAGAATGAGAAAAGATTAGAAAATAAATTATTATTTTATATAGTGCCATCAAATTCCGCAGCGCTTTAAAATGGGTGGATGAACAGACACGTAGTTGTAACCAGACAAGTTGGACACACAGGAACAGAGGGGTTAAAGGACCACTATAGTGCCATGAAAACATACTCGTTTTCCTGGCACTGTAGTGCCCTGAGGGTGCCCCCACCCTCAGGGTCCCCCTCCCGCCCGGCTCTGGAAGGGGGAAAGGGGTAAAAACTTACCCTTTTCCAGCGCTGGGCGGGGAGCTCTGTCGGATGAATCCGCCCCGTCGGATGAATGCGCACGAGCGGCAAGAGCTGCGCGCGCAGCCGGTCGCATAGGAAAGCATTATCAATGCTTTCCTATGGACGCTTGCGTGCTCTCACTGTGATTTTCACAGTGAGAATCACGCAAGCGCCTCTAGTGGCTGTCAATGAGACAGCCACTAGAGGATTTGGAGGAAGGCTTAACCCATTGATAAACATAGCAGTTTCTCCGAAACTGCTATGTTTATAAAAAAAAATGGGTTAACCCTAGCTGGACCAGGCACCCAGACCACTTCATTAAGCTGAAGTGGTCTGGGTGCCTAGAGTGGTCCTTTAAGGGCCCTGCTCAATGAGCTTACATGCTAGAAGGAGTGGGGTAAAATGACACAAAAAGGTAAGGATAGTATTAGACTAATGACAGTTGCAGAAGATGAACCAGTCAGGAGCTATTAACAGTTTAATTGATACGCTTTTATGAAGAAGTGTGTTTTTAATGATTTTTTTTGAAGGAGTGGAGATTTTTTGAAGGAATGGCTCAAAGCAACTATTTGGAGAAAAATACAAATTATTAGCTTAGAAATATGCATCATTAGGGGAAACAAATGACCATTCTGTCTCCACAACCAATAATCCCAAGGCTGGTGTGAGCCTTGACGAATGGTTTTATTGTGCAGTGTAAGTGCTTGTGTGTAAGATTCCTGTATTATCTATGCTAAGATTTACCTTTAACCTGGAAAAGTTTCAGTAGATAAACTAGCTCATAGTTCAGCTGGCAGAGTATTCAGGTAACTGTGGAAGATTATTTAAAGTAACAACAGTGGAACCGATTTTATCAAAAGGACCACAGATTATGGGTCCAAAGCTAAATAAATAAGAACCATTAATTGGGTTTTATTACTAAAATACCTACTAATCAGCTGCTCAACACAACATGATGCCCTAAGTGCTTAACCTCAGGGCGAGATGTATTAAGAATACAAACTATCATGATTTATCATGGAGGATGAAATGAGATTACATATGAGGATGTCATCAGTAATGTTCTTACATGTGTCATTGTGAGGAGCCCTAGTAATTTGGGGAAAGTAAGAAACCTGTGCATATTTGCAAAGACGCATGTCAATGCTTGCATTGTGACTCCCAGCCGGATGATTTACTATGATAAATAGAAAGTTAAACAAACAACTAGGAAGTAGTGTTGAATCACAGACATGCGTGTACTAACAAGTCACGCAGCACGAACACATATCAGACATTTCAAAAATAACCTATGGGTATTTCCTGATCTAAAGAAAATAAATAAATATTATTTAAAAAGCATTTAACAGCTAGTAATGCGTTTATGACAATGCACTTATTGGAATAATAGTAATAATAATAAAGTGACAAGATTGCAGAATCCCATCTGATCAATTTGTACCCCAGCACAAAGAGGAAGGCTATACTTCTGCTAAAAAAAAAATTGGTTTCAGTTTTTCTTTAAGAGAATTATTGTAAGAGCAGCTTTGCCATACATGTCCTAATTCTAAAGGTTCCTTAATGGGATGCATGCACCCTACGTTATGGTTTTTTTTATGGGAAGCATTACATTGGCTAGCACTAATAGTTTCCAAGAGGATGAGAGAAACTGTGACAAGGGACTGGATTGCCAATTAAATAAACTATTAAATAACTACCACAGCCCGCTATTACTTTTACTCCCAGAGTAAACTATCAAACTTTATTACAATCCACTAGATTGCCAGCTCCACAGTCCAAATAGAGCATACGTGATGTTATGGGTTACATTTATTTAACCCCTTAAGGACACATGACATGTGTGACATGTCATGATTCCCTTTTATTCCAGAAGTTTGGTCCTTAAGGGGTTAAAGGGACACTATAGGCACCATAACCACTACAGCTTAATATAGTAGTTCTGGGGAAAATAGAGTGTCTCTGCAGCCTGTGAGAAAACACAGTGTTTACACTAATGCCTAAGACCATCTCTAGCGGCTGTCATTCTGACAGCCACTAGAGGACCTTCCTGGATGAGGTCCTACAAAGATTGCAGGACATACATACAGTGCTAAACACCCACTGTAGAAATGCACTGCATCTCTACAAGAAGATGTTGACTGGTTGCAGAGCTTTTTTTTTTTTTTTTTAAACATACTTCTGGTGGGGGGGGAGTGGGGTGCAATAATCTATATAGGTGGGCTAACACTATAGCATTCGTGTCCTACAGCCTTTAATGTTCTTTTAAGTACCATCACTATACAGGGTGAGGATTAATTAAGAACTATAGGACTTTTGCACAAACTTGATCTACAGAAAGAATAACTCTCAGCAGCCATACTGTGATCACAGCTGACTTGGAAAAAATTTGAATTTCGATTTGATTATTCTGGCCTGAAATATATATATATATATATATATATATATATATATAAATATATAAATGACATCCCACCAAGGCAGAATGTAATAAATAGCCCTGCCAGAGTCGTGTTTACATTATCCAGGCTCCCACATGGGCCAGATTCCATAGTAACAGGTCCCAGCATGATGGCCCCGCACCCCCACGTGTGTGTGGTTATAATTTGGGGTATGTAGGTCCCCACTGACAGACCTGTCTGCTGCTCCCTCTCAGCCATCTTCCTGCAGCCGGGATCTCTTCACCTTTTACCTCTCACCTTTCACCCCCCCGGGCTGCCACGCCCACCATGGCTTCGATTTAACTATTTCATCACGATTAAATTGGGGATAAAGTCACCTTTTTGCAGTCCTAGAGAGAGCCACGATGAAATGAAACATACCTGAAACCGTTTAATGTAAAAAAAATAATAGAAATATATCTCCCACCTTATGGCACTTGCCCTTTACCAAGATGGCCGCCTTACAGCCTGCAGACGCCATATTTACTAAGGGCAAGTGCCCATACTTTGCTTATTCAATCTGTTTAGAGCAAAATATGACAGAATTACCACATAAACACAATATGTAGAATATCACTGTATGGGAATGACAAAATATAGACACAACATGTCTTGCCCTTAATAAATAATTCTGGGCTCTGTTGTGACGTAATGGCTAGCAAAGCACCACGGGAAAGGTAGTCCGCAGCCTTTTTTTAATTTTTATTGCATTCAAAAAAGTAAACATTTGCGAGCTGGAATTCTGCCCTCAACAAACATGGCGCAGGTGTTCCCGCATCCGCCATTTTTGAAACGGGCAGCTGGTTGTTTTTTTACTCCCTTGCCCTGCCTTACATTTCTCAGCTATGATTACCCGTCATATGAGAAGTGATCATAAACGTGTGACCTACATAGCTGTTTGGGGTTTTTATGTGAAGTATTAATTTAGATGAGGCAGCTCTCCCTTGGTAAACATGGCCGCTGCGCCCCTCCTAGGATTTCCCAGGGCAGCACACAGTCCTGTGGCTCCTGCAGGAATGAGCTCCCAGTGCAGTGGACCCTGGTAACACTGTCCTTGTGACTGACAGGCACAGTGACAGCTCCCAACTTTGAACTCAAGGACTTTGGACTGGGGTTCCCCTTTTTCTCTCTACAGATATGTTGTCTTTCATTGCAAGAAGCATGGTGAGTTCAGCTGTGTGCTGGCCAGGGGACTCTGTTGGGTGTGATCATATTTGACAACTTTTGGGGTTCACTTGTATACTTTATTATGGGGGTTCACTTGTATACATATGATGTTTTTTTTCTCCAATATATGAATGCATGACCATGCAATGTACATGGGGGGATTCCTGGATTGCTGTCCTAGAGCCCTAGTTACTCCTGTATTTTTCTTAGGGGACCTTGGGACACAACAGGTGCTATTTTGGGATAAAGTGCTAAATATGGAGTTGTCTCCATGGAAACACTTATAGAATGTCTCAACTTTGTGTCTGAGAATAGCACTTATTTTACCTTTTTAAATATACCGGTAGCTTACAATATGCAACTATGTTTGAATATTATTTATTTAGAATGTTGTATGCTATGGAACATGTTAGCATTTTATATGTGTTTTACGCTGCGGGCGTGACTGGTTTTAGATCGATAACACATTTTTAGCGTATTTTGTACGTGTGAGGTATAGCATTCTTCAATAGTTCTGATCTGGTAGATTGCACGCTCATTCTGTTATTTTTAACCCATGTGTATATCTGTCACGATAAAGGATTTTGATGCAAATTTAGGAAACCTGGGGTACATTCACTAAACGATGAACTGCAACGAGTCGATAACCGACTGGCAAAGTCATGTCTGAAACCATCGAATTCAAAAAAAATTCTAATTCCAAAATTAGGACTAAATTTGCCAATCTGTTGTGGATTTTTTTTTCTAGACTTTAACCTCCATTTGGATTGTAGTTAGCCACAATTTGTTGTTTAGTAAATAAATCCCACATATGAATGTTTTTTTTTTTCCCCTCAGCTTGGCATTTTTGGTCTAAATTTCACAAGTCGATGTTGCTGCTCTATGAATAGACCCTTCTGATGCTGGCATATGTGATACTTTTGTGTCGTAGTCACATTTTTTCAGTTTCTTGAGGAACTAATTTTAGGGGGAAAAACCAAAACAATAAAAATGCTTTTTTTTTTTTTTTTGTTTCACAAAAAGTAAAAAAAAATAAGCTGGCTTATTAAACAGTGAATTGTGTGATCTGTCAGCATTTATGGGGGCAATGTCACTTTTGGGATCTTTGCTATTTTTTTGCAAACTACCAAGGTGAATTGCTCCATTATAAGGTAATGTTCAAAGTGTAGATCTACTTACCTTAGCCTCTCTTTTCTTGGCACTACCATCTTGTTTGTCGTGATCATCATCTGCCACTCTCTTACATGTGAAGAATACAAAATAGCGGTCTACAGAAGATCCCACAAAACCACAGGATCTTCCATATGTGAGCATTCACAAAAAAATGACTTTTTTCGTGAGCGATGGAAGGTCTGCCTCCAGCCACATCTCCCAAGACATCAACCTACATGAGTAAAATTAGTCCCAACTACGTACCATATATATCTTGATTGGAGTTACTTTGGGGGTGCGCAGAGGATTGGGGTGTGACAAAGTATTACTGGGAGTATTGGTCATTTAGGGGTTAAATTAAGTATTTAAAGGGACACTATAGTAACCAGAAAAACTACAGCTTAAAGTAGTTGTACTGGTGAGTATAATCATTGCCTTTAGACCTTTTCATGCAAACACTGTTTACATTGCCCCCTAGGGACACCTCCAAGTGGCCACTCCTTAGATGGCCACTGGAGGTGCTTCCTGGGGCAGTGCTGCACAGTAGGCAGCACTGCCGTTCAGCGTCTCCACGCTCTGCTTGTAGACGCTGAAATGTTCTCATAGAGATGCATTGACTCAATGCATCAATATGAGGAGGTGCTAATTGGCCAAAACGGTGTTTGGCCCCACCCCCATACTACTGATTTTTGCCAATCGAAAGCATTGGATTGGCTAAAAATCAGAAATTCTGATTATGTCACCGAGGAAGGGGATCAAGGCAGGGCCAACGTCGGCGGACCCTCACAGTGCTGGAAATAAGGTGAGTTTTAACATTTTCTAAGGGGGGAATCCCACCTAAATGTTGGATTAAACACTATAAGGTCAGGAATACATGTTTGTGTTCAGGACCCTATAATGTTCCTTTAAGTGTGCAGCACTGCCATTCAGTGTCTCCACCTTCTGCATGGAGACACTGAACTTTCCTCATAGAGATGCTTTGATTCAATATATCTCTATGAGGAGATGCTGATTGGCCAGGGCTGTGTCTGGCTTGTGCTGGCTCTGCCCCTGATCTGCCTCCTTGACAGTCTCAGTCAATCCTATGGTGAAGCATTGTGATTGGCTCAGACCACTACTTCTGATTATGTCAACTAAGCAGGCAGATCAGGGGCAAAGGCAGCAGCTGCAGGCTTGAATACAAGTAAGATTTTACTATATGTAGGAAGGCACAGGTGGGCCAGGGTAGACTAGATGGTGGTTTTAATACTATAGGGGTAGAAATACATGTTTGTGGTCCTGACCCTATAGTGTTCCTCTTAAATAAGTTTGAGATCAGGCACTGTGAATCCCAGATAAGTACTTTACTTATATTACAGCTCTGTTCCTGCTGAACCTTAGCATTGTGACAACTAGCAGATAGCGATTCCAGTGTATTGTGTTACAAGCATACCCAGCTTGTGATTTATTTTTTTCATACCCTTGAGCTACGATCTTTGGAACAGTTGTCCAGACAGGATTAAAACAGCAGATTGGACAAGACGAGGATACAGTTAGATAATAAAACAACATCTAGAGAACACTGTCTACTACAAATAACTGATAAATGCTCAGTCCTGATTATTATGTACAAGAACACTGTGTACCGCAACTCTGGACAATTGGCAAATTAAATATACACAATCAGATAAGACTGAGAGGAGCAACATTTAGGGGATAGTAGGGGCCTACTCCGACATGTATCGATCAACTCTCTGAGATATACTCATTCAAGGTCGTCACATTTCAGGTTTTTATTTTTTATTTTTTTTTATTGATATGTGTTGGAACTTTTCAAATGTGCTAACTTCAGGATTTTCCAAAATCTTGACCTGTGTCAAAAAATGAAAAAATGTGAGAACAGGATGAGCATTAAAGGGACACTATAGTCATCAGAACAACTACAGTTTAATGTACCGTATATACGCGTGTATAAGTCGATCTCATGTATAAGTCGAGTGCAGTTTTGTGACCAACAATAGTGAAATATGCTATGCCTCGTGGATAGGTCGAGGGTAAAACTTGGGGCTATGAAATTCTGTGATTTTTACAATTATATACACACACACTCATACAAACACACACTCTGCATTAAACACACACACTTATACAAACACACACTCTGCATTATATATATACACACACACACTCATACAAACACACACTCTGCATTATACACACACACTCATACAAACACACACTCTGCATTATATACACACACACACTCATACAAACACACACTCTGCATTATATACACACACTCTGTGTATATAATGCAGAGTGTGTGTGTGTGTGTAGTGTGTGTGAACTGGGTGGGGGGAGGGCATTTTTATTATTTTAATTTTTTTTTTTTTAATATTATTATTTTTTTATTATTTTAATTTTTTTTGTCCCCCCTCCCTGCTTGTTAACTGGTCAGGGAGGGGGGCTATCTTAATCCCTGGTGGTCCAGTGGCATGGGCTGTGAAGTGGGGGGGCCGGCAGGAAGCATTTACTTACCTTTCCTGCAGCTCCTGTCAGCTCCCTTCTCCTCCGTTCCGGTCAGCTCCACTGTAAGTCTCGCGGTCTGGTTGCCGCGCGGATCGTTGCCATGGCTCTGACGGCCGCGGCTCTCTAAGTTGCCATAATACAGACAGTGACTCGAGTATAAGTCGAGTGGGGGTTTTTAAGCACAAAAAATGTGCTGAAAAACTAGACTTATACTCGAGTATATACTGTAGTTGTTTTTGTGTGTTTACATTACAGCCTAGGGACACCTCCAGTGGCCACTCCTCAGTTGGCTACTACAGGTGCTTCCTGGGGCAATGCTGTTTTTAACACTATAGCGTCAGGAATACCTGTTTGTGTTCCTGACCCTATAGTGTTCCTTTAAGGAGCTTCTACTTGCTTAGGGTGCCATTTCTTGATGGAGCATGGGAAGAAGACATCTTATCTAATGTTCATTTTATGCCTATGGCACCTCCTCATTGTACTTATGTGAGAAGATACTAATACGCCCGCACAGGATCTGTCATAGACGTAAGACCTGGTAGTCTTATCTGTCAAAAAAAAAAAAAGATGGAGCACAACTACAACATGGTGGTGCTAAAGTAGGGGACAAGTCTCTGTGGGGAGGGGGGTATTGCAATATAGTTCTTCTCCATTTCTTCATTAGAGTAGTATTCAAACTGGAGGTATTCCTTAATGTCATATTGAACAAAATAGCATATTAATACTGGAGTGTGGATTATACCGACAAAGAAAAAAATTCAATACGCTTTTTTTTGCGCATTTTCAAAGACGCTTCTGAATGTACATTTTACACTGAAATTTTTTTTTAGGCAATTTGTTGAAATATATGATAACTTGATGGGATAGCTGCAAGTTTAGTTTACGTTTTCCGTAATATTCACTTATGTGAACTTGGATGTATTTTTTGAGTAAACGTATCAGCAGGTTTCTTTGGCACATATAAGCTTGAGTTGAATTTAAAGTCTGCTGAGTTTATCTTTACTGAGATCCTAATGTTGAGGTTTTTTTTCCCGGTACCTGCGTTATCTGCCTCGCCTTTGAAGACAATGAAGCTGAACTTGGCAAACTATTACATTACTTCAGCCATGCTTGGGCTGACTGCTCCCTCACTGCAGCCTTTTATGTACTTTGTGTAACTAAGGAACTGTACCTTTTTAATGTTTAATAAATAGACTGTTTTGTGTTTTATAATCATTTATGTGCATATAGTTAAACTGTTTTTCAATTGCTTTTTTTGTGTGTTTGTTTTGTTTTCAGTGATACCTGTTTTAAAGTTCTTTGGATTAGGTGGCTTGTAGTATAAAGATATAGAGGCCAAGGTCTACTTCAGGTCCCGTATAAAATGTAGCAGCCTGTTCATTACAGTGTTAATTTTGTCGACTAACAATTTGTCAGGATTACTGTATGATCCAGCACGTAGAATTGTGTAACACAGGTGACTGATAGGTAACGTATTACCGGGCCTTAGAATGGCCGGAGTAACGTACCAAAGAATAGTCGGAATAGCCGAGGTCAGGGGACACAGAAAGGGACACAATGATAAGGCAAAGCCAGAGGTCGGGGATGCCAGGAAACAGGAAAGTCAAATAACCAGAATCCGCCAGAATCAATAACGTGCTCTCGGACAACCACTAGGGAAACCACGACAGGGCAATGAGTGTCCGGTATAATGAGGTTTAAATACCTGTTCAAATCTTCTGATTGACCGAAATCGGTCTTTGACCCCAAAACGTGTGCGTGCCGACGTCGTCAATCACGTGAGCGGACGTGGGGGTATATTTTGCCGTGGATCCGCAGCGGCCGGCATCCGTTAACATTCCGCAAGTGTCATGGAGACGCACGCCGCTGGGTGCAGAGACCGCAAGGTGAGGAAGAATATGTTACATAATTTTAGTCAAATAATATTTTTGAGATTTAGTCAACTAAAACTAAAAGTAAAACCATTCACATTATTAAAATGGCTTTTTAGTCAAAAGACTATGACTAAAACTAAATTGAAATTTGCTGTCAAAATTAACACTGGTTCCTTAAAGGGGCAGTTCTGCAAATCTTTGGGCATATTTTTTCATTCAGATGAGACTAAATTGGTGAATTTGCTTTCCCAATTTGGCCGAACATGCAGGGTTATCCACTATAAAATGAGAGTAGTGCATAATAGTTGAATTGGTAAGATTCTCTAAGTCCGCTGCAAGCTTAGCTTAAAATGTAAAATTCTTTTTAATTCACTTTGAATTCACAATTTCGTGAATAATCCTGCAAATCTCGATTTATACGTGTAACTAAATATTCCAGTTATTGTCAATTTTTTTATTGAACTAGCTACATTTAAAATATTCTCCAACTCTGGCTGTTTTTCCAGGTTAGGTTTTTTTTTCTTGCCTAAAATGTATTCTCTGATCAATGCCTGGTTAGAGAATAGTCTCAAAAGTGTACAATTAGACATGTCCCCTGCATTATAACTTTTTTACATAAATAAATTGGGTATAGTTGTAATTGTGGTTTTTGTTTAATGTATGTATTTTTAACAAAAGTAAACTTATCTTAAACCTTACGCTAAGGGGCCAAGTTCTGCCTGCAGCTTAGTAGTCCTTCTGTGATGTCAATCCTGTCAATTTCATGGGGGTATGTCAAGGGACAGGGTTGAAAAAGGATAGGGAGGCGGGTGGGTTCAGCCTTTTTAGCTACTTGGCAACATATTCGGAAGCCAGAAAGCACTGGAGCACGAACTTAAAAATTAAACCATTGCCACACCGTTTCTACAGGAAGCATACAGTGTCTTAATGCTGAGCATGCAGACACTGAACGTCCGTCCTGAAATCTTTGCAGAACCGTTTCAGGAAGTGTCTGAGTGATAGCCACTAGAGGTGGTGTTAAGTGGCAAAAAAACCCACTTCTTTTTCTCAGCCTTGAAGCGGCTGTCTCTTTATATTAAGTTGTAGTGGTTCTGGTACTTAGAGTATACATTAAAGTTTTTGACGAGGGAGGAGGGGTGTTCCTTTGATTTAAAGTTTTTACTTATTTAGTAACAGTTCATTTTCAGTTGTGTTGTACTCTAAAACGTAGAAGCATTTTAATTTATTGGTTACATAACATAAATCTTTTATACAAGTTTGTTGAAAGACTCACATTTTATGTACTTTATCGTTCCATATTGTCACAGCCCCCGGCTCGCCGCCATGTGCGTCCGTGCACGACCGCACCAACTCACTGAGCTTACCTGCCCAGCGGCGAACTGGGAACCGCTCCTCCATGCTGCTCTGGGAAATCCAAGATGGCGCCGACCATGAGGTCGCGTCCATCCATGGCTCCACCCCCTAAAATTATACAACGTGCGTGTGAAGACACGACGTCAACGCACGGGCACGTTCTGGGGTCAGAGGTCACCCTCTGACCAAGCAGAGCCTAGAGAGGGATATTTAAATCCCTAATACACTCCAGTTCCTTGCCCTGTCGTGGTTTCCTGTTCCTGGTTCCCTAGAGTGCGTTTATCTTTGTGAATATTACTTCCTGGTATCCTGATCTTGGCTTTTCCCTGGTTATTCCGAATACTGGTTCCCCTGACTTGGCTTGTTTAAACGGTATCTGAGTATTTCTGGCTTCGTTGACCTCGGCTTTCCCTTTGACCATTCTCTATCTCTAGCGTATTAGTCCTGCCATTCTAAGGTCCGGTTTACGCTCTGTCCTTTTATTTTCCTTTCCTTTTTTATGTATATGTTTACATAGTTTCTGCGTGTTGGACCACACTAGCAGCTGTGACACATATCCCTGCTCCCTTTCTCCTCAAACCTGGAAAGACTTGTCTTTACCTGTATGTCTCGCTTCTTCAATTTCAACTCTCTCCTTGACCCTCTTCAAACTGACTTCCGCCGTTTCCACTCTACTGAGACTGCTCTTATCAAAGTTACTAACAACCTAATCGCAGCTAAATCAAAAGGCCACTATTCCATACTAATTCTTCCTGACTTCTCTGCTGCCTTTGACACCGTCGATTTATGCTCTCCTTCTTCAAACTCTTCCATCACTCAGTCTCTGTGACTCTGTCCTCTCGTGGTCCCAACGCTTATTCAGTGTCTCCTTTTCTAATGATACCTCTTCCCCCTGTCCTGTCTCCGTTGGAGTCCCCCAAGGCTCTGTCCTTGGTCCCCTTCTATTTTCTCTTTATACTGCATCTCTTGGCAAACTTTTGGATTCCACTACCACCTGTACACTAATGACACCCAGATATATCTCTCCTCCCCGGACCACTCCCCTGCCTTCCTGCAACGTGTCACTGCTTGCCTTTCTTCCATCTCTGACTGGATGTCCTCCCGCTTTCTGAAACTCAAACTCTAAACCTGAGCTCTTTGTCTTTCCTCCTTCTAATACTGATCCTCCTCTTTCACTCACCCTTCAAATTAGTGGTATCCACATAAGTCCATTAGTGGTATCCACATAAGTCCATCCTTGCAAGCGCGCTGTCTTGGTGTCATACTTGATTCCGGCCTCACCTTTGAGCCTCACATAAAGTATGTTGCCAAATCCTGTAGGTTCCATCTTAAAAACATAGCCCGCATCCGCACCTTTCTTACGCAAGACGCTACCAAGGAGCTTGTCCATGCTCTAGTAATTTCCTGCATGGATTATTGTAACCCTCTCCTAATTGGTCTTCTCAAAAGCCGTATTGCCACGCTACAATCTGTAATGAATGCTGCTGCCAGACAGATTTTCCTCTCTAGTCGGTCATCTCACACCTCTGTCAGTCCTTACATTGGCTTCCTGTATCCTATAGGAGTCAATTCCGTGCTAACCCATACCTATAAAGCTCTGCCCATGACCTTCTGCTATCCGCTACTCGCACCCGTACAGCCAACTCACGCTTGCAGGACTTCTCACAGGCGGCTCCCTTCCTATGGAATAGCCTGCCTACCGCCATCAGACTCTCCCCTTGTCTTCAATCGTTTAAGAAGTGCCTTAAAACCCATCTCTTTAGGAAAGCTGATGGACTCCCAGAGTAACCTCTACCTCACATACCTGTCTCTTGCTCTCTCTTAAAAGGCAGCACTTTACTCTCTCCGCCAGCTCTGCTTTACTCCCACATTATTTGATTGCTATTTCCTGTCCTAATGTGTTTTATACCCCACTTTCTATAGACTGTAAGCTCGTTTGAGCAGGGTCATCTTCAACCTATCGTTCCTGTAAATTTTCTTGTAATTGCCCTATTTATAGCTAAATCCCTCCTCTCATGATATTTTAAAGTGCTACGGAATCTGTTGGCGCTATAATAATAATAATTTATAAATTAAGACCGTATTGGATTGTGTATTTTGTGAGTGCATTTGTTGATATTAGGGATCCATGTGATTTTTTTGAGATTTGAACATTTACATGCATTATAAGTCTTGTTAATTTAGAGAAATTTGAACAATGAGTTATCTTGAAATCAACACATTGGTAAAATAAGAATGAGGGGCAGATAGTTAAAGGGACACTATAGTCACCAGAACTACTACAGCTTATTGTATTTGTTCTGGTGAGTGAAATCATTTCCTTCAGGCTTTTTGCTGTAAATTTTGTCTTTTCAGAGAAAATGCAGTGTTTACATTACAGCCTAGTGATAACTCCACCGGCCACTCCTCAGATGGCTGCTAGAGGTGCTTCCTGGGGAAGTGCTGCACACTGTGCAGTACTGCCATTCAGTCTATCCAGCCTCTGCATGGATTTGCTGAACTTTCCTCATAGAGATGCATTGATTCAATGTATCTCTATGAGGAGATGCTGATTGGCCAGGGCTGTGTTTGACTTGTGCTGGCTCTGCCCCTGATCTGCCTCCTTGACATTCTCAGCCGATCCTATGAGAAAGCATTTTGATTGGCTCAGAGAATCACTTCTGATGATGTTAGCCAAGCAGGCAGATCAGGGGCAGAGGCAGCAGCTGCAGACTTAAATACAGGTAAGATTGTACTATATTTAGGGAGGCCAGGGGGGCTAGATGGTGGTTTTAACATTACAGGGTCAGGAATACATGTTTGTGTTCCAGACCCTATAGTGCTCCTTTAACATCTAATGTACTGCAGTAGGTTTAAGTACTTAAAAGGTCTGGAGTTCTGCTATGACAATCAACACTTGTCATAGCAGAAGCTTGAATCAATGCTTTCCTATGGAGACTTTTGCATCATGTGACCGAGTTTTACTCCGCCAGTGCAACAGAAGCGCCTCTAGTGGCTACTGGTCAGTATGACAGTCCTAGATGTGGACTCAACCCGGCAATGTAAGCAACCAATCGGATGCTTTTTTTTTTACGAGCGTTGTGACCCTGAACATGAAGTCTTTCAGTTATTGAAAGTCTTCGAGGAAGTGCCACAAGAGGCTGTGTGTCTGTGACAAATGTAAACATTTTCTCACCTTTTCTAACAAACAGCAATGCTTACATGTGTTAGACAGCAGGGACAGCATCTATCCACCACAACCACTGCATTAACAGGGTTAATCACTAAGGTAAAAGGGAATTTCAAATTCATGGCCAAAGTAGCCAAACTGGAAGCATAGCTAACTTAGAAAATGTTTCCAGTCTGGCTATTTTTACTTTGAATTATAAATTCACTTTGATTTCTCACTTTAGTGAATAACTGTAAGATGTAGTGGTTTTGGTCCTTACAGTGTCCCTTTAAATGAGAGGGGCTTTAGCTGGAACTGGTTGCATTTGTTTATTTTTCATACTCTATTTATTGTGTGCAGTTTATTCTTCTAGCACCTACGTTTTAAATTTTATTTATTTTATTATTTAAATTTTACACCCGGTGAGCTTGTAAATGCATGTTTTAGCAGTCGTTATTGAATGCTTTCTTTTAATTGTGTTCATTTGTGTGCATAGGGCTTTATATTTTAGTTTTTCAATGCTGTTTGTTTTTATTTTTCTATGTATTACAATTTTAATTTAATTTTTTTTTTCTTCTTCTTCCACATAGATTACTAATTACTATGTACCAAGTTGTTTAGTTAAGGGCAGAACGCGCAATCAGTTCTTAAAATAAGAGTCAGTTTTGTCTTTTAAACAGACATTTACTGGATTTAAAGGCTTCACATCCGTCGAGCGTTGCTGTAAACATCATTTTGTTAACTTGCTTTACAGGCCAAACCAGTGCGATTGGTAAAGCCCGTTTCATCTGTGAAACTGCCAGGTAGGTACTTGGCACATCAGGAGGGACTACCTCGACTGCCCGTGCCACCGCTTCAGCAGACACTAGAGAAATACCTGCTAGCTTTGCAGCCCCTCATCAGCCAGGAGGAATGGGGCCACACCAAACAAGTGGTCGAAGATTTCAGGACATCTGGGGTTGGTGAACGGCTACAGAAACGCCTGGAGAAAAGATCAACAAAGACTGAAAATTGGGTAACGTCAAGTATACCGTGCATGTAAAATGTCTTAGAGGAACACCATACTTAAACATGTATTCCTGACCCTATAGTGCTAAAAACACTATCTAACCCCCTGGTCACCCTAATTATAGCAAAATATTACGTTTTATTCAGGCTGCAGATGCTGGCTCTGCTCTGCTCCTGATCTGCCTCTTTGGCTGACATCATCAGAAGTGATGATCTCATCCAATCATAATGCATTCCCATAGGAAAGCATTTGATTGGCTGAGATGGTCAATTCTGATGATCTCAGCCAAAGAGGCGGGGCAGGAGTGGAGCCAAACGCCACAGTGGCCAATCAGCATCTCCTCACAGGAATGCATTAAATCAATATTCAATAAAGAGGCAGTCTAGGCTAGAGGTGGCCCAATGGTTTTGTACTTTAAAATTAGCTCATTACCTTATGCAAGGAGTAAGATAAAATATAGATATAAATATTGGAAGTTCTCGCTTTTCTGACAATCATTTCAAGCAGCTTCTGCTTCCGCTGTTGTACAGAATTGCCTAATTTAAGTATTTGTTAATGAAAATATATAAACCTGTACTCAGGTTCCTCATACAAAGCCAGCAGCAAGCCAATCAGAAGAGGTGGGGGACAAATATGGCGTGCACATGCCGTACAAGTACTTCTACATGCTGAAAGAATCTTGCCTTACAATTGGGGTGTCATTAAACAGGGGGGGCTTGTAGCTGCAACAATTTTCACTAACTGCTAAATTTATAAGTAGTAACGCAGGGGTCTCTTTGCACCATACCCATCTTTAAGAGCACAGATTGTTCCAGATGGTTATTTTGAAATGAACCTGTCAACCACAAAGCATGCGAGTTACAAGTTCACCTCCAGATGGGTTAAATAAAAAATTGTACTATTTGGCACGACAGTTGCACTTTAAGTTTTTTAAACTCTAAAAGAAATGAACCGTTTCTTTGAATTATTTGTTTAATTTACCTTTGCCCATTATCAGCAATAATGCTTATTGCTTACTATAAATTTTTAGGCAAATGTACACTTTTCTTCACTACATTAATGACTGAGTTTCGGTACAAATTTTATATTTTATTGCAAAATTATTTTGAAAATACAAATTCTACCAGATATTTGATGGGGCTGAAAATCGTCAACATAATTAATTGCTGATATATATTTTATTCCCTGTGGCAGAGTAAGTGGGTGGTAAATAGAATAATTGATTAATACGTTTTTTTGCAGCAGACAAACAGAAGTCTAAAAAATGTATTTGACTGAGCCTTATGTTTGGCTTAATACATGATTTGGTTGCCTTGTAAACAAGGATGTATCTGGTTACTCTTCCAAAAACTCTAGCGTGGAATGTTGGCTACCTTTGCACTGCAGTTGTTTGTGGACTACCTTTCCCATGATGCAAAGCACTCTCTGCTGTATATAGTTTAGCCATTAAATTAAGAAATCTTCAATACTGCGTTTATCTCCTGACACTGATTGCGTCCATTTTAACTACATGTCAGTCATTTTTATAAGCTCTGTCCTTCTTTGTCATTGAACAGAGTAAGTGGAGAAAGTGAAAGAACCCGGAAGAATTGCCAGGAATTCTAAGTAAATGCAAAGAGAATTCCATGTTTAAGATCAACATAACTGAACTGCAAGATGATCTGACTTAGAGATTTTTTTCAGTTGCGCTATTTTGGCTTTAAAGAACCACTAAAGTCACACAAACTCCTCTCAATAAAGTGGTCTGGGTGCAGTGATCCTGCCTTTTTAACCTTTCAATATAAAACATTGCCGTCTTGTAGAACCAGCAATGTTTCCGTTTGACATTTGGCTGCACATGCATGTCTCCAATCCATTGCTGCTCCATGAGAAGCATTGGATTGGACGATATCTTCGGAGGTGGAGCAGACCGCTGCAGCGGAGGAGTCTCAACACTGTAAATTAGGTTTGTAATCTCTATTTAACTTGAATAGATAGAAACCTATAGTCCCCAAAAAATCAATCAGTATTTTCGGGACTATAGGTTCCCTGCAAAGGGACACTCCACTGCCCAAGTACATTTTTTTTTTTTTTTTTTTTTTAAATAATCGCTATGGAGCAGATATGACTAAAATGAAAATATCGATTTATTTAATTATGCATTTTTTTTAAATTGGAGTATCTAAAAACAGCTTGCAAAAGCTGCAGATCTCTTGTCTGCAACCTTTGCAAGCCCTGCCCTTCTAACCCCACTCAGAATTTCTGTGTCTGTCCACAGACTTCCCAAATGCAGCTCAATGAGAAGTCTTTAATATATATATATATATATATATATATATATATATATATATATATATATATATATATATAAAAAAATAACTCTGAGCATTACATGAAAAAAAGTTAGCAAAAGTTATAGGTGTGTTTCAATGTTTTAATCAGTCGTGTATTTTCTAGAGTAGTGATGGTTCCTCTTTATTGTTACTGGATACATTTTGTAATACATTGTTGTTATTTTCAGCTCTCTGATTGGTGGCTAAAGACGGCCTATTTGGAATATCGACTGCCAGTCGTGATTCATTCTAGTCCCGGAGTAGTTTTACCAAAGCAAGACTTTGTGGACCGCCAAGGCCAGCTCAGGTAAATAGCCTACTAGTCATACGTTTGGACTTTGCACTAACCTTTGTCTGCTCTGTTTATTGGAGGTAGTGGAGTTTTAATGCAACTGAATTGCTGTTGACCTTTACTCAGCATAACCTTTCCCATACTTACTCCAGTGCTTGGTCAGCTGCAGTGTATGTGATCTCAAAATATTTTCCAGTTACAGCTCCCAAGCTGAGTTTTGAAACCCAGCCTCAGTCACACCAGCTACCGAGTCCTGAAAATTACAGATCGGTCACTGCTGTTAATCTTTGTGATAAAAAAAAAAAAAGTTCAACTTTTGTTTCTTTGTTTTTCTGATTTTTCTTTTTACTTTTTTAACATATATTTGTTTTTCTTTTATTTTTGTGCAATTAAGTGTTTCTTGTTACTTAAATGATTTGATGGGAAATTGTACTGTCCTTTTTAAATCCTTCACAAAAATATAAACTGGGTTATTCACTAAAGTGTGAATGGATGCAATTTCAAAGTGTAGTCAACAACAGCCAAATTAGAAAAGTTCTCCGTCCGCTATGTTTTTAGTTCTGCTATTTTAAACTAAAATTTTAAATTCACTTTGAATTCCCTACAACTGACAGTTTAGTAAATAACCCTGGATGAGCCCAACTTATTCAGCAAAAGATGGAGTGTACTAAAACTAGGGTTCACAAGCCATGGAAGAAGGTTGAGGCTTTTTTGGTAGGTAGACCATGTTGCTCTGGTTGGCAACTTCCTGGGTTGGAAAAACTGTTCCCCATTTATAGCTGCAACACTTTGAGTGTCACATTCCTTAGCAGCAGGACTTGAACGTTCCACGTTCCCATCTCCATCAACCCTTGTTAAACAACCCTGGTTTTACTCCTGGCCTGGAGGCAAGGGCTTTCACATGACTATTAGGAACCACAAATAAACAGGTGCAGCACCTCTTTGATGGGGGTAACCTAAAATCGCTTCCATGGGGGCCCTGGCATTATTTCTGGGTTGCCCAAACCCATATGTATATTTTTCCCAAACAATCCCGTATTCCACCGTGCATGGACCAAACAGAACTTGTGTGGTCCTTCTCTTTAATTGACTCAGAACACCGACCAATTTGAGTGCCTTCCCTGGGTGGCCGCCATTCGTATAACCGAATGCACGTGGTCCATTTTGTCTCCCGAACACGGGCAACGGTACATGGTACTTACACGTGCTCCAGATCCCCGGCAAAGACGGTACTGTTCGTCGGTGTTCGTAAAGAGCTTCTCCTGAATAGTGATCCTGTTTCACCGAACCAATTTGAGCGCTTGTTGAACGGATATGTTGGACTTTCAGACACCGGCTATTAGGGGATATAAGAATTGTGGGGTTCCTGTAATATTTTATTATTTTTGGGGGGTGATTTGTGATAGTTTGTATTATTCCCTGTAACTGAGAGATAATTGATTGAGTCATCATGTTTCTCAGCTCAATTATCTGTCAGACCCAGAGACTCTTGCTAAAAATCTCTGTAAAATTGCATTAGAGACCCCATACTATGCAGTTGTGCATAAAAAGCCGTGTGTGGCCCAATAAAAATCAGTTGACTCCCAGAAATGTGTGTCGTCCCGTTACTGGGGGAATGGGCTAGAAGCACTGAACAGCGTTTTCTTCCAGCTCCAGAGGAGATATCCAGTCTTAGGATTGCAGCTCCGCTACAGCGTAATTCCCTAATAGAGCCTCACAAACTGACATTCATGGAGCGCTCTCGATATAGACAACAGACCGCCTTTGTAGAGGTTGTCCTCACCTGGTCTTACTTCTTTTGAGACCATGTTTGATGATCCTGAGCCATTGGGACATGGGGATACAATTCTAAATGCAATGCTTCAACAGCAGGCAAGGGTTCCTACTCCTACTCCTTTTCAGGAGATAGGAGGAGGCTTTGGGGATAACACTTATCACTAGTCAATGGCAGAAAATTTGCAACCTCACCCTACACTGTGCCATCGCTAGCCAGTATCAGAAATCAAATTATAAGATTATATGTTTGAGATGCAGAAATGTGGAAGGTACCTTCCGGAATATCTCGTGGGACTGTTCCTTGATCCGTATGTTCTGGGAACAGATCCATAAACTCCTAAAGAGGTTCTCAGATGGTCCTCCACCCTTCCAACCCAGCCCCAGCCTCCCACACCACACCACGGTCAACACCCATGTCTACAAAATATTGATGACCATATGAATCCTAAATGTTGCAAAATGTCTGATCCCACTTTAATGGAGGCAAACCATCACACCACCTCCTATCTGGTACAGATGTATGAAAGAATTACGCTCCATGGAGTAACTGATATTCAATTCGGAGGGGTGCAATCAGATTTACTTAGCCCTCTGACTAGTAGTTCTAGTAGGTTTTGCGTGATTAAAAGGCATGTATATACATTCCTTAAAAGATAAGATTTATTCCCATAGCAGTGAGTTCAGAAGCAAAATGAAATTTATTTATTTTTAATTATAATGTCATGTAAAGTGATATCATTAAATATTCCCCTTATAATTTGTTTGTAGTTTGGAATGTTATTTATTTTTATTTTTTTTATTTTTTTTTATTATGGTACTTCCACTTGACTCAAAACCTTGCAGCATCTTGCAAAACGTCCTTCCCACTCCAGACTGTTCACATGTGGTTCGACACATTCACCGACAGGTCATTGACCCCAGGTAGCCTTAAAGCCACACTGCAATAGGAAATGGCACAGATTGCTTTGAACTATGACCTACATTGCTGCTCACATGAGCCATTTGCACAATACAACTTCCACAATTCCAAAAATACAGTGTGAAAACTAAACAGTTAAAGTGATAGTGCTTTGATGTATATACCGTGTTATGGATAGAAATTAATGTAGGTAAAATGTCTATTTACTGTGTATACCTGTGCTCAATTATTTACTCAAAACGGCTGCTAGAGCACCCCCTCCCATCGTCTAAGACCCTCGTGTAGCAAGATGGCATCTCCATCCAGAGCTACACACAAAGACAATGATGACAACACACCTTGGAGGAAGTACATCAGATAAGACACTTACCAATTAAAAATGTACTTTTCATGTTATCTGATGTTTTGCATATAATGTATTTTTTGTTTTATAAGGGGCTCACTGCCCCCCTCAGTAAACATTCCGAAGTTTTTCATTCATCTGAAACTTGTTGTCAGTGTGATTTACTTCAGCGTGCACGCACCTCATTACAAACAATCTGATCGGGGCAGATACTCAAGAAAACACTTGGTTTGATCTAAAACAACCTCACAATGCATATCTTATATCTACGCTATATCAAATAAAAAAATATTATTAAAGTGACATTGTTATCCAAAACCTTTTATACTTTCATCCAGCTTTAGATGCCCCTACGGAGGTAACCACAGCAAAGTATAAGTTTGGGTAGCAATGTCACTTTAATTATAATTTTCTTTTGTTATAGAGCAGATGTATATAATGCATTGTGAGTATATCCATCAAAGCACTGTCACTTTAGTTTTGACATTGTGTTTTTATCACATATTAATTTTGCATTATGTATTCTTACAAGAGGTTAATGAAATACACTTTAGTTCATTTAGCACTAACTATTTTAATTTGTCTCCCAGGTTAAAATTAGTGTAGGACCCATCGATATGTGGGTACTGTGGCATAGTGGTTGGCTTAACACAATATGGCCATATGGTGGAACTGAATCCCCATGTTTGTTTGCTGAGATAGATGATTTTGAGTAGCCTTATAAAGTTTAAAAGTGTGTGCTGTTCCTGGCCCGTAATCCATAACTGTTCTAGCAGTGTAGGCGATTATTGATTATGCTATACTTAGTATGCAGGGGCAGACTCACCACTCACAGTGGGAGATCAAGCCTCTCTCCCCCCAACCCCCCTTCCTGGTACAAGGTTTTTTGCCCCCCTGCTACTCTTTTCCCCCTTCTTTCTGCTGTTTTCACACAGATGTGTATGCTGCCCTGCACACAGAATGGCTGGGTGAGAGTCACAGAGAACCCCCCAAAATGGCCAGATTTACTTTTAAGGGGTTAATCCAACCAAAAACAGTGCCCGACTGGTCAATCCGCCCCTGTTGGTATGCAAAGAGCACAATGGAGTCTGATTCTTATGGTCAAGTGACTTCTTGTAGTCAACAGCACTGTAATACAAACAATAAAACTATAATTTGTGACTGATGCAGCATTCGTTATTTCTATAAGCTGTGTGCTCAAAACAGAATCACTGTAGCTTAGTGAACCAGAGTTCCGTGGGATTATTCTAAAATATAAATCTTTATTAATTAAAACATGAACAATAAACTGTGTTTTTTTTATTTTTTTTATTTTTTTACAATTTTCTTAATTGCATATTTTAATTATACTTGGAGGCACGCAGGCCTTTATCATAACATGAACATTAGAACAGGTTGTGTAATATCATTTACGTGGCTGTTTACAGGCAATTGTAACTTGGGCGCTGTCATTCTCAGTTTCCCCTCATGCTTACATGACCTTATTCTTCTCGCTGTCTGTTGCTATTTGCCAGTGCACATTATTTATTGGTTATTCTTAAACTAGCAATATTGCCTTGTACCTGAGAGTAGCTGCTCTGGCTAAATTGTACGCTGAGTTGAAGACCAACTTCTATTAAGTTGTTTGTTGTCCCATTGGTCTTTACTCGACTCTTGTAGGTTACCATAATCTAAGTGCGTGTGAATGTGTTCCTTCATCTACTAGTTTTAGAATGTTTGTAGCGTCGGTTGTTAGAGTTTGTAGTGTTTGGTCTTATTTCTTTCTAGAGTTTGATGGAATTAGTCGGCTCTTGACCTCTAATCCCAGGTCTCCGTGCCTGCCAGGCTTCTGCTTGTGGATGTGTGTTCGTGGGTGTCTGTATTAGGTCATGTGTCCCGTGGGTTGGTTGGGTATCGCGGATCGTGCAATCCTGGGTTTGTAGCTTTATATGGGGCTGTGTTGGGCGCCTTGGTCGTATGATTGTAGCGTTGTTCCCTCTAGTGTGGTGTGTTTTGTGTATCCGTATCTTAGGGGTAACTTGTGGTGTTAGGGTGGAGGGGTTGGGTTCGGTAGTCTAGTAGGATAGTGAAGATGACTGGTAGCGGGGTAAGTCAGTTAGGGTTGCTCGAGGCCTCGGGTCCACCCCCGGACCCCCTAGAGATGAACTCCATCCACGGGTACCAGGTCTGAGCACATTTGTCGGAGCGGTCCTGCAGGGAGGCCGTCTTTATTTCCATGTTGTAAATATCTTCTACTCTGGTTACCCATTGCTGGAAGGTAGGTGCAACCCGCATTTCCAGTGTGTCGGGATTAGGGATTTTGCTGCCGTGAGTAGGTGTATCGTAAGGCTCTTTTTGTAGGCTGCTGTGGGGAGTGTCGTGTGATTAAGGAGCATCGTCAGTGACCGAAGTCTGCGTTGGTGATTTCTTTGATCTTACTGTTAATCATCTGCCAGTAGGGAGCTATGAGTGGGCATGTCCACCATATATGTATTCCGGTGCCGATGCCTCTCTCACATCTCCAGCAGTTACCAGAGATTGATTTGTGGACATGTCGAAGGGTGTCTGGGGTCCTGTACCAATGTGTCAGTAGTTTGTAGTTGGTTTCCTGGTATTTTGAGGAAATTGATCCCTTGTGTGTTAGTAGGAAGATTTTATCCCATTCCTGGTCAGTGAGTGTGGTCTCCGTGTCCTGTTCCCATTTTGTCGTAAATCCCAATGGGGATCTTTCGCCATTGGACATTAGGGTGGTGTATAGTAGTGACACCCCATGTGGGAGGTGTCTGGTCGTGCATGTGTGTTCCGTATATGTCAATGGCCTGTGCAGGTGACCCTTACCTGATGGTCAAGTAGTAGGTCCTGATCTGGTTGTAGTGAAATTTGTCTAGCTGTGTCGGTCTGTGTTGCACGAGCAAGTCCGCTATTGGTTTGAGTGTGTGTGAGGTGCTCCATTTGTGCATGTATTAGCAGTCTGTGGCTTGGAAATTCTTCAGGGCGGTGGGGTGTAGCTATGTAACTATGTATGGAGCACCAAATGCAGAGCGTTGCGTCTACCTCCGGATTGCCTGTGCGAATCTCAGCATAGGTTGAGCTCCCATGCCAGAGTCTGGATGGTATCTTTCCCTGAGTTTGGTGGATTTCCATTTGTACCCATAATTTCGGGCTCGGGTTGGCGTGCCAGTCTACTAGCCATTGCAGGTGAGTGGCATGGTAGTATGTGAGCAGAGAGGGGAGTCCCGCGCCTCCTTCTCTGCAGGGTCGTTCTGCAGATCCGGGTGGGCTTGTGGTTCCATACGAATTTTCGGATCGCTGTTGTCTGAGAGTGGAAGTATGCTCTCGGCAGTGGTGTCGGGATAGTCTGGAACAGGTATAGAAGATGGGGAAGCGCGTTCATCTTGACCACATGGCCAAACCATGAGATGTATTGGGATGACCATCTGTGGAGGTCGTTCTGCAGTGTTGTTAGGATCGGGCGGTATTTTGTGCGGTATAGGAGTGTGAGATCGGCCGGCAGCTAGACTCCGAGGTACCGAAGTTTGTCCTCACAGAGTTTGAATGGGAATTGCGAGATGAGTTGGTTTAGATGTTTGGGGTCTCGCGTTACTGGCATAGCTTCAGATTTGAAAAAGTTGAGTTTTAGGTTAGATACCAGGTTATACTTCCGGAAGGCTTCTAGGAGATTTGGAGTGGAGGTTCTCGGCTGAAAAATAGCATATCGTCCGTGTAGGCGGCCACCCGATGCTCGACCTCACCCATGCGGAGCCCCATGATTCCCCCATCTCGTCTGACCGCCTCAAGAAAAGGCTCTCTCGAGAGAGAGAGAGAGAGGGCAAACAGGAGTGGGAACAGGGGGCATTGTGGGTGGGGAAAGGTTTCGTTAGGGCGCCGTTGACACGTATACGTGCTGTTGGGGTGGTATATAGCGCCGCAACCCAGGCCCGCAGGGTAGGGCGAAAGCCCATGTGCTGTAGGGTTTCCGCTAGGAAAGTCCAGTCCACTCGGTTGAAAGCCTTTTCGGCGTCTGTGCAGAGGAGTATCACATCCTTCCTGGCGTGCTTTGCATAATGGATGACATTAAGTGCCCTTATGGTGGTGTCCCTCGCTTCACGACCTGGTATGAATCCGACCTGGTCGGGGTGGACCAGGTCTGGGATGATCCGCATGAGCCGGAGAGCTAGAGCCTTCGCGAAGAGCTTTAAGTCTGTGTTCAGGAACGATATTTGTCGGTAACTTGAGCAACAGGTCGGGTTCTTACCCTCCTTAGGGATGACCGTCGCAGTGAGCGTGTCAGAAGGGAAACGTCCACCTGAGCTTATCGAGTTGAGGCCTGTGAGGAGTCTCGGCAGCAGAATGTCTTTAAAGGTTGTCATGTATGTTAATGGGAGGCCGTCAGGGCCTGGGGCCTTGTGAGGTTTGGACTGTTTCAGGGTGGCTGCTAGTTCCTCGAGCGTCAGGGGTTGTTCCAATTCGGTCGCCGACTCCGTGGGTATTGTGCGGGCTACGTGTTGGTCAAAGTAGTACGTGATGCGTTGGAAATGGCGTTGTGCAGCTGCACCTCTCCTGTCTTGTGTTTGGTCGTATAAGTCGGTGTAATATTCGTGGAAGGCGTCTAGGATGCCCTCCGGGAGCCTAGTGATGTCTCGACCCCTGGTCCGAATCTTATGGATGTGCTGCCTCTTTTCCTTCAACATTCTGGCCAGCAAACGACCACTCTTGTTCGAGTGTTCGTAGTAGAATCTGGCCGACTTCCTGAAGGTGAGTTGGAGCCCTTTGGAAAGGATATTACCGAGCTCTCTACGTGCCTCTGTGAGTTGTAGGTATGTAGTGTTGTCTAATGTGCGTTTGTGGTCCTGTTCCAGTGTAGCTATGCTTTTGGTCAGTTCGGTCATGTGTTGTGTCCTGCCCCCTTTGCGTTGGGTGCATTCTGCGATAAAGTTTCAGTGTATGACACGTTTGTGAGCTTCCCATAGAGTCAGTGGGTTCGTGTCAAAGAATTGTCGGAGCGCTTGGGCGGCCTTGTCTGTGAACCCTACGTCATTCAACAGACTTTCGTTTAGTTTCCAGTGGCGTTCACCGGGTTTAAAGAGCGGGGAACTCGTGTTTACAGACACCGGGGCGTGGTCTGTGTGGTCAATGAGTCCGATGTTTGAGTCACAAAGGATTGTCAGGTATTCGTGGGCTATGAAGATATAGTCTATGCGGCTGTAGAGTTTGTGTACAGCCGAGCAAAAGGTGTAGTCCCGGTTGTCTGGGTGCACCGCCCTCCAGCAATCTACCAAGCCCAGTCGGCCTATTGATCGGAGTGTTGATTGAATGCAATGCGTGGGGACCGCGCTGGTGCCTCTTGAGGAGTCCAGGCTTAGGTCTAAGTTAAGGTCCCCAGCCACTGAGTAGTCCCTCTCTGAATTTTTCTAGCCTGGCCATCGTTTTACTGAGGAATGTATATTGTTTTTTGTTGGGGCTGTAAAGGCACGCTAAAGTATAGGTATGGTCTGCTATGGTGCCTTTGAGGAACAAAAACCTCCCACCTGGGTCTGATAGCTGTGCTGAGCAGTGGAATGGGACTGCGTGGGAGAAAAGTATCGCTACACCTGCTTTCTTCGAGTCTGGGTGGTTTGAGTAGAAAGCCACGGGGAAGCGGCTATTCCCTATTTTTGGTTCCCCTATGCCCTTGAAGTGCATCTCCTGCAGGAACGCTATGCTCACCCTTTCCGACCACAGCCTCTGGGGAGTTCAGTCCTCGGACATTGTTGGTCCAGTACTTAAGAAGCGCAGGCTGGAGTCTCATCCCGACTCACGAGGGGTGCGTCTACGGTTGCGGCCTGTGTGTTTATGGGTGAGGTTTGTTGCAGGTGTGTCTTGTGGGCCTGTTATGGCTGGGTGGGGTTACCTGACGATCAGGGATCGGCATCTCTACCTCTATGGCAGAAGGGGCGTGGGGGGGGTCCAGCGTTTGGTCAGCGTCCTTCTGTCCTGTCTGTGACTTCCCTCGCCTATGTCAGGTTCAGTATGACCGGTGTGGGGCTGCTCCTTACTATTAGTTGGTGTGTTCCTGAGATTTCGGCTGTGTTAGTGTACGGGGCTGACGGAAACAACTGTTACTTTTATACACCCTGAACAGTAGCATTGGGAAATACATGTTAGATAAACGTTTGGTGGGCCTAGGGACAGTGTCACATCGGACTCCCGGTCACCGCAACCTTTGTGCTCCTTTCCAGCTAAGGGCTACGGTCAAGCTCTTGCTGGTGGGCCCTCGAATATCCAATTTGGGACGGTGACATGTGTGAGGCCGGTTGCCCGTAGGAAATGTGGTATATCGTTAGGCCATCGGATGGTATGCCAGTGGTTGTCAACTTTGGCTTGTAAACTGAATGGGAACCCCCATTTGTACAGGATCCTTTTTTCTTGCAGGAGGCGCGTGATCGGTCTCAGGGCCCGGTGGGCGTCCAGGGTAAGTGTGGACAGGTCCTGGTAGAGCGAGACTCGTGTGTCCATGAACGGGATGTCGTGCTGTGCTCTAGCCGCCCTCATGATTGATTCTTTGAGCTGAAAAGAGAGTATGCAGCAAATTACATCCCTGGGTAGTCCATCTCGCCTGGGGGTACGTAAGGCCCGAAGGGCTCTCTCGATGGCAAAATCTGACGGTGCCTCGTCACCTAATAACTGGGAGAACAGGCTTGTGAGCATTTCATGTGCGTTTTCCCCTTCTGTTTCTGGGATGCCTTGGACCCGGATATTGTCTTTGCGGGTGAGCATGCTCGGGGAGATGGCCGCCAGTTCTGCAGAAATCTGGGAGAGTGCATCCGTGTCCTGGGGGTCCGGCGTTGATTCTGCCATGCTCACGGAACCAGGGGAGGTAGACGCCATATTGTCGTGGTCCCGAGTGCCGTGTAGGCCTTGAGGCGTGGAGAGGTATTCATCCATGGGGCTGGGCTGCTGTCGGTGCTGTGCAGCTGGAGCCGGCCCTGGGGTGGCTGGTCGTTTAGTTTTCCCCATTTTCTTGTCGTTTGCCGCTGTGTTTTAAGGCTTTTTGAGGGTTGGGGCCCAGGAGCTCGAGTCTTGTGCGTCCTACTCCATGTGCGGCCAAGCCACGCCACGCCCCCCCATATATATAGTTTTAAGAAGGCTTTCTGGCATATAAAGCCTCAATTTTTTTATTGACAAGTGATGACTTCCAACATGATGCCCAGTAGCTGGTGATTTAAAATATCTATACATTTTAAATGTCAAACATTGCACGCGTAGGCAGCTACAGTGATGTCTGCCATATCACACGAGGTTCAGTAGATACTGGGTTTTTTGGGGTTTTTTTTTTTGAGAAGCCATGAGACTATACCTGTCACTCTGCTGTGATAGATTGTCGGCCACCATTCTAGGCAGATAGGAGCTTTTCTGGGAAATTCCAGTAGAAACCGTCATAGTGTATGACTTGGTCAGCAATGGTGTAGGTAGAACTTGGGCTACTGACTTTGAGCCATGGTTCTAAAACTCATTTGTGCTCACAAATTAGGTCGAAAAAAAATATTTGGCTGAATTCCCCTTATTTTATTGCCACTGAACAAAAGAATTGATCCTGGCTCAGTAGACCAAGAGCTCCAACTTTGAACTCTATAATATAACACAGTTGGTGGCAAAGCAACCCAGACTTTCATTTGAATGTCTATACCATCAATAAACGTTGACATTCATGGTCAGTTTTTCTTTTCAGATGATCATCCTGCTGAATGCTAGAATACAGAAATAAATTCAGATATTAACTTTGTGGTGGAACCAACCTCGCCACTAGCCACTGGAGGAGCCTGGTTGCCCACCTCTTGCTGCTGGACTATAGCCCTGCATTAAAAGCCTTTTATTCTCCCTATGTGAGCAGTATTACCCCAGATAGCTAAGCCAGGGAGCCCATTCGTATACCGAAAGACTATGGGAAAGACTTTGGCTCCATGGCGATTAAACTGTATGCATGTGATCTGAGCGCCATCCGGTAATAATGTGCGCTCAGATCTAAGCTATCTGGGGATAGGTAGAATGTGGATGTTCTATGTGATGAATGTAACAGTATGTAATTTTATGTCTTTTACTGTCTTCTTACTGTCATGTGGTTAATGGAGTTTTGCCTCTGTCCTTGGAGATAATTGAAGTGTGTAAGTCTGCGATTGGTCCTTTTACCCTTTGTGTCCCAGTCTTCCATCTGGTCCCCTAGGGGAGTGTCCACCAGGTGGGAGACCTGCATAAAAGCCAGGCAGGTAGCCCCAGTAAATCAGTTCTGCTTGACCTCAAAACAAAGTGTCGTCTCGTTATTGGGGGAATTGGATTGTATGCTGATTGCCAGGATTGTAAGCCGATTATATGCTTTTCCTGTTCAGCTGCTTACATCATTCATATGCTTGAGAGCATTCGTATGCTTCTCCGGTTCGGTGGTTGTGGTGTCTGCTGCAGTGCTTGGAGTACTCAGGAAGTGCTAGGAGCATCCTTCAACGGAGGTACCCAGTCGGGGTGCCAGGTGATCCGTTACATACTTAAACTATCAAATATTATGTGCTTTCCTCAGGTCATCTAGCTAACTGCCAAAAACTGAGCAGTATTGCTAGTTAGAGTCGATACCACTAGGTTTCCTTACTCAAATACCAAAATAATGGTGTGCTTGTAATACTTATCACAATAATTTTTAAAACAAATAACCTAAAGACTAATCAATTAGAAGCATAATAGTGCAGACCATCTGCTATATTACTAAAACAAAACATGCTTTAAAAGGTGTGTATCTGGTGTTTCCCAGAGCCCTGACAACCCAGGTCACACGCGTCATACTCACACGTCATTAGGAGACAGAGTCAAATGCGGAAAAATTGATCTGCTTAGTGTAATGGTGAGAACCCAGCTGGGAGACCCACCAGTACTTCTAGTAATCTATTATTTTATGTTGTTATACTAAAATAAATCTATGTAATACTGCACCATTGTGTTCTTCTGTGTTTGGTTTCTCCATATCAAGAATTTAAGTTGAAGCAAGTTTGTGGCAGACTTCCTACGGTATGGGACATTTCCCTTTCCAGTGAAGATATCTATACCCAGAGCCAGGGTTGACAGGGCTCTGGGAAATGTGAGTTGAAACCCCAGATATACACATTTAAAAGCACATTTTGTTTTATTTACAAAGCAGATGGTCTTCACTATTATGTTTCTGTAGGATTAATTTTTAGGTTCTTTGTTTTGAAATTATTGTGATAAGTATTCAAAGTACACTATTATTTTGCTACTTATTTGGATTTGTATGTCCCTCTTTGTGTCCTGCTGGTACATAGAAACACTTGCTAATATATTTTTGTCACAATATCACTGGATGTATATGTAAGCACTTACACAGTGTTTTTAGAATCAAAACGCTCACTCCACTTTTTTCAGTTGTATTAGGTTTCCTTACACGTCTCTGGGTTCATATTGGATTTCTTACTCGGTTTCTTTTTATTTTCTTCCATAGATTCGCTGCCAAGCTGATTGAAGGTGTTCTCGACTTCAAGACTATGATAGACAAGTGAGTAGACCTGTACATCGAAGCTTCGACTTTTGTTTTTGAATGTCAACGATCCAAATTCCCTTGCTCTTACTGAAATAGGATTTTTCCATTGTCTGCAGTGAGACTCTACCCGTGGAAAACCTTGCTGGGCAACCTCTCTGCATGAATCAGTACTACCAGATCTTATCTTCATGTCGAATCCCAGGGCCAAAACATGACTCCGTTGTCAACTACAGTCAAGCAAAAAAGCCACCCACTCACATCACAGTGGTTCACAACTTCCAGGTGAGGTCCAACAGAGTCAATCGTATCCAAAGAAGGCCATTCAGGGGTTCTGGTCAGCCATACCACCTGGACAAGGTTATTCCTGCTTACATTCTGTATTAAAGGATCACTATAGGGTGAGCTACACAAACGTATTCCTGACCCTATAGTGTTAAAACCACCATCTAGCCCTACTGGGCCCCTCTTGCCTCTTGCCTTCATTAATATAGCAAAATCTTACTGTATATAAGCCTGAAGCTGTAACTCTGCATGCTGTTTGCCTCAGAAAAACAAGCAGTCTGCTGACATCATAAGAAGTGGTAGTCTGATCCAATCACAATGCTTCCCCATAGGATTGGCTGAGACTGACAAAGAGGCAGATCAGGGGCAGAGCCAGCACAATTCAAACACAGCCCTGGCCAATCAGCATCTCCTCATAGAGATGAATTGAATCAATGAATCTCTATGAGGAAAGTTCAATGTCTGCATGCAGAGGGAGGAGATACTGAATGTTTGGATGCATTTTAGGCAGCCATGACCCAGGAAGGATCTCTAACAGCTATCTGAGGAGTGGCCAGTAAAGTTATCACTAAGGCTGTAATGTAAACACGTCTTTTTCTCTGAAAAGACAGTGTTTACAGCAAAAAGCCTGAAGGTAATGATTCTACTCACCAGAACAAATTCAATAAGTTGTAGTTGTTCTGGTGACTATAGTGTCCCTTTAAGGGGCGGTTGGGTCGTATCTTCTAAATTCTTCCTTTCCTACAACTTACTTGCTGGCTGTGAGTTTTCTTGTAACCAACCATCTATGCTTATAAATCAGCTGTACAAGTTATATAATGGGTTTAGAATGATACTCCAAGCACAGCACCTCTATATATTAAGTCTGCATTATTCCAATGCATGTTCAATATCAGGGTTTCCTAACCTTGGTTTTGACATAATGTATAATAAGCAAAATATTTATTTGAAGCACGCATCACACACTGTTTCAGAGGGTTCTGCTATGGTATACCAATTATTGGGGTCGGTTGTCTAGCCGCCTTGATCTATAAAACTCACCTAAAAAGTTTACCTTGGCATTCGCAGATGAGCTTACTCTTATAGAGGCATTTTTTTTGGTTGTAAAAAGGTCTTTCGCAGTTTGGGATTGAGTGTCGATAACATTTTTTGTTTTGGCAGTTAATATTATTAGAATTCATAGAGCACTAACATATTCTGAAGCACTTTACTGTTCTAGAAAGGGGAAGAGCTGAAGAAGGACATGCACAAACAAACTTACAATTACGATCGCCTGCTCCAATTCACGGGGAGCTAATACACTCGGGTCTATGTAATGCTAAATAATTGTTTAACAGGGACAATATAAAGCAAAATTAGTGATAAGGTATTGCAAAATTCTTTAACTCCTGGTTTAAAAATTTGGGGGGGATCAAATTGTATTCATCTTGAGATGGTTTCAAAAATAAAAACCAAAAAAGGCTATATTATATATAAAATTATAGGACGAGTTAACTGGAATTCACATAGACTGTGGAACGTATAATGAATCAGAAATCTGATATTCGATATTAGATTAGATATTAGAAGTATTTAGTACACCACTTAGCAGTCATTACTGATCTTCTTGAGAGAACAGAAAAAGCAGATAGATTGAGTTTAGAAACTATATTGGATTAGTAAAATACAGCATTTAAATTACCAGCCATTAAATGATGAACTGATGGAGTTATTTCATGCACTATTTTGTCTCAAGTGTATCCCTTCTTCTTAAACAGACAGAGTGATTTTTCTTCTGCTCGAAACATTACAACCCTACATGTTCTCATAACTCCGTGTTCTAAATAAGAACCTTGTATGCAGCTAATAAAATGGTGTATGATGTCACCTCCTGCTGTTAAATCATTTCTTTGTGCCCCTGGCCATTCCACCCCTCTGCTTAAACTATGGGGCGTACAGATTCCAGGTTCCATGGTGGTCCAAAACAGGAAATATTTGGAGAGATGATCCCTGAGATGCAGCATTGGTTTCTTCCATGATGTTTTGCTAAACTTCAGTAGGGGAACCAAGTCACATGCCCACACCTGCCCTGTCATTCAGCACATCCCAAGAATGAGCCAGGAGAGAGCTGTGCCAACTACAGTACAGCCCTCTGTATACTCCACAAGACTTGCCATTTTAGAAGATGCTCTGATCCTGTCGTCTAGCTATTACTATTTGTCCCTTGTCAAAGTCACTCAGATCTTTTCGCTAGCCATTTTTTTCTGCTTCCAAGACATGAAATCCAAGAACCGAGTGTTCGCTTGCTGTTTAATATATCCCACCCATTGACAGGTGCCATTGTAACTATATAATATAACCTATATAATCAATGTTATTCACTTGATCTATCAGTGGTTTTAATGTTGTGGCTGACTAGTGTGTGTGTGTGTGTGTATATATAGTGTGTGTATAGTGTGGTTTTTGTTTTGTTTGTTTTTTTTTTACCATCCTGATGAAAGCCAAAATATGTGGCTGAAACGTTGATTTGATTTATTTTGAACATTAAAAGTTGTTTTAGTGATATTTACAAGTCCCTGTGTGCGGTCATTCTCTGTTTTTATATATATATATATATATATATATATATATATATATATATATATATATATATATATATATATAATATATATGTGTGTGTTAAAATGTGATGTAAGGTAAGAATGCCTTTGAAAACAAACATGATCATTGTAAAAGAACAAGGAAGTGATGGTATGGACTCAATTATTTAAATATTGATTTAAATATTTTTTCTATCACTTTGCATTTTGTTTATTGGTAAACACCTATTCACATTTCTATTTTTGAAAGAAGAAATGTGTGTTTGTGATACTCAAGTGACGTAATTGCAGCAATAAGTCTCTTTTAATAAAAGATATGGACTAAGTGTGACATCTGTAGCATATTGTGATATTATGTGCGATAATCTGAAAAGGGTGGTTGTAAAGTCCTTCCCTAAAATTAATATTTAATAACATCATGTGAAGGCCTGATAGAAACACACTGTAGATAGCATTGGCATGGAACTGTAATGTTGTAGTCACTGTATCATTTTTCACCAATTAAAGAATCTGAAATATAATAAAAATGTATAACACTAATACATATAAAAAAAAAAAATTAAATAAACTTGCCTTTCACGTGCTATTTATATTGTTATTCTTATGCTGACCTCTCTAATGTGCACCGTCTCATCTTCCAGTTCTTTGAGTTGGATGTGTATAATAGTGATGGGACACCTCTAACCTCAGATCAGATCTTCATTCAACTGGAGAAAATCTGGGGAACATCGTTGCAAACCAACAAGGAACCCATCGGGATATTGACGTCCAATCACCGGAACAGCTGGGCTAAGGCCTACAACAACCTTATCAAAGGCAAGACATAGACTGTCTGAATTCTGACAAAAACACTATTAAATGCTTCACATTTAAATGTATCTGAATGCTTCAAATGGTTGATGAAAGAGTCTGCTTCACAGACTTATACACATTTCATCTATGTGGCGAAGCTTCAATATTCAAACAAAGTATCTCCGCAAAAACCTCTCTCCTATTCCCGCAAAGTAATATGTGAATTGTAGCAGCCCATCTAAACATCACTCGAGACTTAATGAGGTGTGAAAACAAAAACACTTTATTGGGTTTAACACACACTTTTATACACAGACCCCCAGCACCGGGTCATTAACTCACACAATGGAGATGCTACCAAGGCGAATCTGTGTCTGGGAGATGATAAAATTAAGTACCGGTAATCTAATCAACCTCCAGACACCAGTAACATGTGGTATCCCCGGATAGCTTGTCCCAAACACCCCATCTGGCAAAATAGAATCTGCACCTGGTTAAAGATTTGACCGGTCGTGGCTGAGCTGCAGTCTGAGGAATAGTTCCACATGGCCAGCGTGAGTTACTGTCCGGCATAGCTAGGCGACCGGGTGGTCAGATTTCAGGGAGCTTGGGCTTCAGGTGTCTGCCGAAGGGATAAGGAGCCATCGTATAGTGTTCAATAGTTCTTTTATGCTTATTTCATACAGTCTTGTCACTATCTATATGCCTAATGCGTGTTCACACTAAGAGCAAAATTGAAATTTACACAGTGGGGATCAGTGATTAGGAAAACTGTGTGATTTACAGAACACTTCTAAATGTTATCACTTAACAGTGTGAAGCATGACTTAATGTTCAAAAAGAACATGGCTGCACTCACGTTTCTTGTTCATATGATTTCGTATCAGATGATGGAATTTGCTTACTTTAAAATAACTGGCCAATGAAACATATGCTTCATTCGTAAAATGAAGTGAATTATCGCCGAATGCTTGCAAATAAACGTGCATCTCCAATGCACTAGAAAAAATCAAACTATTTCCCCTGCTCATGCAAGTCCCTGCCCACCAGAAAATTCTCTTTTACAGACTCTCTCATAGCATTTGCGTGAGAGCCTGTGCTGCTGCATCTTTAGATTCAATAAAGAAAAAACACTATTTGGCAAAATGTAGAAATTCAGCTTCAATAAACAGTGGTTTTCATTCATGTTTATTGATTAATGAAACTTCTGACATCTGCTGAACTACATATCCGGTAAACAAATTTTTATTAAATAAATGTATTTAATAAAATATATTCCCCGTCCTTTTTTTTACCAGCCAGTTTTATTTGAGCATAACCTGTAATACGGACACACGGAAAAATTCTGATTAATTGGGAACCCCAAAACATTTCTTTTTTTTGCTGTAAATATGACTTTTACACACCCATGTCTCAGACTGACAATGCTGTTGCCGGTCGATAGGCAAGAGTGTCAGAGCTGATGCTCTAATTTTATCGCTGGCTTCCCTTTTTAAATAATAGTACATACACTGTTTTGATGCAGAATTCTGTCTTTCCCCAGATAAAATCAATAAAGAGTCTGTGCGAACAATCCAGAAAAGCATCTTTACCGTTTGCCTCGATGCCCCCATGCCCAGAGTGTCTGATGACCTGTACAAAAGTCGTGTTGCTTCACAGATGCTGCATGGAGGAGGCAGCCGCTGGAACAGTGGAAACCGGTGGTTTGACAAAACTCTTCAGGTACGAGTTGCGATGGTTTACTTAGAAATAAAGTCAACTGGTTATATGAACACCGAAAAATCAATTAGGGGTTTATGTTAAGGCATTCCTATTTCTGAAGCTGCCAGGACATAGCTGGACATGTTAAATAAATCGATTAAAACCTTTTTTGGTTCAGATTGTTGCCCTAGCTAGCTGAGTATTTGGGTGGGTTTGCAGATCTACGTTAATATTTTGTGTCCACCTGGGATCCACCAGGCACCTTCTGCAGCTGAAGCTTTTAGCCAGTGAGCCAACCCTGCATGGCAGAGCTTGGTTCAACAGGGTTAATGGACACTACTTACAGGAGATTCCAGTGCTGGCAGATCCCAGGTAAGTTGTCAAAAAGTTCTTAAACCTTTTTACTATGGCATTACACCAGAGCATTCCTGGTACCATTACCACTACAGTACTCAGTAGTGGTTATCGTGTTTGGAGTCTTCTTTTAAATTTAGAATTCCTTAAGAGTTTCACTGCCTTAATCCCAAAATACAGCTGAACAGTGTGGCATTTAGCTGTTTTCCTTTTTTTTTTCTTTCATGACAAGTGCATTTTTGTCATTCACCTTACCAGTTTATAGTGGCAGAAGACGGATCATGTGGACTGGTTTATGAACATGCGCCTGCCGAAGGACCTCCCATAGTTGCCCTGTTAGATCACGTTGTCGAATTCACGTATGTGTTTATTTTATTGAGATTTAGTTGCAGCTGTATGGCAAAGTTTGAGTGGACCTGTCTTTTAACAAGTTTAGATGTAAAACTATCCAATTTTTAAGAAACCCTTGGAGATTTTAAAATCACATTTTCTCATATAGTATAGTAAAAATTTCTCATATAGTATAGTAAGATTTTCTCATATAGTACTGATATAGTTCTCATATAGTAAAATATTCTCGTATAGTACAATTTTATAGAAACCCTTGGAGATTTTAAAATAAAATTTTCTCATATAGTACTGATAGTTCACCTACCAAAAGTCATGTGGTCATTAGAGAGAACTGTTGATCACATCCGAATCAATGCAGCGATCCCTTTCTCTGTGATCAAGATATGTTCATGTAATTTTCTTTTTAATTTTATTATTTTAACATTTATCTGTGTTCTTCCAGGAAGAAGCCAGAACTTGTCCGATCACCCATGATCCCTTTACCGATGCCCAAGAAGCTGAGATTTAACATCACTCCTGAAGTTAAGAATGATATCGAGAAAGCAAAGCAAAATCTCAATATGTAAGAGACAAATAGTTTGGACTTAGAAAACCAGACACGTGGAATACTGCTCACTAATTTTAACAGTCCAGCATGGGGATAGTTTTTGGGCTTACTTGCCCCATGTAATCCACCCATGCAATTTCTTTTTCTATTTTTTTTATTTATTTTTTTTATAAAATGTTTTTCTGATTTCAATGGAAGAAACCTAACTCATCATAATTGCAGTATTATGGGCAATTACAATTCATTCATGTACCCCACAAGACACATCATCAAATAATTTGTTTGTATTGTTTTAGTAATAACATTTCTAATGGTAAAAAAATAAAAATTGAAAACATACATAGAATCATAGAATGTGACGGCAGATAAGAACCATTCGGCCCATCTAGTCTGCCCAATTTTCTAAATAAAGAAAATGTAACGGGAAGCAGACCCCCTCTCCTCCCCCCCCACCCCATGGGTAGTGTCCGCTATTTATTACATACTTACATAGCTGAAAAGAGACTTGCGTCCATTAAGATCAGCCTTCCTCACATATGTTTTTGCTGTTGATCCAAAAGAAGGGGGAAAAAACCTGGTCTGAAGCACTTCCAATTTTGCATCAAACTTGGAAAAAATTCCTTCTTGATCCCAAAATAGCAGTCAGATGTCTCCTTGGATCAAGCAGCTATTACCCCACTAATTAGAAATTATATCCCTGTATGTAATGTTTTTGCAAGTATCTATCCAATTTCAGTTTAAACATCTGAATGGACTCTAATAAAACCACTTCTTCAGGCAGAGAATTCCATATCCTTATTGCTCTTACTATGTGGGTGAAAAAAGTGTCACAACGTAACTAGAAGACAAATGAAAGTTGTGGGTACATCAAGCAGATGTTATTGGATGAAAACATGGGCAATATTTCGGCTCTGCATACTCTTCTTGAGTATGACCTTTGCGTGCCCAGACCTTTACATTCAGTGTACACTAGAGCTCTAAGCATTTTTCTCTTATCCTGTGAAAGCACTAATTTGCTGTATGGCGCATAAAAAGAGATGTAATGTCGAAATGCTCACTTACATAGTCCTTACTAATTAATAAAGCATGGTTTGTGTTTTTGCTAATGTTCTATAATTTTCCATTTTCATATTTTTCTCCCTTTTTATTTAGAATGGTTCATGATCTAGACATTAAGGTCTTTGTTTTCGGTGTGTTCGGCAAGAATTTCCCAAAGTCGGAGAAGCTGAGCCCAGATGCCTTTATCCAGGTTGCATTACAGCTTGCATATTATCGGTGAGCAATCAATGCAGCATGCTTCTTTTCTAATCTGCCAAAATGAATGGCACCGCATGGGCACCACAGGTATACATTATAGCTGTATATGGGCAGAAACAAACTAACCATGACACCACTTCTGAGGATAACTAACTAACTGACAGAGGGACCTTCATAGCAAGCCACATAGGGCAGTCCATACTAACTACAGGTCCATGCTGTGGTGGATTGAATGTATGTATGCAAGCATTCAATACCATGCCAATCAGGTTTCGTACAGGTATAATATATTGTACCTGGTTTGGTGTAGTTTTTGTAATTCTTTTTGTTGTAACTGTGTTTAGATCTATGCAATACCATTACATTTAAAGGGCCATTCTGCACACCATAACTTCTACAGCTTATTGCAGTGCTTGTGGGGTAAATAATCTCTGGGTGCTGTCCTCGCAGTTTCAACTATTAGAGAACTATTGTTCTATTATGGAGCAGTTTGAAAAAACTATGGGTCTCTTCCAGCACCTAAGGCCCATTCCCTATCCTGTGGCCCGGCTAATGAGGAAATGAGTGTCTTCATTAGTCCATCCAGAACAGGACAAAAATGCTAGGCTGGAGGCAGGTGAGTCAAAATCTCTTGACCTATCATTGTTGGGCAAACTGTGACCGCTAAGGTAGCTGTTAGTTTCTGGATTAGCCAGGCCACAGTAGAGGAGACAGCCTGTTTTTGTGAAAGGGGCTTGACGCAATGTGCAAAGACCTTTTGCGTCATAACCACTACAGTGATGGAATAATTACCCAATTAATAGCAACACATGCAGGATGCTGACCATTTGTAGAGATAGTCACTTTTTACACTACATGGCCTATAATGCTCATACAGCTATACTGCTGACAAAGCATCAAGGGAGATGTATACCACAATCTGGAGCACCGAAGGTTCTGCTGGTTTAGAGCCTGTACCTCATGTCCGTAGTGTCCCTTTATCCTGCCTCTTACATGATAAGAATTTATCCTCTTACAGTCCATGTCCATTCTCTTGCTCCCTAGGATGTATGGAAGAGCATGTGCTACTTATGAAAGTGCTTCACTTCGAATGTTTCGCCTGGGGAGGACAGACACTATTCGCTCTGCTTCTATAGACTCCCTGCAGTTCGTGCAAGGCATGGAGGACCCTGCTGTGCAGGTAAGGAGTAGTAGAAAATAAGTATGAGTTCCAAGGCCAAGACCTCGTTCTGTTTCATATATTACGTAGGTTTTTTTTGTTTTTTTTTAATTCATTCACATTAAAGGGACAGTACAGGCACCCAGACCAATTTATCTCAATGAAGTGGTCTGAGTGCAGTGCCCCTGTAGTTTTAACCCTGCAATGTAAAACATTGCAGTTTTGGAGGAACAACAATGTCTACATTGCAGGGTTAACCTGCCTCTAGTGGCTGTCCTATTGGCAGCCACTAAAGGTGCTTTTGCAGAATAGTTGAGTAAAACTCCACTATTTCTATCAGATGGTTTCAGAGACCATCTGATTGGCGCAGAGTGACATTTTGCAGTCCATGCACTCTAGCCTCCCAGTTAGATTGGCTGAGATCATAGATCCCGATGATCTCAGCCAAAGAGGTGGAGCTACACATCAGAGAACAGTTCTGCAGGGGGAAACTACCTTTATAACCTTGGCAGCGAGGGCCTGATAACCTAAACGGTGACCACAGCACTATACGCTATAGAGTTCCTTTAAGTTACACTGTGGTACTGAGTTCCCATTTTGCTATTGAACACATTACTGGTCTCCTTAATGTCAGGTGAACTTGAACATAATTCTAGTACACTGGTTCAATTATCAGGATTTTCATTTTAAACTACATAATCAAATTTTCTTTAGAAACTTCAGGTTAGAAATTAAATTGCTGAACAGAAAACAAATCTGACTTGGAGAATATTTCCCTTTTGGCTTTTTAATTTCGAATTTCACTTTTAACTTCCAACAATTTGCACTTCAGTAACTAACCCTGATCATGTTATAAGCTATAACCGAACATGTGCCCGAGTGAATATAGTGTAATAAATAGATTCTGGCCTTGACATAAAATCGTTCTGAATTAACCACATGGCATTAAAAACAAACAAAGCTGAGTGCTGTAGGCTTGGGTAATCGATATATCTGGATGCCTGTATTTTATGAACAATGTACTCGTTCTTGTGGAAGAACTTTTTTGACCTCTGTAATGATTCTGAGTAACCAAAGGTTGGCTACGTGTTCAGAAAAGAAAAAACTTCTAAACAAACTGAAAATGATCAACACAAGGCAAACAATGTTTAAAGGGACTCTCCAGTGCCAGGAAAACAAATCCCACCCATCCCATGTCGCTGAAGGGGTTAAACCTTTACTACTTACCTGAATCAGCTACTTACCTGAATCCAGCGCCGGTTCAGACTCCTCCCTGCCGACATTAACCGGCGGGGGAGACCTAATGCGCATGCGCAGCAATTGCCTCCCCATAGGAAAAGCAGTGAGTAGGTCCAGCTTCAGATAACGGACCGAAAGTCAGACTGAATTCCAGAGGCGCCCCCAGTGGCTGTCTGGCAGGCAGCCACTGGGGGCAGACTTAGAGCTGTAATGTAAACATTGCTGTTTCCCTGGAACAGCAATGTTTTACATTGCAGCACTAAGTGCAATAGGGACACAGCACCTAGAGCACTTCAATTAGCTGAAGTGGTCTGGGTGCCTGGAGTGTCCCTTTCAGCAACACTATCTTTAAAAGTGAATATATCAAAGCTTATCCCCTTAAGGACGGAGGCACTTTAACAAGTTCTAATCAAAGCATTAATCAGCTCTTCTAGCTGAATGTGTATTCATTAATTTATCTTTTTAGAACCAGCAAAAAGTTGACCTGCTCAGAAAGGCTGTTCAAGCACACCGCGCTTATACAGATATGGTAAGAAGAAAAGTCAATTTTACTGGGAAACTACACTTTGGTTATATTATTCTGCTTTGTTTTTCAAATGCACCGAAATGAAGTGGATCACATGACATAATGGAAAATGTGCCAAATTGTTTTTACTTATTTCTCCATTCAGAAATGCTTTTAAACAAACACTCCAAGCACCAGAACTAGTACACTCCTCTGTAGTAGTCTTGGTACCAAGAATACTCTGTTGCCTTCATAGTGTAAGTAATATTTAAAAATCCTTTAATGGCAGTTTGACAACTTACCTGAGGTCCACATGGAGCCCACTGCTGCCTGCAATACAGATTCAAGCTCCTGCACTGAGCAAAACTCTGGTTTGCAGAGCTTCTCCCCATTCTGGCTCCAGGGCAGGTGGCGACTGGCATCAAACAGACCCCATGTAAGTTGTCAAAACCTTTCTTAAATGGTGTTACTACTCTGGGAAGGAGCAGGCTGTTGTGTTATTGGTTCCTTAAACAACTGCTGTACAAGTACGTTCATATACGTAAATATACAAGGATATGATACATTTAGGCATAGATCACTTCTGTTTTGTGTTTCACTTGTCATCTCCCAGTGATTTTTAGCTTTTAAACCAGTCTTCTCCCAGTTATTCAGTAACTCCAAATGTTCGCAAATTGAAACCAAATGGAACAGATGAGGAAACACTTGGATACACTCTCCAGTAAAACTAATATCACAACTTGGGTATTTTTCAAACGTAATTTCTCAAAAAGAAAGGACGTTTAGGGAATAACACTCTGTGTAAATCTTATTTTGCTACATTAGAAGCTTTCGTGAGCAGCATTCTCACTTTCATATCTGGCAAGTTTACCTTTTATACTTTTGAATTAGAAAACATAAATAAAAATGTAACTTTGTTTTTGAAGTGATACTACTGGCACCCAGACAGTAAGTGCAATGTTAAGATTAGATTTAATACCATCACCAAAAACATTTCCCTCCCTCCCTGTAGAGTTTCCCCTTTTTTTTTCCAGAAATACTGTTGTTTCTGATATTTGCAACTTAGCTACTGGTGATTAATATTCAACCCTAAGTAAGTCCCCGAATCCCTACTTTTGAGATATGTTTAGCACTGATACAGAAAGCTTAGTAAACACTAGACACCTCCTGGTTTGGTTGGAGCTCACTTCGGATCCTGCGCAGTTGGAGTATTTGCAGCACATCTAGGAACTTCAGATGTTTCACTTTTTTAATATAAGTTTTTATTAAGAATGTCTGGATACAATGCATGCGGTTATAGGCTATATATCAGCTTATCTGAGTAAGCAGTCAGAACTCAGTGTAGGAAGTGACCAGTGACATTCTCAAGCAGGTTTATTTATTAAACCAAGTAAGGAACACAAAAAAAGTGTCCCATTTCCCCCACGAAAAAAAACCTGACGTTGGTTACATAGTATTAAAAGAGACAACTTTATTAGCCTACCCGGTTCTTTATATCACCACAGTGGAGACTAGGTTTAGTGGTCATGGAGAAGACCAAAAAAACAAAAAACAAAACTGTCATGTAACGAAGATGAATCAAACTCCTTTGCTGGCCAGAGCGATCCCCTATTAGCCCAAAAACCCAGATGTCCAACACTAGGGAGCCAAAGACATGTGTTAATAATAAATATTTTGTAAAGAATTGTGACCCGCCACATTTCACATTTATTATTTTTGCGTGTAAACATTAAAAGCCCTGGTTAATACTAATAAATAAGCCTATTGTCCCTTTAATGCAAGAGGTTTAGTTTTAAGTGGAAGGGATTACTTGCTAGACATTCTTGATTTTTCTTTTCTTTAATTTTTTTTTTATCCCACTAAAGGCTATCAGTGGGAAAGCGATAGACAGACACCTGCTGGGACTGAAGCTCCAAGCCATTGAAGACTTGGTCAGCATGCCAGAGCTTTTCATGGACACCTCGTATGCAGTGGCCATGCATTTTAATCTCTCCACCAGTCAGGTACTAGATGCTATAAATTTAACTCATTGGCCAAATTGAAAATGTGCAAGCCTTTACTTATGCATGTTTTTGATTTAATTACAGGTTCCAGCTAAAACAGACTGCGTTATGTGCTTTGGTCCTGTGGTTCCTGATGGCTACGGCGTTTGTTACAACCCTATGGAAGAGCATATAAACTTCTCAGTATCTGCATACAACAGCTGCGCTGATACCAACGCAGCCCGTCTTGCTCATTACTTGGAACGTGCATTGTGCGACATGCAGCAACTGATCATACGTACTCCAAAATCTAAACTCTAAATGGAGTAATTGACTCTTAAAATCTTCAAGACTGCTAACCTTTTTCAAATCATAACATACTGGTGTTGGCCATAACAGTGGAATTTACCGTAGGTAGTCTTTTTGTCCTTGTTTCTTATTTTGGGTCTAGAACAAGCCACTCAATATTCAAAAACAAATAGCCTGAACATGGAACAGGCAAGGAATTCTTCTTATGAAGATCAGTGACTTTCGATTTAGGCGCTTAGCCCAAATGTTCATTTTGATAAAAGTTGCACATGTACGTTTGCTACGTACATTTACATCCATCTGCAGAAGAAAGGTTAGGTGAACCAGAAACACTGTGTGCTTGAAAGAAATGTTGAAGCAGAAAAGACCTGTTGATGTTTTGGTGTATACGTTTTTGTTTTGTTTTTTACCCAGTTTAGGCTTTGAAACGGGACAGTCATTGAGATTCTGGCCTGCTGCGGATTTGTAAAAGAACATTTAAGTGCTCAGGAAGGTGCTTTTAGTCTGCCAGACAAATCTGAAATAATCCGTCCACACTTAACGCAAGGTGTCCTGCCCAATCCATTTCACATTTGTGAATAGCAGAGGATGCCAAATGAAAGCATTGTGTCCAGTGTGAACTTTGGGTTCATGAACACTCTTAATTATTTGTAAATCCCAGTTTTTTTTTTGTTTTTTTTTTTAACAAGCAGGTTATGGGTGAATTGTTTTGCTTTAAATCGGCTTTGAATGTAACTTTGAAAACATTTAAAATCTTCACTAAAAGTTGTGATTATAAGAACGTTTTACATGTAAGCTGTAATCATTTGCACACCCAATCTTTGACACTTATTTTTAACACGATATATAAATGAAAAAAAAATAAAAAAAAATTAGTCTCATCACCTCCATTAGACAAGATTTAAATGTACGTAAAGTGTGCTCCAAAAACAAATCACTAGGTAGTACTTTTAAAGGAACACTAAGCCTTATAACCACTATAGCATGCTATTTTGGTTATCATGCAGGAGTCCCCTGGTGACCTATCAAACTATTTAATAATGGTTTTACACTTACCTGCTTCACACCACCTGTGATCGATCTGTTATGATAATGTAGAAGCCCACACTAAGTCATAATCATACCAAAGTGTAACGTTCTTTAGTGGGTGAGAACAATTACCAGTTCTGCTAGCACACTGTATACAGATTTAGTTTATTCCAAGTTTACATGTATCATGTGTACCTTGTTAAGCACACTTACAGTTTGTCTGAAATTATAAGCAGGTACTCTGAGTATCACTTCCTGTCATATTGACAGCAGCTGAAAAAGCTGTAACTCATGCATCACTTTGATGTGTGCAAAAATTCCTTTACACTACCTAAGCACAACCCATTCTAAAATATCAGTTAACATTATAAACAGTTAAGAAGAATGTATAATGGTGGGGAAAATGCCATCTTGGGATCCTGGAGACATTTATAATCCACCTGACCTTCGGCCTCATGGTTAATGTTTGGAGAGTATTCGTTTTGCTTTCTTTTTTTTTCCCCTGCAGCTGGATTTTTCATCAAACTGCTCAATCAACTAACACTAAGCAGCACGACTTAGACTGCCATTTAAGAGGTCTTCCAACCCAGAAATATATAAAACTGTAAAGAACTAAAATAAATAATGCATTCCTGCAAACAATATTGCAATGAGATATGAATATAGACAAATTAAAGTGGTGAGGTTTTGGATTTTCCCCTCTCTCTCTGCAGGAAAGCATTAAACAAATACATAACATTCTCCTCTATGTAGGAAAAACTAAAAAAAAAAAAAAATTCTGAAATAAGCTCTTTTGCAAATGGATAGCTGCATTTATTGCCAGTGGGATGAGAAACAGAATATGCACCACTCTTGACATCAACAGGTTAAATTGGAATGTCACTTTATTAAAAAAAAAAAATAATAATAATAATGCAGGATACGCGTTATTTTAAAGTAGGCGATCAAATTCTCATTTATGCATACACCCTCTGTGTTAATAGTAGGATTTAAAATTCTTGAAAAGCACATTATCTGCAGAGACAGTAATTTGAGGCAAAATGTTACTACCACATTTGCCAATTAAAACAGATTGTTCCAGTCACATTACAGGTTGAATCTTACAAAGAAACTGGATAATTTCTATGCATTAAGATTATCAAACAATCTGGCTTTCATAGTTTTTATTTACCACCCACTACAGATAAAAAGTTAGGTAGCAGCAGTTTTAAAACAGACTGAGGAAGGAGGATACACACGGGTCTGCTTTGTGGCAAGGAAGTCATGCAAAGTGGGATTGACTTAACCTAATGGACATTACTACAAGGGTCAGCACCAAATGGGTTTACTGAGACATCACTGTAAGATCCAAGGTAAGCCGCAGGGGAGAATTCAGTTCATTCACTGCTGCAGAAAACAAAAAAGGGGGGTAAACAATGTTAAATGTCAACAAGTAACAAAACCAAAATCCCACCTTCCACTCGGTTTCACGGTTTCCACAAGAGGAGGAAAAAAAAAAGGAATAAATCACTAGTGTTTAAAAGGGTTAGTCCTTTCTCGAAATCTTGAACAAAGTGCAAAAAGATTTGCTTTAAGCTTACCAGCCCTCATTCGGTCAGCAAGAGGCACCTGCGGGAGCATAGTTGGTGCGCTTAGGCAGCCATTTGAAAGCACATTTTCATAATACAGGCGCTTTATTCTAGATAATTAAGGGCACGGGAAGAATAGATTCAAAACAGCAGGAGACGTTTCCTAAAGGTTAGGCCAAGAAAAAAAAATTATATATATAGAGAGCTAGATATTCACAGCATTTTCTATCCCAACCGATTAGGCATCAATTACTTGGGAAGGCGTTTAAAAAAAGATTGAATAAATAAAAGAGGAGGTGGATATCCATGCTATAAAAAAGGGGGTGTTAGGGAATATACATTTTGTTTGATCATCTCCTGGAAGCAGAAATTATAAATCCCTCAGCTTGCTTTTGCTTTCTTCTGTCTCCTGAGTGGAGTGATAGGAGAAAGTTCATTGGATAGCGTGCATTTCAGAGCATGAGCTCTCGGGCCTGACATGCAGAGGAGAGCTGTGAGCAAGCCATAGAGACGTTGTGAATCCAGCAAAGGCCTTGCTCTCTCTCAATTATTTTGGTCCGTCAGTTTGTATGTTCCTCACTACGCCATGAGTTGTACTGGCTTCAGTTCCTTTCGGATGCTGTGATTTTGGTAAATCCTAAAGGTCATATCCCACCCTGTCAGTTTGCTTGTCTGGGACTCACTGAAGCTTCGTACCATGTTTTCGTTGTCTGTTTCTGTAATGGAATACAAAAAAAAAAAATTTTTTATATACAAACTCTGGTATTTTGGAGAATAAGCTCTCAAAAGCTTGTTTTTGAAATATTATATTAGTCCAATTAAAAAAAAGGTATCATTGCATACTGCAATACTCTGGTATTTTGTCTACTGGACTAATACAGCTAATCACAAAAAAACACACTAAAAGCTACAGTGCACATGGTTAATGATTTCACTGCTTGAATACAGGTGTAAACTGTTATAGTGAAGTCTATACACCCCCAATTTTACATTTAAAAAAAAAAAAAAACGACCAGGTTTCCCTCTACTGTGGCTTGACTAACTTCAACACTAGCCCAAGACAGGCTAAAAGGACTGAACTAACACACCCCCAGCCTACCTTGGCTATCCAATGTTGGACAAGCCAATATAGAAGTCAGATTTGTATTGACTGAGCCACAAGAGAGAAGGTGGGCTATGGGTGCCATTGAGAGCTCTAGTTATTGTCAACAAACTGCAGTGTAGCACCCACAGACTTACAGAACTATAAGCACTGCAGTGATCTGTGCTGGGTATGGTGTCCTTTCAATAACCTACTGGTGCAAGTACTAGCATGAAGCCAGCTTAAAGAGGCGAGAGAAAAAAATAAATAAAAAATAAATCAATCTTAATGAGTGTACTTCGCTTTATACTGTACAACAATTTAAAAATAAAAGTCTGTAAAAAGCAGGCTGAAAAGGAAGCAATAATTCAATCCCAAGTATAAGATTTAGAATCATTCTTAACATTACCTGGCTTCTCCCCGAGTGACTGTGTATTCAAACCATAAGATATTGGGTATTAGACTGGTATCACGGATGAGGAAGAATTCTGAGACTGGCCTGGAAGAAAAACCAAAACATATGCAACTTGCTTAATAAAAACCTGCCCAATTGTTTTATAATGGGGGCAAGGGAACATTTGCGCCATTACAGTTATTTGGAAGGGTCATAAAGCAGGTATACTTCATGTATACCACGTACAGGTTATTCAAACACAGACAGCACTGTATTGGATGGTATTTTGAATTCTATTTTTAATGCCCATGTGATTATAAATGTGTGTATATAGTGCTGTGCACTTTTTTATTTAACTTCTTTAATTTGTGTCTCTGGTATTTATAGTGCAGCTTACCATTATATTTTATAGTTTTTATTTTATTTTTATTGGCCAAAATGAATTGGGAGTGGGTCTCCTTGTTTTTTAATTTTTTCATACCATCTAAACCTGTAGCACTTAGTGATTATTTCTTTAGTATTTATTTGGTGATTTCGAGTCTAGAAAAACTCCCTCAAATCCTGCCAGATATGTGACTTACAGGGTTATTTACTAAAAAGTGAGAATTCAAAGTGAATTTAGAAATGTAATTCCAGAGGAACTGAACTGGAAACATAACGGACTTAGAAAATTCTCCCAATATTTGGATATTTTGACTTTAATGTGAAATTTTACTATGAATTCAAATTGAATTATCACCTTGGTAAATAACCTTATTCTATGCTCCCAAAACTTTCCACGACTGTTAAAAATTGTTCAGGTTAACTAGTAACCACTTATTTACTTGATTGTAAAACAAAACGCAAACTAGATACCAATCCAAACCTGTGTAAACTCATGTGAATGTTTTCATTTTTCTACAGTTTGAGAATTGTTAACAATTATTAAAATATAACACTGTCTTTAATGTTAACAAGTTCAACTCACCAGGATGCAATTCGGGGGAACAGTGGAGTTAGGATTTCCTGTGTGATGACAAACCAGCCAATGGCCAGTATACTCCCAGCCAATGCGCCGTACACTACCTGACTCCAGCTGTGATACAGCAGATACACTCTACAAGGGAAGTAGCAGACATTAGCAGATTTTCAGACAGCATAGTGCAGTCGTTTAGCACTGGCTCAAATACAGGAGAACATGCTACAGGATGGTGCATACCTACTATATGAGACTAAACAGGCGGCCGTTAGCAAGCACAAAGAGAGGATGTGTCGCCAGAGCAGATCAAGGAAACGTGCGTTGTTTGTTTGGTGCATCCTAAAATTAAAAAAATTAAAGGGACAGGCAAGTTCAGTAAGTTTTTTCCCCCCCCCAAGTCTGTTATTTTGTTGCTAATTAAGCAAGCCGTTTCACCATTACCCACTGTTTAGCGAATAGACAAATTGTATTGATTTTTAATGTGCAATAGTCACATTTGAGGTGGGGGTTCTCGGCAAATGTTTGTTCATTAATTTTAGAAAAAAAGTTCTAAACCTTTCAAAAGTGATTTTTTTAAAATACATTTTTTGAAATATTGCCACAATAACAAAACACCCCAAAACATCACGGTTTGTCCTGAGAATTGATACTTGAAGTGTGTGCTAACGATTTAAGAGGAATCGCATCCCTGTCTAGGGGTGCAGTACACTAATCTTGTCTTTCTATAATATATATATATATATATATATATATATATATATATATATATATATATATATATATATATATATATATATATATATATATATATATATATTTATATATATATATATTATACATATATACACCATTGTATGTTTGGCGGTCCTGGAACAGCCAGAGAATACCAGCCATTTAATTTTACACCTAACATGCGGTATGCATGGACAAATGGCACTATAGTATACTGAGTTGATGATGTTGCCCTGGGCACAGATACGCCACAGAGAATAGTGTTTTTATTTTACCTTTCGCTGCACAATTGACAAGAGCTTCAAGAGCAATGACAGGGATATGGAATTGACAATTGTCTCAGAGACGCAACTTTTCAGCTTTACAATTAACTAGCCAATAGGCTAGTCCATTTTGGCTGACATACATTCATAAACACATTAATATTAGTGACTCACCTTAAATATAAGAAGAGGAAGGAATACACGGAGAAAAACCAAATGAACTGAGAATGGCTGGAAGGTAACCCATATTCTGTGGTGACTGTTGCGTGGGTTCCTGGGAAAAATAACCAAACAAAAAAATCCACAAAAAATTAGGATTCATTAGACAGCAAAAGACGGTCATTCAGGTGGTAATCAATGTTAAATTCCAATGCAATAACATTTACATATAAAAATATACTCTAGGAGGCAACAACTCACAATCAAATATGGTTATTATTAAAAGGAATGCCAACTTTAAAAAGTAGTGTTTTAAGTTAAATTGTTTCCTAATTAGCTTTACCCCCCCCCCACATATTTGTAAAAATACATTTAAAAAAACATTAAACTTGGCCATAATTCAGCAATAAATTGCTTTCACAACGAGGCAGATCGGGGCAGAGTCCCAAACACAAACACACTCCTCATAGAGATTGATTGAATCAATGCATCTCTATCAGGAAATGTCATTGTCTCCATGCAGAGGGTGGAGACAATGGCAGTACTGCACATTGTGCCGCACTGCCCCAGGACGCACCTCAATAGCCACCTGAGGAGTGGCCAGTCGAGTTATCCCTAAGCTGTAAACATTGCATTTTGTTCCACTGGAAGGGAGATTACTCAAACAATCTCTGAAGCATGAAGGCTCTAGTTCAAGATAAAATGGCATGCATCTCTAAATGTACATGCTATTTTATTGCCAGACAAAAACAGTCTATTATATGTCATTATAGAATAACAAATATATAAAAAAAAAAAAACAAACACACCACAACAAAGTGACTTGCTCAAGACATTTATTCTCCTACCATCCCTTGAAGTAGAAAGAACTTTCGGGCATTAGGATTTAAACGCAACTTGAATTCATATACATGGCTGAACTTCAACTATCCTTAATACCTTCACATGGCCGTGGCTCCCTAATTATGTTCTTTATCAGCCAGTTTACTCCTTCATTGAGTAGCAGTCCACAGAGAAAAGAAATCTGAAAATAGAAACAATAATAAAACAGGAAGGTCTTGTGCATAGTGCCTAAAAACACAAATGCAACTGCTAGTGTTGGTACAAAATACTGGGGTCTTACTGTATGAAGCTCTCTCTTAAATATGATTAGCGTTCCAAAACTAATGAGTATGAACACTGGTCCTAGGCTGAGGTATGCCAAGAGCTGCCCGTAAACATCACCTGTAATAACAAAAAATTAAGTGTTAATAAAAACGAAGATGGGATCAGTTAAGAACACATAATGAAAACAAACAATTTTAAAATATCACTACTTAAAAAAATAAAATAAAAAAAAAGGGGGGAAATCATCACACAATTTAGCTATTTTGCACTGAACTCATCCAACCATCACTGTTGCATCTTATACTAGTTTAAGACATTGGAGGAGAGAGGCCAATCTAAACAGCGGTGTTTATGGTGTCATCTCCATAATCTCTGCTACAAATTATTTGTGATACCAGAGGAAGTTGCCATCCTGGGTGGCAGTTATTGCAGCTGCTGTCATAAACTCAGTGCAGGAACAAGCTAAATGAAATAGCCCCAGTTGCCACTCTGGAGTGTAACGCCTGATCTCAGACAGACTTAGACATTGTGGTTCTGCCCAAGATTATAAATCCTTGAGCTAAACAGATGTGATGCGCTGTGCATTATTCCTGGTTTTCAAAAAGAAAATAGTGCATCCAGCTCTTTATGAAGTTGTGCTTTTTAGCCCACAGAATTGTGGTTCCTACTGCTCAGTCAAAGCACAGAATGAGAAAAGAACCAACTAGAATAATCCTTATTAATCATGCAAGAAAAGGACTTTAAAAAAGGCAGACAACTATGCGAATTTTGTATTCAAGCTGCAGCTGGTTTCTTTTGCCTTTTTCAGATGGATTATAACCAACAGGCAGTTGCTAATGGTATTAAAGATGTAATCTGTTCACTCAAAACATCCAAACTGGCCAAGGGCAAGGATTGGACTCTGTATGCCAGCTCTGAAGATGAGGAACATTTCTTCCAGGATTAGGAGCTTGGCCTCTGCATATGAAGAGGCGTCACGCTCTAGAAAATCCACGGAACCTAACTGGCAAACAGTGAAACCAGGGAAATGTTTTTGCACAGTGGTAAAATCAATCAAATCTTCATAACCGCCTTGAGATTTTCCATTGGTCTCGGAGCTTTGGCCAGACTGCCCTTTGATTAAGGTTCCGCACCAGATGCTTTTAATGAAAACTGTTGCAAGCTCAGAACACAGACTGTAGAGCAGTAATAGGCAACCTTTGGCGCTCCAGATGTTTTGGACTACATTTCCTATGATGCTTTACCAGTATTCTGGAGTAAGAGCACTATGGAAAATGTAGTCCATAATATCTGGAGTGCCAAAGGTTGCCTACCCCTGCTGTAGAGTATCAGAGATTTAAGCTATTTTTCTGATATCAGCTCTTTACTCTTTTTCATGAATACAGAGTTATACGGAGAACGGCTCCTGAATGCTGATTTCCTTATCCAGTTTCAAAAATGGGACCTTTTCAAGACAAAAAAGGTCCATTAGAGGACTGAAAAGTTGACACAAATTTGGTGTACCTCGCAGGGACAGGTTATATGATCCAGAACCTCTACATTAAGCTGTAGCGGTTCTATCGGGTATAGTGTCCCTTTAATCAAGGTTCTGTTTAATTTGCCAAAATAATTTACCCACACGTCATCCATCCAAAGCATCTGACAGAAGGCAAAACTACAGATAACACAAACAGAGAAAATAGTGCTGCCAGGAAGGTAAAAAATAAGTAAATATTTATAATATATAATCCAAGTATAAGGTCCCACAGAAGACTGAAACGTTGACACGAATGTGGTGTATCTATATTGTACAATAAAAGAATTGAAAAATCATCTACAGAGCCCTGTGAGTGCACTTTTTTTGGATTATGTACATTTTAGCTGAAGTAAGCACAAGACCGTGAGAGACTGCTGGGCCCATGTGGATAGATAGAGATATATATATATATAGCAAGTGGCACAGTAATAATTATTAAAATACAAAGTGCATGAAAACAGAACTTAAAGGGAAAAAAAAGAAAAAAAGATAGTTCCGCTTTAAGATTATCATACTTAAGATGATTCATGCTCAGCTAACGTTTCTGAAGATACAGACATTTGATAAACCTGCATTTAGGGTTGTCATATCCCGCATGATCGCAGCCATATTTTGCTTTAGCAAGCCATTCAGCACTACATTTCAATGTACACTGATCACCACGCAGTAGATACAGTTTACATGCTAACAAAAAAAAAAACCAAAAAAAATTTTTTTTATTTTTTTTTTTAAAATCAATGTATTTTTCATAGAGGTAATCCCAAAAGGAACTGCTTGATGAATCAACTGGTTTCCCAACTGTATTATGAAAGCTTACTACTGAACAAAAGGCTCTCCATCTGATGCCCCTCACCATCAGGCAAAATATATCCAGGGGAACATGGTGGAGCTGGTAAATAATAACAATAATAACAATGTGATAATAATAAAGTGATAGAATGAGTTGGATAAATCAAAAATAATAAGAGAGAGAAAAGGAAGGGACAAGATAGAAAATTAAAAAAAAAGACACAAGTAACTATCTCTCCATCCCATACAAGGAAGCTCAGGTATGTCTGTTAATGCAGACACATCACGCATGCGCAATGGGTAGCTCACTAACTGGTAGGGTGACAAGCTATTACCGCGCATGCGCACTGGGTAGCTCACTAACTGGCAGGGTGACAGGCTATTACTGCGCATGCGCAATGGGTAGCACACTATCTGGCAGGATGACAGGCAATTACTGCGCATGCGCACAGCCCATTACACCATAGGATAGGACCACTATTTTGCATCGCCGCTTGCCCTCTCCAATTCCTATTTGAATTTGGGAGAGACCCCGGGAGGCTAAAAGCGATAGCGAAGGAAAGACATGTTCTCACCTGCGGGATATTCTACGTGAGTAAGAGAAACCGGACGCCATTCAGCAGAGAGCGAGCACTGTTCTACCACCGCCATCTTACCCGGATACCGGGCGTTTGGAAACGACCAATTAGGAACGAGCGAGGAGGCGGTACCAGCCAATGGGAGGGAAGCTGCAAAATGATTCGTCGAAGGTGACCAATCGGGAGTCGGAGCAGGTACACAGCGGATCCAATGGTGAAGCGCAAAGATGGTCAGGCGACGGCTGCACGTACACGGCTATTGCGTGACCAATCAGGAAACAGCACACAAGATCGACTAGCCAATAGGAATCCACAATACGATTTCAGCCTTTGGTTAACATTCGCCAATGGGCGTCGAAGCGGTCAGTGACTGGTGTCCCACCCAGCCAATCAACGCGCAGATACAACAATGCTCAGCCAATCAAAATGGGAGGAAAATTTGGCGGGAAGTGCATGGAGGGCAAGACATTATTTGAGCTGTTATTGTATTATTAACACACTAGTAGTGATTATACACACCTTGTCACATGGATTCAAAACATAGCTTACCATTATTATAAGTGATAGCCCCTGCTATTGGCTGCTGGCTAGATCCAATTGAGGTTATTCACTAAAACAGGGCTGGTTAAGGAATTTACTCATTTAAAGCTGTTTTATAAGATATATTACATTTTAGGTATTTATATAAATAAGTAGTTGTTTTATGAAATTCTCCCCAGGGCTGTGGTTTGAATCATGCTGGCTCTGCCCCTGATCTGCCTCTTTGTTAGTCTCAGCCACTCCTATGGGGAAGCACTGTGATTGGGTCAGGCTACCACTTCTGATGATGTCAGCAGACTGTTTGTTTTTTCTGAGGCAAACAGCATGCAGATCTACAGCTTCAGGCTTGAATACAGTAATATTTTGCTATATTTATGGCGGCACGAGGGGCCCGGGGGGGCTAGATGGTGGTTTTTACATCATAGGGTCAGGAATACATGTTTGTGTTCCTGACTCTATAGTGATCCTTTAACTGTGTTCTAATTATAATACAATATCTGTAGAAGATGGCGCACTCTTCGACACACCAACTAGAGTGGCCCCAGGCAAGCGGGCAACATCCATTAAAGTCATATCAACAAAAAATGAACGTTATATGGGTCTTCTTCAAAAAACCTGCCTGAAACCGGCCTTGTGTCTTCCGTGCATTCCTTTTGGCTCTGGAACTGAACATCACTCAGCGTTGACTAGTTATGTGTTCATATTGTGTAAAGGTGTCTTGTTAAATGTTTTTTTCTTTGTTTTTTTAAACATTTTTATAGATAAATAAAAGCACAAGCAGTAGCTAAGTTTTGTTAAAAGAAAAATCTTATGATTGTTGCTCTTCAAACAGTAAATAGTAAGCCATGAATTAGCATGTCCCTTTTTGTTTTTTTATCTTGTACCGAAACAGATTTATCCCAAAATACTGTACAGCTTAACAGTAATCGGTAACTTTTCACAGTATTCTATCCTTGATCTGCGCCATTTAATAAATTCTTAGTCGGGATTAGTGCTTGGTGAGGTAAAGATCATTTAGTTTTGCGATGCCATCACTGCAGAGTTATTTTCAGTAGGGTGAGTGCTGCAGCAGGCCTCTAGACCGGCAGGACAGTTTAGATCACGTCCAAAATTGTCCCAAAAGCAGGACACCAGGGAGCTGTCCCCAACATTCATAGCGTGAGCGTGCCATTAGATGCTCTATGCGTTGGGACAATAGAAACCTGCAGAGAGCATTTAAACAGTGGTTGGCTGGCCTACTTGATTAGCATGCTGAACTTTCAATTTTACAGGTCGGTTACATCCCCTTTTACCAGCATCCTACTTTACAGGACGCCAAAGTTGGTAGCTACAGCACTGCTCCGCATTTAGGATCATTTAAAACTCCGTGCTAACGAGGAGTGTTAATTTTAGCTACAAATTTCAATTTAGTTTTAGTCATAATCTTTTTAATAAAAAGCAATTTTACTTTTAGTCATCTGAATTGTTTTATTTTAGTGAACCTCTGTCTTTTTTACCTGTTCCCAAGCCCCTCTGAGTCTCTTTGTGTCCCTCCAGCCCCTCTAGGTGTGTCTCGCTCTCTCATGCACTGGTCTGTCTCTTTTGCCCCTTTCATAGCCCCTATGTGCAATGTTAATTTTGGCTGCAAAAGTTTAATCTAGTTCTAGTCATAGTCTTTTGACTAAAACGCCATTTTAGTTTTAGTCGTATTTTATTAATCTGAATTGTTTTACTTTAGTTTTAGTCAACTGAATCTCAAAAACTAAACTAAAATTGTTAGTCGACAAAATTAACACTGCTCAGCAGTTGACAGTTTTCCTTTAAAGGGACATCCACGACCCCAAACCACTTTATCTTAATGAAGTGGTTTTGGGGCACTTTTTTGACAATGTAAAACATTGCTCTTTCAGAGGAAATGCTGGCACTGCTAAGGATTATCACAGAGAGCCCTGCAATTATCACTCATGTGCTGTAGAGCCCTAATACTTCTCTAAAAGCAGCATTGGCTTGGACCAACATCATCAGTACTGAGTATATCAGATGAGATAGAGCGGCTGCTACAAGGAGCCTGTGCCAGTACAAGATTAAAAGTAAATTTAAAAAAAAAAAAATTATATATATATATTTGTATTTACTGTTAACATTAGTGTTCGTTTAAATGAGCTGAATGAATTCCTGGTTGATAGTTAATTGCAGGAGCTGTACAGTTAGAAAATTTAAATACGTGAATTTTCATTGTTTTTGCAGATTTTTTTGAATGAATTATCTCTGTAATGCATTTAAAAAGAATCAACTCAAGCACAGAAAGTCATTCTCTGATCCTGTATAATGGTGCAACCTATGAGAAGCCTGTGATTGGACCACGCACTTCACCGTGACGTCAGAGGAAGCGTGGAAGATCAGCACCGGGACATTTGCTCAGCTCAGGAGTCCAGCCAAGTAAACCTCCATAGTGCCCAATAGGGCATATTACACCAGAATGGGGTTTATAGTAACCCTTTAATGGAGGCTTCCCCAAACTCCAGCCCTCCAGATGTTGCTGAACTACAACTCCCATGATTCTATGAATGAAACAGGCTGAGAATCATGGGAGTTGTAGTTCAGCAACATCTAGGGGGCCGGAGTTTGGGGAAGCCTGCTTTAATTAGATGCTTATCTCTGGGTGATACTCTTTTTGCAAGTAGCTCCAAAGACTTCATCCATCTTCTGCACTTGACATCATCATACAGTTAGTCCCAGGGTCGGACTGGGAAAAAAATTAGGCCCGGGCATTTTCAATCAGAGCGGCCCCCTAAGAAGGGGGCGGGGTCAGAGAGGGTGTGTTTTGTCATCACTAATGACAAGCACGCCTCCTCTCAAAGTGAGCATGTTGGTTCAATGCGCAGAGCTGCGCTGAAGAGCTCTGGCATTAGAAAAAGGCCCTGTATTTGTTCTGCGCAGCACAAGCAAATTTAATAACATGCTTGCGCTGTGTTTGCTTTTAAATTGTCTCTGGTGTCTCAACAAGTGGGATACAGAGGACAAAAGGGCCAGGAAAGTGTATGGTGCATGTGTTTGGAGCCTGCTTGTGGGATTGCGTGTGTGTAGAGTGTGGTGTGGTATTGTGTAAATAGGTCAATTTCATTTGTGTTTGTGGTGTAATGTGTGTGGCTAGGGGCTGTAGAGAGTGTGTGTATAGGGGGCATAGTGTTATAGGGGATGTAGCGAGTGTGTGCATGGGCTAGTGTGTGTGTATAGGTGACGTAGTGTGTGTAGGGGTTGTAGAGAGGGTGTGTTTAGAGAATGTTGTATGTGTTTGCTGACAAGGAATGTAGTGTGTGTGTGTAGGTGGTGCAGTGTGTGTGTGTAGGAGATCTAGTGTGTAAAGGACCCAGAGTGTGTATAGGAGATTGTGTGTGTGTGTGTGTGTGTGTGTGTGTATATAGAGGATTAAGAGTGCATGTGTGTGTCTGGGTGCTGTGTGTGTCTGGGGGTGCTGTGTGTGTCTGGGGGTGCTGTGTGTTTCTGGGGGTGCTGTGTGTGTCTGGGGGTGATGTGTGTGAGTGTGATTTTTTAATTTAATAATTTAATTTAAATTATTTTTTTTAATTAATAATAATAATTTTTAAAAAAGTTATATCCCCCCCTCCCTTCTTACCTTTAGCCTGGGAGGGGGGGGGACCATTTTGCCTGGGACGGGGGGGAGCCGTTGGTAACCGCGACAACGCTCAGAATCCCGCGAGAGGACCCGGCGGAGCTGCTGGATAGTGTGAGGTAAGGGTCAGTATTTTAAAATTAGTGCTGTTTTAAGCTTAAGGAGGAGTACTTAAATGCATTGCTCATATTTTTCTCACCCAAAATAGTGTGTTCACTAGACAGGGAGTTGACAAAAATAGATGTAAAAAAATGTATAGATTTCAAATTGACATGGGCTTTCATATATCTATACACTCTGAAGCCTTTAAACAGCCATGTCTCAGGATTTTTAAAGGAACACTCCAAGCACCGTAAACACTACAGCACTCTGTCCAAGTTATGGTTATGGTTCTAGGAGTGCCCTAGCTACTACCCATTGTAAGTACTCAAACCATTTTACACTAGATTGTCTTCTTTACTTGGGTCTGCCAGTTACTGCTCCCCGCATCCACTACCTCAGCCAGAATTTCTCAGATTGAGCCAAGTAATGCAGTGGGCGATAGCTTTCCAGAGTCACCTTAACTCTAACAAAAGCTCCTAAGTAGAAGCATCCAGCTTTCTAGCTGGGGTGGTGGAGGCAGGGAGTAGCATTCAAACCGTTCTAACTTGACTTCTTACAATGAGGAGTCTCCAGGGAACTCCTGGGCACTATAACCTAACCTTTACCAAGCCTTGCCAGTAATAGTACACATCTTCTGCTAGGAAATTGCTAGATGGAGAAGATTATTAGCCCAAGTGAGCCAATACAGTTGGCATAGATGGAAGTAATATTATCCAGACCAGCAGTTCTCACAACACTGCGTTCTCTGTACAGTGTTATGTAATTACACTGTAGCATTTATTCACTGCCCTTAGAATTGCATATTATATTCCATCATAGTCAATTGATGGAATATTTTCTGGTTTTGCAACTGTAGCCTAATATTTGTACTTTCCTTGTTCAACGACTAAACTAAACCTCTTTGCATCATTATGTGGGGTGCCAAACTGTGTTGTTGGTTTTTTGTTTGTTTTATACAAGCAGTTTATTGCTGTGTTTTTTTATATTTATTTTGTATGGTTACATATAAATATATACATTAGACTTGTGACCAAATAAATCACATAGAAGTTGGCTCCCTGAACAGTAAATTGGAAGCTGAATAGGAAAATTTAGGCCAAAAACAGAAAAGTTGGAAACTAAGCTGAATTTTTCTTCGTAGCAATTTCAGCCTACATTTTTAAACTAATTTTCCCCACCCTGGTAATTGATCCTTCTCCGCCATCTTTTTTAGTTTAGTATACAGCAGGGCTGCCGAAAACAAAAAAGGTAGATCTCCAGCTGTTTTAAAACTACAACTTCCATGATGCTGTCATTTTAAAAAGGTATGCAAAGCATCAAGGGAGGATCTACCTTTTGTGCAGCCCTGATAAACAGGGTTAAAAGGTTCTCCTTTAGCAAGGACATATGCAGATTTTGTTTCATTTAGAGAACCGATATATGCAGACCATAAGCTGAAGTGTTAGACTACATTAAGTAACTCATTTCAAAACAAAGTGTTGTAGAATAAAATACAGCAAATGTATGCCATCAATTTCTGATATTTACACTCCCTACCATCAGCTCCCAGAAATTTGCATTGAGAACAAATGACAATTATATCGGTTCGATTAGCTTAGCTAGGATAGCCAAGGGAAGACCACACATTTTATCATTGGGTGGATGCAAGTGAATTTAAAAGGGACTTTGTGACTAATCTCACTGTACTGGTTATACTATTTGGAGAGCCCTGGCACTGCCTCTCCATTCAGTGTTAAACTGTTTTATTAATGTTTTAATGCTAGGCAAGAGTTCTTGTTGAGCTGCTTGGGATAACGAATATTAGCTTGAGCAGCGGTGATTGCTTTCAGACAATCATAGCTGCCCATTGGTGCTTAGGCTAATGCTTCCTCATCGGTCCATGCAGCACAGAAGGGATGGCTTGCAAAGGACTCTTGTTTAGTATTAGAACAAATAAAAAAAAATAAAAACTGTTTAACACTGAAAGGAAGGACAGTATCAGAGGACTCCAGTCATTCTTGCTACTCTAATAAAATGAATAAGTTATAGTGCCTTGGTCCCTTTAAGGTTTGGCCCAAAACAGCTTTCTTTAACCCCGCCTTCATCCATATGGGTTGGACTGCAATTCTGAGAAATGTAATGTTACAGCTGGAAGACTGTGATAGAATAGCCTTGATCTAGATCCTCAGATGTAAACAATATAATTTAGATGCATTGTTCAACTATCTTTAAATGAAGGGGTTTCATTAGCCAGACAAACTACAAAAAGAAAATGTCTTGATAACATTTAAACTGAACAATGCACAGTCATAACAAGCATCCTTGAAAGTTATGTGATTTCTTTGACCAACTTAAAAGAACACACATTTGTATTTCTGATGCTACAGTGCAGGAGCGTCCAAAAGGTAGATCCCCAGAGGTTTTAAAACTACTTCTCCCATGATGCTTTGTCATGCTAAAGGCATGCAAAGCATCATGGGAGTTGTAGTTTTACAACATCTGGGGACCTACCTTCTGGACACTCATGCTATAGTGTCCTGTTAGCAGTTTGGTTCTCTCCCACGGTCCAGAGAGAAAAAATATAATTAAAAAAACTCTCTCTCTCTCATATATAGAGAGATATTTATTTTATTTTTTTTAAACTTACATTTTCACGCTCGCAGCGTCAGTCTCCACGCTGCCGTCCCACCTCAATGGCTGAGCTCATTAAGACTTCTATTTGCAGGCAGCCCAATGCTTTTCCAATCAATGCTTGCACCAATTAGATTGTCGGAGACCATCTGATAGACTAGTTTCACAGGCCTGTTTTTTGAAGGTCGAGGTCAGAGTGACAGGCACTAGAGGTATTTTAAACCATGCAATGTAAACACTGCAATCTACATTGCAGGGTTAAACAGACAGGGGCATGGCTCCCAGGCCACTTCACTGAGATTAAGTGGCTTGGATGCTTATAGGGTCCCTTTAAATTGAATTTATATTTACTGGATTTTCAGGTAGGACTTCTAATAGTCATCCAAAAACAAATAAAAGGGTGAATTTGATACTTTGATTAAATATTATATATATATATATCGTTTTATAAAATAAAAAAAAATAAAAAATTGCTTCAAGACATATTACAAAACACTGGAGGGAAGTTCTTGGTGCATCATGCTACGAGTGGAAACAAAAAAATTAAAAAGGTGCCAAGCGAAAATTCTGAGCAGACACAAAGAGTGGGAACTTAAAAATCCACTTGAAGCTACAGAGCTATTTAGCCAGTCTTACCTCCTGTAGACCTAGTTTTGTCCTAGTACCAGTGGACACTGGAACCGAGTGGGGCTATGATCAAGCTATTTAGTGCCTACCTACCTGATCCAATCCGACAATGTATATCAGCTGCTGAGTGGTAAGGCCTGGACAGCTGGTCTGGTGGGAGAAGCAGCCGATTTCCTGCATGGTGTGAGCAATGTTCTTGGGTGGACGCAGGTTTTCCCGGTGTTCCCCTACCCTGAATAGGCCGTATAGCCAGCCAGCATAGGCCGCCCAAGATGGCGGTTACCAGACACACAGTCAGAAAAGAAAGGCAGAGCTCAGAAGACACTTGCAGACAGCCTGGGGACAGCAAGCTGAAACATCCATCCTTCCTGCATGCTCACCAGTTGTAAGACTAGATTAGCAAGTGGATGCAGTGAGTGATACTACAGGGACTAACCTGGGCCTGTTAAGTAGTCCGATCCTGCGAACTCAGAAGTGGAACCTGAGTCAGCCCTGGGTCTATGATGATGGTCATTGATTCCATGTTACCTATATTGGCACATTGGTGCTCCCGACCGGGTGTGGGTTGAAGTGGGCTCTACTACTGTAGTTTGCATCTGGGTGCTCAGAAGTGTTTATTAGTTGTTCTTTTACATTTCTGTGACATATTCGCTTCTCTTTATCTCAACATTTAAAAAATACTTTTAAAAAAGTGTCTCACCCCATATTGCTAAAATTATGGTTAATTCTTCTTCTTTTTGGTTGACAGTATACACAAAAAAAAAAAAAAACACTCCAGTCCGCCCGCCAGAAGCTGATGGACGAAAACATGCACAATTATTTAAATGCAACACAATATCAGGGGGCAAAATTTAAGTTGCCAATTTTACATTTTGCTCGGTAAAATGCATAATGGACCACTACAGCCAATCCACTTTTACTGTATTGTAACACAGTTGGAAGAGGTTTACATGCTTATCCAATCTGGTATTGTAGAGAACCAGTAGAGGAATACATAATTTTAATTCCAAAAACACATTGTAATACAATATAAAAAAATACCATTTATAAATTATACGAAAACTGTCATACAAGTCATCAGGTGACTGCATTAAGAACGTTTTGTTACAACTCAAAGTAAGCCTAGTAAGAACACACAAGTTGTTGGGTTTTTTTGTAACTTGATAAAGGAAACTGAAAATTGTTAGCCATTGGGAACTGTACATTTTATACCAATAATAGCCAACTTATAAAATAGACAGGCACTAGGAAATTAAAAACCATCACTTTCCTGGAAATTGATCATTGAATAAAACTTGGAAAATCACCTATAAACTTGTGTTCACCTTTTTCAAGTCATGCTGCCTAAAGTTAACATTATATTCAACATTTAGCAAATGACCTCACAAACCAGCTCATCCCAGGCACAGCCATAGCACACGTCAACTCTAGGTGACGCCATGTGCGTCCAGTGCTATTAAGCAGCTTGATTGAATAAAAATCGTTAGTCTTGACAAGTCCCCTTGAAAAAGATTGGGCTGCAGTAAAGAGACTGTCCCCATATTGAAGGCACTAAAGGTATATATTATGGCTCCTTTAAATATATGGGATAATAAACTTTAACTGCTTGGAAGCAAAGGTTTCCACCTCACTGTGAAATTATCCTGCCAATTCTCAACAATTTAAAGGTTTATTGAATAAATCCGTTAACATGATACTCTTCTGAAGAATGTTTTTTAGAATGATCCAGAAAGATTCACCATTTTGTCTAAACTACACATTGAACGGATCCTATGAAATCACTAAAATGTACAGAGTTAAATAATGCAATCCTCACCATCTCTGGAAACGTTTACCTCCGTCAAGTGTGAAGAAAAAAAAAAAAAAAAACTCAAATACATTTACTTACAAAATATAGTCCCTTTAAAAGAACATAATTGTTTTGCACAACACAGCACTTAAAACAGCTGATTTATAGGAATATATTTTTCACATGGAAAACAAAATTGAGCGGATACAGAGATCTAGAAGAAATGTGTGTATACAAGCACCATATCCTACACTGTATACATTACGATTCTAAAAAAGTGCAAAGTTACAGCACAGGTCAGGGATAACCAATAAATTGCCTTCCAGCTATTAGTGAACTATAACACCCATTGAGCCTTGCCAGTCACAGCTGTCCAGCAAAAGGTTATGGGCACTGCGGTTCACTATCGGATGACATGGCCGACACCGGTTTTACCATAGGGATTTCGCTAGCGAAAATACATGGTTACTTTATCATTTAAAATTCCATATGTCTCTCTTGATTAACTCCCCTCATTAACTTACTTTTTATATGACCCATTACATTGGCATTGTGCATCATCTCAATACACAAACAGTAAAGTGTGCACAGTGCTATATATAGGAGATTTATACCCCACAACGTAAACAATATGTAGATACTCTCCTCTATGTCTAATTAGGATGCAGCATGATGAGATCTTTCAAGGGAAAAACAAAAAAGAAACAGAACTCTCATAGCGTAGTTCAGGGGATGCCAAAAGGTAGATCCACAGAGGTTTTAAAAACTACAGTTTCCATGATGCTTTGTCGTTCTTAAGGTATGCAAAGCATCATGGGAGTTGTACAACATCTGGGGATCTACATTTTGGGCACCGTTGGTGTAGTGTATAAAAGCAAGTTACTTAGCAGTAATTAGATTTACCATCGCGGCTCAGTGCCTGCCATAACTGGCGTTAAAAACACTACAGGAGGTCTTTTGATATCATCCTGCTGTATACAAATTAGGCAAAAAGGAGAATATCTACATTTAGCTAACACGAAGGTGTAGAATTCACCTTTATAATGGAACGTTGCACACTTTTCGGTTTGGGGTTTTTTTTTTGTGAGAATTAAGTATAGTGCTGCATGTGCACTTTACACTTTTATTGGTTTATATTGTGCATTATCTACCTGAATTAGCCCAGTGTTCTACATATAACAATTAATCCAGTCCATTCACATTTTAGGTGCATCCTTAGAGAAAAGATTCTCTAATGCCCCTCAATTTTAGATTAAAAGTCCCTGCAAGCTGAAAACAATGCAGTTAAAATTCATTGATAAGTTCTTGCTTTGCCAGCAGAGGAATTAAATTAGTTATTATATTTTAAAACAGTTTCTGGTTGAAACAGTTATTTAAAATATTTAAAGAAAGAAAAAAAAAAAAAGGCTGATGTGAAAAGGCTTACATTCTTCATATCAAGTCCAGTGGTAGGCAACAAATCACATCAAACTGTGCAAAAATGAAATGAAAAAAAAAAAAAAAAAGGCCCAATTGTTAATGGTCATCCACTTATTACTGCCAAATATATTCCGCTTTTGTGAGTGCCACAGGGCCAAAAATAAATCAGCCTAATCAGAAAAAAAATGCTCTTGGCTGATAAGACAAGAAACAAAAAAAACAAAAGGATGAAATTCTTTTGCTCCAAATTAAAAAAAAGAATTAGTTTCCACATTTAGACCGAATATTTTTGTTTTGAGTTTGTCTGGTTTTATATGAGAAATCAAATATGTTCAAAAGACCGATTTTCTGCGGGAACATCCCCATTCAGCTCTCGTACAGTTTCTATTCCCAGGTACGACAAGAGAATCTCACTCCGCCTTTGTGAAAGATGGAGAATATCTTCTGCCAGGGACTGGACTGTAGTATACCTCATTTTATCCAAATCAAACATATCCTTCAAATACTGTACAATCTGGTGCTGTAAAAAAAAAATAAAAAAAAAAAATGTAATATATCAATAAAGCAAAGTGGTTTTCTGGGGAAAGTCGAAACAGGTTGAACAGTTTTTTGATCTACACGTTCTTAAGTTACACGAATATAGACGGGTAAATGTAGTGACTCAAGGTATTTGAAGGTTATACAGTGTTTAAGTAACTCATTTAAAGGAGGACCTGCCTTTACCCTTTAAATCTCTTACTATCTCTGAGTAGGAGGTGAATTACTTTGGACCACTCTTGATCTATTAGAACGACAGAGGTGATATAAGGGGCAGTAAGGCGGATTTGGCTATTTTATAGTTTAGTCGTTCACGAGGTACTGCAGGATTTTTAGGGGTCATCATCAGCTAATGCATCTCGGTCCCAGAACGGAGAGACCTCTTACACTATTAGCAACTCAGAAAACAAGCTAATTTTTTCATACAAAAAAAAGTTACGTTTACTGAACTGCACTTCTTCCAGTACTTTGACAAACTGTTAGTTACCCAAGTGGCTTTTGTTTTATCATCATCACTTAGGTAGCAATTTTCTAGTTTGAAAAATACTCATCCCACCTGTTGCAATAAATTGTATCCAATATATCCTGACTTGGTTTATTTCTTTATAACAGAAGTCACAACATATTTTATTTTGTAAAATGAAAACCAATATTCCCAAAAGCAGTCCCTTTTTTCCTTTCTTAACCAAATTATTAAAAAACATAATTATGAATATATGTATTTTTACTTTTTTTTCCCCCGCATTTAAGCTGCACCTAATCCAACTAAAGGAAAGTTGATAATCAGTCTACTTCCGCTTGCACAAACCATGCACAAGAACCTGACTCAGAAATGCATGTGGCTGTTATGGATTGGGATTTAAAATCATATGAAGTAGGTCAGTGATGGCTCGTCTTTAGCACTGATTGAGGAATCCCTCATCCCTGAATTTTTGAAAATTAAATCCAAATAAAAAAAAACAAGGGCACAAATAGCCAAGTTCATATTAAATTGTTAAACTTCAGTCTTTAGTAAATAGCCCTACAAGATTCCATCAAAGGAAGCCTAGTGCACCAGTCGCATTGCCAAAGGGGGTAGCCATACTAGCAGTCTGTAATTTATTTATACAGTTTGATACTATAAACTTTGCCGATTGATGCACAATGTCAGTTATTCTGCTGACTGGAGAAATTGGTTAGAATTTTACCAACTTTACTGCCATGCATACAAGATAAAAAGTAATCGAAGCGATACGGCTAAAAGCAAGTTTTAGACAGATCTGTCAAATGCAATACCTTAAAGAAATTACAATTTTCTGTCAAATGCTCCTTGGGCCCCAAAAATCCAAATGCCAGGACGGGACTAACGTGCTCCGATACGGAGTAAAAATGTGAAATGAATCCATCAGGAACCTGTAATTAAAAGGTTACATATTTTTATTTTGTAGGAAAAGAAAAAATAAGTAGGTGCATGATTATATGAATGATAAGGATTTTAATAATAATAATACATGCTGTTGTACATCTAAGAGTACTTTCCAAACTTTAGCACTCTAGGATACTAACTGTAACGGGACTGCAATATTAAGTCCCCAGATCTCCGCTTCTATAGAAAGTAATATCCCAAATCCCCCAGTAACCAGACGAAACACCGTTCAGGGAGTCAACTGAACTTTATTCACGGCTCCAGGAATTAACTGCCAACTGTCAACTTTTTAAAAATGTTCTGCAATGCATTACACACACATACCCTTGGTTCTTAAAGTGGTACATGCATATTGAACCGAACGGATACAAGCATTTAAACAGCAGGGAGAAGGTTTAACTCAGGGCCCACAGGCAAATACATGAAAAATCCTTCACAATGGCCCCCCTTTTTCTCCCTGCTCCGGCAACTCGGTTGGACCTTTCCTGGTCCAATAGGGTTGACGGGACTTTCCAAAGTTTTTAATCTGAGGCCAAGTCCGTTTGGCGCGACAGTCCATCAGCATTCTCGTTTTGCTTGCCTGGGCGATAATGAATAGTAAAGTCATAGGGCTGTAACGCCAGGCTCCAGCGCAGCAAACGGGCGTTATCCCCTGAGACCCGGTTGAGCCAAACTAGGGGATTGTGATCCGTAATGAGGGTGAAGGCCCGGCCATAGAGATAGGGTGTGAGCTTTTTGAGTGCCCATACCAAGGCCAAACACTCCTTCTCAATGGTGGCATAACTGACCTCCCTTGGCAACAACTTCCGACTCAGGTATGCCACCGGGTGCTCTCCCCCATCCTCTCCGATCTGGCTTAGTACTGCCCCCAGTCCAAACATTGAAGCGTCTGTGTGGACAATAAACCTTTTGTTAGGATCTGGGGTAACCAACAGTGGAGCATTAACGAGAGCATTCTTTAGTGCTTGGAAAGCCACCTCGCATTCCGGGGACCACAGGACTTGTCGGGGTAACTTCTTTTTGGTCAGGTCGGTCAGGGGTTTGGCTAGGGCGCTATAGTCGGGTACAAAGCGTCTGTAATAGCCGGCTGTGCCCAAGAAAGCCATGACTTGTGTCTTGGTTTGGGGAGTGGGCCAATTGGCAACGGCCTCGATCTTAGCCGGCTCCGGCCGTTGCTTACCACATCCTACTCGGTGTCCCAAATATTGTACCTCCGCCATACCCAAATGACATTTGTCTGGTTTCAGGGTCAGCCCGGCCCCCTTTATCCTATCTAATACTACCCCTACGTGTTCTAGGTGCGCTTCCCAGGTATCGCTATAGATGGCGATGTCATCCAGGTAGGCGCATGCGTAGTCCTGGAGACCTCCCAGTAATTGGTCCACCATCCGTTGGAAGGTGGCCGGGGCGTTCTTCATCCCGAATGGCATAACCCGGAATTGGTATAGGCCGAACGGGGTGATGAAGGCAGACTTGGGTATGGCATCTTCTGCTAGGGGAATCTGCCAATATCCCTTACATAGGTCAATTGTGGTCAGATACTTCCCTGCAGAGATACGGTCAAGCAGTTCGTCCGTGGCATTGGATAGGCGTCAGAAACTGTTTTGTCGTTGAGTCGCCGGTAATCCACACAGAAGCGGGTTGTCCCGTCCTTCTTTGGTACTAGGACTACCGGCGAGGCCCAAGGACTTTCTGAGTGTTCTATTACCCCTAGCCGAAGCATCTCATCGATTTCCTTCCGCATCCCTTCTCGGACTGCTTCCGGAATACGGTAAGGGAGCTGCCTCAGGGGTGCTTGCCCTGGAGTTTCCACCTTGTGGACGGCTAGGAGTGTGTACCCAGGCTCCTGAGAGAATGTGGCCTGTTTGGTTTCTAGCAAGCGGACAGCTTGAGCCCTCTCTTGTGGTCCCAGTTGTTCGCCTAGCTGGACTTTCTCTATCTGGGTCCTCCCTTCGTTGCTGCCCAATAGGTCGGGAAGAGGTAGTGTCTCTGTGTCTTCCCCTGCTGGTGCACAGATAGCGGTCACTTCCTCTGCCCGTTCCTGATAGGCCTTAAGCATGTTGATGTGAAAGGTTCGCTTCACATCCTCATCCTCGCAGCTAGCTATGGTGTAGGTGGTGTCGCATATCTGCCCTATAACTTTGTAGGGGCCCTGCCAGGCGGCCTGGAGCTTGTCTGTTCGGACCGGTCTTAGCACCATGACTTTTTGGCCGATCTGAAAGCTCCGGTGCCTAGCCCGTCGGTCATACCATACCCTCTGACGCTGCTGGGCCGCCTGGAGGTTTCCCTGCACCGCCTGGGCTAGTTCCTCCATGCGGTCCCGCAGTTCCAGCACATAAGGTACAACCGGGGTCCCCTCAATCTCCGTCTGCCCCTCCCAGTGGTCCTTGATAAGATCTAAAGGCCCCCTCACCCGCCTCCCATATAGGAGTTCGAAGGGTGAGAATCCGGTTGATTCCTGCGGCACCTCTCGGTAGGCAAAGAGAAGGTGTGGCAGGAACCGCTCCCAATCCTTGTACGCCCCCGTGAACGACTTCAACATTTGCTTTAGCGTCCCGTTGAAGCGTTCACACAGGCCATTAGTCTGGGGGTGGTATGGGGAACTAGTCAGGGATTTAACTCCACAGACTTTCCATATCTGCTGGGTTACCTCGGCCGTGAACTGTGTACCTTGGTCGGACAGTACCTCCTTGGGAAAGCCCACTCGGGAGAATATCCGGACTAGTGCATCTGCCACCGTCTCAGCCTGTATGTTAGAAAGGGCCACCGCTTCAGGGTAACGGGTGGCGTAATCTACCACTGTGAGGATATAACGTTTGCCGGAGCGGCTAGGTTGGGCCAAGGGTCCTATGATGTCCACGGCTACCCTCGTGAACGGTTCTTCAATTATGGGCATGGAGACCAGTTTAGCCTTTGGGTGGTCTCCCTTCTTACCTATGCGTTGACATATCTCGCACGTCTGGCAATACGCCCGGACGTCATCGGATACCCCAGGCCAGAAAAAGTTCTGGGTTACCCGATATCCCGTCCTGCGTATTCCCAAGTGTCCTGCCAGAGGAACGTCGTGCCCAATTCTCAATAACTCCCGCCGGTATTTCCGTGGAACTACCAGCTGGCGTTTTTGCCTAGGCCCAGGTGCGTTAACCCGTGTCTCGGTGAGCCTGTACAAGCGGCCTTTTTCCCAGATAAACTGTTCCTTCTCTAACCCCCCCGTTCCTCGCCTGGCCTTCTCTCGATACTTTCTGAGGGAAGGGTCTCCGGTCACCTCCCGCCCAAAGTCTTCTGGGGTGTCCCAGGGAAGGGGTTCTATAGTCAGGGGTAGGTCGGGTTGGCTTACCTGGGTCTCAGTAGGAAGCGGATGGCTCTCGGCAGCGCGACCTTGTGCTCTGGTGGTTACTGCGTGGGCCTCCTGAGCGGTGGTTGAGGCGAACGCCGAAGTCAGGGGCCCAATGTCATTGCCCAACACGACTTCAGAGGGTAAGTCTTTCATTACGCCCACTTGAACATTGCCAGCTCCCGCACCCCAGTCCAGGTGTACTTGAGCGGTAGGAATGCGATACACTGCCCCCCCTGCCACTCTCACAGCAATTGATTTCCCCGGCTTCTCCGATGCGTTAATGAGATGTCGTTGTACTAGCGTGATGGTTGCACCACTGTCTCTTAATCCCCGTGCTGTCTTGCCATTAACCATGACCAGTTGGCAATGGTGTTTCCGATTGTCTGTGACGGTGGATTGCACCATGAGGGCTTCGTAAAGGGTGCCCAATGGTTCTTCCTGACCCAGCTCCTTGGGATCCCAAGTCGAATCTACACAATGGGCTGCTGCTGGTGGTTGCTGGTACCCAGGTCGAGACCAAATTTGACCTGGTGTGGTTGTTCATGGGGCAATTCTGTCGGATGTGACCCAGCTGTCGGCACCGGAAGCAACGTAGCTCGCTGACATCCTGTCGTGGGTAGCGAGAGTTAGAAGTCACCGGTCGGTTAGGGGGTTGGTATCGGGCTGCTGGTGGGTGTGATGGCACTGAAGGTTTTGGAGGTTGTACCCGTGGTGCAACTTGGTTAATTTTGCGAGTATCCGCATACTCATCCGCCAACTTGGCGGCCTCTAGTAGAGACAGGGGCCTGCGGTCTCTCACCCAGTCTTTGACATCTGCCTGGATATGGTTGTAAAACTGTTCCAGGAGTATCAGTTGCAAAATCTCCTCCGCGGTGGCGGCCTGGCTACTGTTAACCCAGTTCGAGGCCGACAGGGATAACTGGCATGCCCATTCCACGTAGGAATCTTTAGCGGTTTTGCGTGAGTCCCTGAACTTCTGTCGGTAGGACTCTGGGGTTACTGCATAACGGGCCAGGAGTGCTTCTTTAACCCTGGCGTAGCTGTGGATCTCCTGTTCTGGTACAGCCCGGAAAGCATCAGAGGCTTTGCCTGACAGCTTTCCTGACAATATTGAAACCCATTCTTCCTTAGCTATCCGGTGCAGGTTACATTGCCGCTCAAAATCTGCTAAATAGTTATCAATCTCACAGTCTTTTTCGTCAAAAGCTTTAAAAGCGCTGAACGGAATTTTCTTTGTATCCGCTGTGTTGTACTCACTGTTTGGGAAGTGTGCTGCTGCCTGCTGGACCGCTGCCAGTTTTAATTGTAGCTCTGCGTCTCTTTTTTGTTTAGCCTCCTCCGCTAAAAGGCTCATTACTTTCAGAATAATGTCAGCCGTTGGGTTTGGACCGAACCATGCTAGCTTCTCCCTCATTTCTTTGTTGGCTGGTGATTCCTCCTCCTGAATCACTGGTGTCTCCATCTCTTGTACAGCTGGCATTGCTGCAACCAAGTTCTCTCGGTCTAGCTCCATTAACTCTGCTATAATGACCTGCTTGGTTTTGTTGCTAGCAATCCTTCCACGAGCTTCCAGTAGCTCTTTCAGTGTATTTCTTTTAAGCAGGGTGTACCAGCCTTCCATTCACTGTTCCCAGTGTCTGCTTGGAATCCTGGTGTAACGGAAGTAGAAGGGAAAATCCCGCCGCTGCCAACCAGTTGTAACGGGACTGCAATATTAAGTCCCCAGATCTCCGCTGGTATAGAAAGTAATATCCCAAATCCCCCAGTAACCAGATGAAACACCGTTCAGGGAGTCAACTGAACTTTATTCTCGGCTCCAGGAATTAACTGCCAACTGTCAACTTTTTAAAAATGTTCTGCAATGCATTACACACACATACCCTTGGTTCTTAAAGTGGTACATGCATATTGAACCGAACGGATACAAGCATTTAAACAGCAGGGAGAAGGTTTAACTCAAGGCCCACAGGCAAATACATGAAAAATCCTTCACACTAACCATCCCTCTCTACTATCCTAGAGTAATTCCATTTTACTCTCTCCACCCTACATCTCTATCTATGCTTGTAATTAGAGATATCCTTATTTCCTTGTCTGCTATATGCCCATTGTAGCGGAGATACAATATTACCCAGGTTATCTCCGCTTATAATCCAAGTGAGACTCAGGAACAAGTAAATAATAAATCCAAAGGCAGGGTTTCCAGCAGGTAGAATACAGCAATATCCCAACAGCAATCCCAATAACTGGACGACACACAGTTTCAGGAGCATAACTGACAAGCCTTTAATCGCAGTCTCCTTATAAAGCATGCTCCCATGCAAGGGAGGAACTTACAGTAATTATTACAGTAGCCAATCCTGTCCTGGTAACCTCCCACACATCCCCTCCCCTCAGCTAGCATCATAATCCCCTTAGCCAGCACACCAATTCCCCCAATTTCTGGATGTACCCCTAAACGTAGGGGTACCCCTTTAAATCATACATCCCCGGGTAGCCCTGATCTGGGTGAACAACATATCCAAAAATCACCCAGATCGGACCAGGGGTTCGGGAAAAGTATGGAGGGAATAAAATGACCGACCGCACGAACAGAGATAGCCGAATTCGGTTCCATGTGAATGGGCCTTGCGGTCGGTCCTGGCATAAGGGAATAAAATACACGAAAGCCTCTAGCTATAGAGGCTAGGGAGGGTTCGCCTGAATCCCCTCGTTCGGTATTCTCTATTTACCGAACGAGGGGCCGTTCGGTAGTTTGGAACCGAACGGACCAGGGCTGTGGAGGTCTCAGCGGTGTTCGCCTACTCGAGTGTCCGATTTTAGTTCCAGGCACTCGACGGCAAAACACCGCTGTTCGGGAGTTTTAAAATGGCCGCCGCCACGTGTTCGTTTGTCGAATGGCGGCCACCCCCGAGAACAAAGGACGGCTACTTACTGTTCAATTACCCGTTCGCAACAATGTTGCAACGGGTAATTGAGGACACACTTCACACAGGGAGGTCTGGTTGTTCGGTAGTTTCATTCGAATTAACTAAGGGAATTAAACTACCGAACAATCAGAGGAATACAAGTCTTTTTAAATGCACAGAAATTACAGCAGATACACGTATGCAGCTTTATACAGTATTTCTTGTAGGGTCGCCTGGTGCCATCTGCTACACCCATATTATGTAAATAATACCTTCAGCCCATTGCTGGAACAAGGGGCAGCAAGTAAGAATTCAAATACAGCTCCCGAAGTATAGAAATATATCATTTATCTCAATTATATGATTTTATAGTGGTAGGTTTAGATGAACGTAAAATGACAGGTTTCCTTTTGTAGTTACGGTTTATTTATACATATGAACGGTTGAACTTCGTGAAACCAACGCTCAAAACCAAAAGTGTGTTCTCATCATATCGTTTTGTTACAGATTTAGTTGCCAATTACATACCATTAGAAGCCTTCTTTTTGCTTTAAGGACAGACCAACAGGCAGTTGCTAATGCCTAAGAGAGACAGAAAATATTATAAACAGATGGCCAAAGCCCAGGCATTAACATGATATAGAAGCACATACAATGAAAGAAAATAAAGAACTAAACTCTGAATTATTTCTCTAGTGCCATACCTAAAAATGTTTACCAAATTGTGGATAAATACAAGTGTGTAAACAAATAAATGTGCAACTTGATTGGTGCTAAAAGGGAAATAAAATTAAATAAAAAAAATAAATATATTATATATACACACACACACACACACACACACAAATACAGTGGGGCCTCGGTTTACAAACGCCTCGGTTAACATAATTTTCGGTTTACAAATGAAAATTCATTGAAAATAATGTATCGGTTTACAAATTTGTTTCGCAATACAAAGCAAGTTTCCCCAGGATGCATTGCACCTGGGAGGTTTATAGCACCGCCCCCTGCATGCTGGAGCCTGTGGGTAGCACGTGGCGTCGAGTGTGGAGGTGTTGGAGCGGCTTTTACATTGAGTTTTGGAGCCATTCTGGGAATTGTTTGCAGTTGTTTTGGGACTTTTTGGTGCATTTCTCAAGCTGTGGAAAGGTAGGGGTGCTGAACTTCGTCGTTTGCATGCCTTTTACTGTGTGTTCTGCATTGTGGGTTGGTTTCCATGCCAGGTCATTTTGACTTTTTTTCTGACCTACAGAACGGATTAATTGGTTTTCAGTGCATTCCTATGGTTTCCGTTTACAAATTTTTCGCAATAAGAAACGTCCCAGAGAATGCATTACATTTGTAAACCGTGGTCCCACTGTATTCACACTTTATTTTGTTAACTAAATCATGACACAATGTGAGAGGTCACCTGGTGGTGTTCATTGGAGGTTGTATTTACCCAATTTTAAGACCTGCTAAGGAACAGATGACTGTTCTTATAGCCCGATATGTAAAACCATAGGATTTCACCATACATTCACCTTATAGTTACACAAAGTGTGCTGTCCACTTATTGCATTATATAAATATATATTTTTATTAAATAAAACAAAACCTTGCACTCCTACTCACATTGTAAATGACCCGGTGCTCGATTGCACTGATAAATAAAAGCCAAAAATAACCAGCACTCCCAGGATTTGTTGAAAGAAAACTTTATTTTACTCCAAACATCAACGTTTCAGTTCCGCTTGGGAACTTTCATCAGGACAGCAAGCAACCTTGCAAGCAAATAATAGCATCCCCTTAAATTATACCATTAAGAAAAGAGAAAGAAAAAACAAAACATCACACAAAGTAGTGGCTCTAAGCCATTGAAACGTGTGTGTGTGTGTGTCTGTGTGTGTGTCTGTGTGTGTGTGTGTGTGTCTGTGTGTGTGTGTGTGAGAGAGCGAGACACTCAATATTTAAAAAAAAATTAAAGTAGTAATTAACTCACAGTCTCCTTAAAACTGTCAGAAAGCCATCGATTGCGCAGTACAGCAATAACTGAGGTTGGTGGGTTCTCAAGGTCTTCGAAGGCATCCATTAATATGAAATCTAGGGCTATGTCAAAGAAATTCATACACACGACCTGCACAGATTGTAAGACAAAATAAATGTTAAAAAAAAAAAAAAAAAATGATAAGTAATATTTAAAATGGTGACATGTTTCTTACCCCACGTCCTTCAAGTTCCTTCTGAGTGGTGGGCCAAGTTTCCTCTTTTAACGTATAGTGTAGCATCGCCTCATAGTTTTCATGGAATCTCTTGGGGTTCTAAAAATAAAACAAATTACAGATATCTGGGAGTGTTTGCAGGGGTCCGTAAAACTGGTCGAACGTTAATAATTTGTTTATAAACAAACTTCAATGAATGTTTTATGAATTAGATGCCATAAATGAAACCTATACCTTGTCAGCTTTGACCATGAGCCCAGTCACCATCTGCTTTCCGACTTCACCATAAAACAATTGATTCCCTTCATCTTCTAGTAGCAGCTAGAATAATAGAAAAAAATATATAAAGCTGTTAAAAGGAAAAGGACGCGAGATTTGTGAGCTGCTGTTTAAGTGGGTGTTAAAGGACTGCTCCATTACCTGAAATGCCTGTCGGACACAGTGGAGTTTGGCCAGGAAGTCTTGGTCATTGTAACACCCCAACAATTCTGTTCTAGAAATGAAAAAAAATTGGCATGTTAAAACTAAAAAAAAAAGACAGGTCTACTTTTATTGTGATTAAAGATGAGAAGAATATATGATGACATATATTACAAAACATAAGATTCGCAATAATAGGGGGATTCAACTCTAAAAATGCAAGTTGGCTCATGTGGCCTTTGAATTACGTAGTCCTCAAGTACCAATGACAGAAGTAGAACCTTAAGAATTTGCTACAATCCGCTCGACTGAATAGTCTTCTATATTTTATTCTCAGTGTCCCGGACCCTGTAAACTGCAATGACCAGTTGAAATCTGGATGAACATGTCAACTATTTGTTTGCAATTTTTGAATGTTTCACTCAGTTCTCATATTAAAAGAGCACTATAGGGTCAGGAACACAAACATGTATTCCTGACCCTATAGTGTTAAAACCACCATCTAGCCAACCTGGTCCCCTCATGCTTCCATAAATATAGTAAAATCTTATTTGAATTCAAGTCTGCAGCTGCATACTTTTTCTGTTTCCATTAGACCTGCCCACTGCCTGCTGACATCAGCAGAAGTGGTGGCCTGATCCAATCACAGTGCTTCCCCATAGAATTGGCTGAGGCTGACAAAGAGGCAGATCAGGGGCAGAGCCAGCACAATTCAAACACAGCCCTGGCCAATCAGCATCTCCTCATAGAGATAAATTGAATCAATGAATCTCTATGAGGAAAGTTCAGTGTCTGCATGCAGAGGGAGGAGACACTGAATGTTTGGATGCATTTTAGGCAGCCATGACCCAGGAAGGATCTCTAACAGCCACCTGAGGAGTGGCCAGTGAAGTTATCACTAGGCTGTAATGTAAACACTGCATTTTCTCTGAAAAGACCGTGTTTACAGCAAAAAGCCTGAAGTTAATGGTTCTACTCACCAGAACAAATCCAATAAACTGTAGTTGTTCTGGTGACTATAGTGTCCCTTTAAGAGCAAAATCCAAATGAAGACCAAAACTAATGGCTTAACAAACTTTTTTAATTCAATTAACGCTCAAGCACCCAGCAAGCAAATATTTGCCTCTTACAAGCTAACCCCCAAATGGGGGAGTTTGGCTAAAAACCAACTATTACCTTACTGTCCTGCATAATACGCTCCCCTTTTGGACCAACTTCATGGCTTCTTTATATGCTGCAGCAGGCTTGGATGGCATAACAGGTAGATCACCAAGTTGTAAATTGTCAAAGAGCTGGGAGAAAAACAAAATACATTTTATGAAAAAAAGAGTCACAGGACCAATTAAGAGTTTTGAAACAGAATCTCTACCATAAAGGCTAGAGATGCTAAAGCCTAGCTGAAACTAATGATGTGACCCAATTAACAGTGAGCAGGTCAGCAAAGTCTAAAAAAATCTAAAGGAAAATAGAAAGGAAAAGGGGAAAACAGCAAGTGGAGGAATAAACAATGCAGGTCTTTGAGTTATAAAGATGGATCACAAACAGATTATGGGGGGTTATTTGAAAACCGAATTTTAAAGGTTAGGCCAATGTAATTTTTTTTAGACATTCTCCCATTTAGTCTGTTTTTGCATCTAACTTTTTCAATTAATTTTGCCTTTCTCTGCAATTTTTTTTTTTTTTTTTTTTTTAAATGGTACTGGGTCATAAGTGCTTGCACAAAGTCAAAAGACTATGGCCAGCCGTAGTTAAAGAAAATCGTCAGATTACTCACTTCAGCCGCTGAGAAAAAGGAATCCTCAGAAGTTGTACTGTAATCATCGTCCATGCGTAGCGGTCTTCCTTCCAAAAGAGGGAACATCAAAGCTCCTTCTGAGTAGGAGAAAACATCAGCACAGACAAATATTTGTCAAAGCAAAGAATCCAGCCGAAAGACAGAAGAGCACAGACATATGGTAACATAAATCCTTAAATCTCAAATGGTCAGAAAGGGATCTGGAGGTCTGTCTTGGGGCAGGGCTATTCAGAACATTTTATTTGAGTTAATTACCTATTGATAACAAATTTTGCAGCTAACGAAGTCTTTTACGACAAGACAAAACTATTTTATTTACACAAACCAGTAAGTGTCTAAACACATACTACAGTTTAAAGGAGATAATGTTTTATAGAAGTTAGGTGGAAAGGCTAAAAGAAACAAAGCAAAAAAACAAAAAAACTGTGTAGACGTAATATAAATAAAAAATAAATAACATTTTTAAAAAGGGGTGGGTTGATAGTATGCCCCAAAAAAGCCCACTTCAGTGAATGAGCCTGACAAAGATTTAGTAAATGCTCAGTTTTAACTGAAAGGGTTACAGTTTAAATCATTTCTACCAATAAAAAAAAAAATACAAAAAATTTATAAATATTTATATATAAAAAAAATTTATTACTTTCCCTTTATTATCAAAAGGATTTTTTTTTTTAAAATAATAAAAAAAAATAAAAAAAAATATTCCCCAAAAATATATATATATATAAATATATATATATATATATTTTTTTTTTTTAAATGTTCACACGGTATTTACCCAAATCCATCAGCATGCTGCCCTCTTGGGGTGTGCTTGTCCCAAATTCTTCCTGCAGGTTGTAGGCTCGATGGAGAAGAGCTTCAATCTTCCCTGTTAACTCCTTGGTTTGGGTTTCCTGTGTCAGGCACAGGCAGTAGGACATGTAGATTTTCACATTTTTTACAGATATAAGGCTCAAATTCACCCCATTACTACCAGAAACACAATGCAGATTTACCCTATTACTAGTACAAATAAGACATTTAGTCCATAACTACCATGAACAGAAACAGATTTATCCAGTTTTGCGGTTTTTAAAACAAAAAAACAGTCCTGAAAAATATTACACATCTGTGCAGGACATGCACTGTAGTTGCTGCCATTATTCCTCTAGTGTGTCGTAGTTGCTGAGATAATATAGAAGTAGTTTGACACATCACTCTGGTCTAACTAAGAAGCTAGAAAATCAGCCTAGTGGGATAAGTCCTTTCAATCAGGAAGGGGTAGGAGCAGACAGGAGGGCAGTGGGGTACAGTTGTGTAACATTAAATGACTTGGTACAATGGCAGCGGCACAGCCAGAGCTGTAGACTGGTTAAGTAATTAAATGAATGAAAAGGCAATTAGATTTATCACTTAACACGTGATTTAATGAATATGGAGAAGTTCTAACTCAAAAAGAACATGGTGTGATTATTGTAATGGCATGATAAATATAAGATTTTTGGGATTTAAAAAAAAAAAAGTTACAGATGGTTTAAATTAAATGCTTTACAAGAAAGTAAAAAAATTAGAACGCATGAATGTTTATCAGCAAGTTGCAGTGTTTTGTTAGCCAAGACATGTTTGTGTGTCCTTGTACCCCTAGACTATAGAGAGCCACAATTAATTGCTCCCTCCTTGTCCTGAACAACCCACAGATGATGGCTGAACAACCCACTTAAACAGCACACTACCAACGACGTTTATGTAAATGCATGCGGTGTATCAGTGCACTGAAGTGTTGTAAAACAGTATGATTTGTTTACATTTTAATTCTGTTTTTTCATGTCTGCTAACTAATCAGCTGATTGGTGCCTCCTTGCTCCCTGCTAAAACCTAAAAGATTCCTTTTCTAGGATTGATTCTGAATGCTTTTATTGAAGGTCAAAACGTGGCTGGTTTTCAAAATATATTTCAGACATGTATAAGGATTGGACCCCTTTTCTTCAAAGAACCCTGGACGCATTTATTTTTGGACTACACTTCCCATAACCACCCAGGACTGGTGAAAAATGTATTGATACATTTGCTAAATAAATGTATTGGAAAAATCTATTTCCAGATTTTCCTGAAGCAAACCAGCAATGTAATCAGTTATGATTTTAACACTAGTTTTGAACTATTAAAAAAAGCTATTTAAATCGTTTAACTTTTTATTTAAATAAATAAATAAATTTTAAAAAAAAAATCACAAGAAATAACCAAATAGTATATGAAAATGTAAAAGCAAACAATGGGGTAAAAATTACTTTAAAAAATATAATAAATAAAAAGAAAATTGCATAGATAATACATTAAAATAATGATGGGAAAAATAAGTCTCCCGCTGGGCACAGTTTAGTGAACAAGCATTAAGCTGCAGGTAGACACTTGCACAACGTGCGTAAACCCATGTACCACATGCCGAGGAGTAGTTTCACTTAAAGGACCACTATAGTGCCAGGAAAACACACTCGTTTTCCTGGCACTATAGTGCCCTGAGAGTGCCCCCACCCTCAGGGTCCCCCTCCCGCCGGGCTGGATGGAGAGGAAAGGGTTAAATCTTACTTTTTCTCCAGCACCGGGCAGGGAGCTCTCCTCCTCCTTTCCTCCCTCTTCGGCTGAACGCGCATGTGCGGCAGGAGCTGCGCGCATTCAGCCAGTCCATTTACAATGCTTTCCTATGGACGCTGGCGTCTTCTCTCTGTGATTTTCACAGTGAGAAGCACGCAAGCGCCTCTAGCGGCTGTCAAGAGACAGCCGCTAGAGGCTGGATTAACCCTAACATAAACATAGCAGTTTCTCTGAAACTGCTATGTTCATAAAAAAAAAAAGGGTTAACCCGAGCTGGACCTGGCACCCAGACCACTTCATTAAGCTGAAGTGGTCTGGGTGCCTATAGTGGTCCTTTAAGATAAGTGGAACAGCTCAGTAAATGGACAACAGTCCTACTGCGCCTGCTATTAGTTTATCAAAAGTCTTGTTTATGAGCTGACAGAATGGTAGATGTGGGCATTGGCTTTATAGGAATATAGAGGTCATATTGACCTCCAATCAGATTTTTTACGTTAAAATATGATGGCTGGCTAGCAAGCACTGGCCATCTGCCACATTAACCCCCACGGTACTGAATTTTAGTTTAGCTATTTGACTGCTGGCTGCTAGAGCTGCCAGAGGTCAAATAATTATTTTACATTTTTTTATTTTATAAGGCAAAGCCCATATTTGAAGCATCCAGGCTTGGCTTTCAGCCATGCTTAGAGCCGGAATTCTATGAACAAAGTCCATATTTTGCCGTCTGAATGGCCACGTCCAACACTGGATGCTTTTCTTTTATCCGTCTGGTACGGGGTCATTCAGAATTTCGCAAGTATGATTAGAGAGTCACCACAAGCTAGCTGATTATTTGTGAACTACAGAAATCCTCGTGTTACTGGTCCCTGAAATGGGTGTTTGACAGAGCTAGACTTTCACACCTACCTCAGGCAAGTCCTCAGGCAGGGTCTCAATGATCTCGCTAATCTGAGCGGTCGGAGTACTTGAGCTGCACCTGTGTCCAATGTGCAGAGCTTGCTGCCACTTGTGCAAAGCTTCCTCGAAAAGCTCCATTCCTGGAAGTCCGGGAAAATAAAAAAACAATTTTTAAAAAAAGGGGAACATGAAAATATGTCTTGCATAAAATCACACCAAGCATGACCATCCATTATCATTACAGCTGCTGAACTACAAATCCCATGAAGCTCTGCCACATGGTCAATCCAATAGCCAAACACAATGGGAGTTGGGTTTAATAACAGCCTGAAAGCAAACAGCTGGTTAATATGTTACACCAAGCAGTAAGACTTCTATCCAGCACTGATCACTTTAAAACACACAGTTTATCACTTAGAATGTACTTTTTTTTTACATTTATAAAATAAGTGTGGATCCAGTTTATTTATTTATATACACACATATACATATACACACATATATACACATACACACTTGCATTTTCTCTTTAATGTAGAACATTGAAACAGTGATATACATTTCTCATGGTGCAACAGTAGCTAACAAAACAGTCTGTGAACCCTCTGGCTATCTGTATTGCATTGTTTATATGTTCTAAAAATGCATATTCTAAGTCCTACATGGTAATGTCAGGGCGCCCGTCTGTGAGCTGCAGCCTAACAGTATGTGGGTCATGACCTTGACAAGGATCCTAAATACATAAGTACATTTACCCAGTATAAATGACCTGTAGCAGACAGTAGTCAATGATTTACAGAAAAGCAATGAAGTCACAATCACTTACTAAATGTAATGTTCCAAAAAAGTGAACATTAGATTAATGCATTCAATAAAAATAAAAAATAAAAAAACAAAGGAATCTGTGATATATAGGTTTAATAAATATGCTTTAAGCAGTTATTAGGCTGTTGCTGACATTTTAACCCAAACTACTCCATCCAACAGGAAATGTGTGCATCTGCACCACGTAAAATAAAAGACAGGGTGCCCACAGGTAGGTCCAACACACGGATGAGACGGGGTGGAGAGGTTGATTTCAATTAATAGAAGAAATAAAAAATGGGTCCAGCTTTGTATATCACTGCTGGGTATGAGTGTTAGTATTTGAATAGTGAGCTGCACTGAGGTCATGGACAGTCCTGTCTAACTTGAAAAGAAGAGGGAGGCTTGCAAAGGCAACAGATAAGAGAATCGCAACTTTTGCAAACTGTTTTTAGATATACCCCCAATTAAAAAAAATATGCATGTTTGTTTTAATTTGGGGTATATCTACTAAACGGATTTTTATTTTTTAAGATAAAGAAATTACACACAATAAATGTACATATAGTTCACACATTGACTATTATCGAACAACATCTTAAGTCAATTAAATTGCCCTAAATCCTGAAAGTGCCTGCAAAAAAAATAAAAAAAATTGGTTTTCCCATCTTTATTATTACTACTACTTCTAGCTTGTTACCATGCTCCAAACTTTGTATCCGGTATTTCCACATATCTACCTTGCGTGATCTCCAATTTACTGCCCTTGTGCAAAAGAGTTCAATCTTACATTGCCAGATTTGTTCTGAGAACCCGTCCCAATTTGAGATATTAGAATATTTCCAGTTTCTGGCCATCATAAGCTTTGCAGCGGTCAGAATGTATGGCGCTTATTTGTGTAAAAAAATTTTATTATTTTTTTATATATAAAGACAATTTAATAGATAATGCAGCAACCTTATGTAGTGTAAAGACCCAATAAAAACACCTATTTCAATACATGTAAGGTTAACATGCACTATGCCTTTAAATACACTATAAACATTTAATATAGTGAGTAAAACCAATTTATAAATTGATTACAAAGTTAATATAATAGCAAAACAAATTTTTTTTATATATATATATATATATATATATATATATATATATATATATATATATATATATATATATATATATATATATATATATATATATATAAAAAATTCTATAGTTTAAATGACTGTGTATACATATAAATCCATTAAGTTGTTAAACTCTTATTTGCACATACAAGCAAGGATGAATAATGCATAATTAAATGGTGCATAATTTGATTAGTGATCACTCTAATAAATTAACTTATAGGCAAATGCTTAATGGAAGATCACAGTAGGTAATGCTTAAGGGATAAAGAGACAAGAGATCATCAACAACAAACATAGAAACATAGAATGTGATGGCAGATAAGAACCATTCGCCCCATCTAGTCTGCCCAATTTTCTAAATACTTTCATTAGTCCCTGGCCTTATCTTATAGCTAGGATAGCCTTATGCCTATCCCAAGCATCCTTAAACTCCTTCACTGTGTTAACCTCTACCACTTCAGCTGGAAGGCTATTCCATGCATCCACTACCCTCTCAGTAAAGTAATTTTTCCTGATATTATTTTTAAACCTTCGTCCCTCTAATTTAAGACTATGTCCTCTTGTTGTGGTAGTTTTACTTCTTTTAAAATATAGTCTCCTCCTTTACTGTGTTGATTCCCTTTATGTATTTAAAATGTTTATATCATATCCCCCCTGTCTCGTCTTTCTTCCAAGCTATACATGTTAAGATCCTTTAACCTTTCCTGGTAAGTTTTATCCCGCAATCCATGAACCAGTTTAGTAGCCCTTCTCTGAATTCTCTCTAAAATATCAATATCCTTCTGAAGATACGGTCTCCAGTACTGTGTACAATACTCCAACAGTGTAAAACGGTTTAAAAATAATAAAAGAAAGGGAGAGAGGGGGAGGGTGAGAAAGGATGGCATCCTAAAGGGACACTATAGTGTTAGTAATACAAACCTTTATTCCTAATACTACAGCTCCCTCTGCCTTCCCTCGCCCCAGCCAATAGAGGGTTAAAAACCTTTTACTCACCCAATCCCAATGTTCCTCGTCACTCCACCTCGTCCGACAAGAAAACCTAAGGCGCACGTTCAGCGAACATCACAAGCACATGAGGCGCTCCCCATATGAAAGCATTGAATCAATGGGGATTTAAAAGACGCTGGATGTCTCCATGCAAAGCGTAAGGACGTCCAGCATCAATTAGGCGAGAGTCGCTTAGTGAGCAAGAAGCGCCTTTAGTGGCTGTCAGTCTCGAAAACTGCAATTATATATATTGTATGAGTAAGGGCAGTAAGAACACTGTACCCAGACCACTTCAATGAGTTGAAGTAGTCTGGGTATCTATAGTGTGCCTTAAGCACTATTTCGATGTAAAAGGAAGGACTGAGTGAACAGCCTGAATAGCGATTTGAGGAAGCCGAATTAATGGCGAAACTAGTCATCACGTGGAACTTCTTTCCCCCAGCCCCCGGAAGTAGTACTGGCATGTTCTCGGAGACTCAGACTTGTGCTCACCTCAGCTGCTAGCTGGTTCTCCGTTCGTCAGCTGAATTGGAGGCAAATTGTGTAGCTGTCCTGGTTCTGTGTCAATTCTGAGGCGAACGTTATGCTGCATTTGAAGGCAAATTGTGGGTTGTCCTGGTTTTAACGGTTTGAAATAAAGGCCATTTCCTATACAACCGTCCATGTGGATCCAATTCATTGAGGAGCTGCATTGCTTTGAGCAGTACATAACTGCACCCTGTCTGTGAGGGCCATCCTAACCCCTCCCCTCTTACACTATGTTGTTTTTCTTTTGTCTTTTTTATACGTGAAGCATTTCCTGTGATTTTCCAATAAGCATTTGACTGTAAGTTAATTTAGTAGTTATCACTAATTGAATTATGCACTTTACATTGTCTCACCCTTGCTTGTATGATCACATAAAGGTGTATTAAATAGCTTTTATACGTACACACAGTCATTTACACTTTTTTTTTAAATTATTATTTTTTTTTTTGCTATTGAGATAAAGCGGTCAGAGTATGTAATACTATAGAGAATTTATCTTTATAATTTCCCTTTAAATTTAATTGAAGTAGAGCCGTGTAGGGGCATTTGACTGTGTTCGACAAAACTCTGCAATGTATCCAAAAATGTCATCCCATAATCTTGCGGTTAGAAAGCAGGTCCACCAGATGTGTTCAAAGTTGCTCCCCTATAATGTTTCCCCCCCAAGCAAACTAAACAAAATAAACTTAAAATACATACACAATTGGAATTCCGTTTAAGCTATAGACCTTCGCCATAAATTAAAATTATCTTTCACATAATAAATTAGAGCACTATAGTCCCTTGTATTCTGACCTTGAATATATAGATTTTCTGCACTGGATTCTTCACCATCTAATGGTTCTTCTGGGTCATGAGATTCCCATTGTCCTGCAGCCACCGCGTTCCCACTTGAGGCATTCACAGCCACCACCTATGCAAAATAGGTGCATAATTAAACTAAAGGTAACATGCATACTGCAATCAAGACATCACCTTATAATGAAAAGAGGCATGACAAGAGGAAATAGCAACCACTTTCTATCTAGAAAATAAAATCAGCTTTCAAAATAAGAGCAAATAATTGCTCTCCAGGGTGTGAGTGACTTCTATTCTTTTCTATCCTTTGATTTATTTTTTGCAGTCTTGCATGATTATTTTATTTGAATAAATTTTTCAGCTTCCTCCAGAAGGGAGAGGTATTTTACCAGAGAACATAATATTACAAAAACTGTGATAAGTAGTTAAAGGGATTCTATAGTGTAAAGAATACAAAATTGTCTTCCTTACACTATAGTTGCATTTGTTCCCCACTCGGCACAGGTAAAAAAAAACCTTGTAACACTTACCCGATTTCAGTGCCAATCACCCTCGGCGCTAGGGTGTTGCTGTGTCTTTTTCAACGTCACCTTACAGGAATGGGGATGGGCTAATGCACAAGCATAGCGAGCACTTTGCTTCAGTTCTTTCTTATGGGGATATAGCCGATGCTGGATGTCCTCATGCAGAGAGTGAGGACGTCCAGCGCCGATTAGGCGATCAAAAGTCGCTGAACCACCAGAAAGTGCCTTTAGTGGCTGTCTAATAGAGGCGGTTTTAGTCCTGCAATGTAATCATTGCATTTTTTCAAAAATGGCAAGGATTTACATTGCAGGACGAAGTGTGACTGGGACACTGCACCCAGACCACATTTAATTGCAAAAAAAATAAAAAAAATAACCTCCCTACTAAACATCTTGACTGCTGGATGTGCTAATGATGTTCAGCTTCTGCAGCAACAAGGACATGGCAGAGATCTGTCCACTAGATCTGTTCCTTTCATTGAGAATGCCGTAATAAACTCCTGCTACATATAGGACCAGAAGTCTAATATGAATGAAAGCATGGCAGCTAACAGACAGAACTAGCTCAGGAGTTGAGGACAGCAGCATGACACTACAGTGCCAGTGATTTCTGGAGCTGTGACAAATCCAAATAGCATATTGCACAATGTCTTCCTGAGCCTTAGCTGCCTGAATGTCCCACAGGCAACGAGTCTGCATTGTTATTCGCTAAAATGTGAATAATTGGGAAATCAAAGAGTTTTACATTTTAGGTCAAAGCATCTAAACTGAAAACATAGACTTGGGGAATATTTCTCAAGTTCAGTAATTAACAGTGAGAAGGTTTTAGCAAATACATAGGTTTCCACCTGAGAATCATTAATCCTGTAGGCAAGGACCACGATATACACTGAATAGTTATAAAGAGTGTGCATCACCTTTACCCCTTAAGAAATTAATATTATACAGGCCAAAGCAAGTACACTGGAGAATGCTCGCTTTTTCACGGTCTGACCCAAACTAAATACTAGGCTACAAACTACGGAACACATGATTTAGGTAAGATTCTATCTGCATGCACAGACATTACAGGAGGATCATTACATGTCTCAGAGGGGAAGTTACCGAGGCAAGGCTGTGTGTGGAACTTGAATGCTTGCATGGATCAATAGACGAAATGCCACTTAGGGTATCATTGCTCTTACTGCTGGGACTCTGTACCCCGCGGGAATATGCTGGAAAAACAAACAAAAAATAAAATAAATACATGAAGAGTGTCCAGGACAGACGCATTTGAGCAATATATTTAAAGATAAATAAATAATCTAATGCGGTTATGGGAATGACACCAAGAATTGAGCATGGAGATATTGTTCCCAGAATGGAACAAATGACAACGAGATTCGTCATTAAAGGAATACGTTCAAGTCCCCAGCCCTTTTCTGTCTTCGTCCATTTAGTTGGCCTTCGAGTGTGACCATTTTCTTACCCAAAGATCAGCTGCTTTGCATAACCATGCGTTCATATTACAATTACAGGCTTGTCCACCACCAGCTTGCTATATCACTTGTTTTCTTTTATTGATCAGAGAGAAATTCTAATGTGGCTAAATATTGGTGTGAAAGCCTCTGTCCTGATTAAAAGGGAAACTCCAAGCACCATGATGACTTCAGTAATTTGAAGTGGTCATGGTGCCAGGCATCTGTGTGTGCAGTGCTTTGCATTGCAAACACTGTACATACAGCAAGGATTAACACCTTAGTTACTGGATCAGTATTCAACTCCGGCAGTGTCAGTAGCCCACCCAAAATAGAGTTCCGGGCTGGCAAGTGTCAATTCTGTGCAAAAGTGGCATCCATTGCCAACACACACAGCGTGTGGGCACCATACAGACAATAGCAGCAACCAACCCTTTCATGGCGCCCATATCATCCTATCAGTTCGTCCTACATGACCTCTCTCCCCATCATGTTGGAGGGGAGGGGGAAAGGAGAGGGCCACCTTAGAAAAGGTTTCTCTAAACAAAACTAGTGACTTCGGGGAAAGAAAAACCACTTGTTTTTGGTTACAGTAACCGTTTAACCTTTTTGAAATTCTGTCTTTTTCATGATTTTTTAAAATTTTGTTATGGTAGAATGAGGACTATGACTTGTGTAGTTCTTGCTTAAACTAGAATATTAAAAGGACACTTCAAAACCCTAAAACACTACAGCTTGCTGAAGTGCTTTATACCAGGAAAATGTGTCTCCCCCTTTCCCTCCCCCCTCAATATTTCCCAAAAAGTGCATATTTCAATAGAAATGGACACCATTAACCTTGTTACAATCACCAGCTGTTAACCAAACAGGTCCTGAGGCAGCTACTGCACAGAGCACCAACCTTGCAAAGACTTCTTATTGAGCTGCATTGGGAAGTCTGTGATTGGACACCTACGGAAAGTCTGGGCTGGGTTTGAAGGGGAGGGCTTGCAAAGGCAGCAGACAAGATAACTGCATGTTTTGCAAGCTGCTTTTAGATATAACTCCAATGGGAAAAAAAAAAACCAAGCACATGTATGTTTTCATTGGGGGCATATTAAAAAAAAAAAAAAACACACATTTCTTCATTTTTTTCCAACATATATATATTCATTCTGTCAGAAGAGTCACATTGGGAAAAACTGAAGAAAACTAAATAATGTTACAATTACCCTATATTTAACTAAGATGTTTATCAATTCGCTACTTTTCATGGATTAGTTAATGAACATCTCAGCCAGTGTACAAGTAGGCCTCACCTTTCTTTACTGAAGAGGTGCGTCTGACAGGTAAAATACCAGGTATAGGTACTCCTCCTGGCTTCAGTCCTCCACTATCAGCGATTTGCTTCTTTTTATGTTTTCTGCGTTTCAGCTGGTGCGCAGCAAGGGCCAGGGCAACAGTGCCAAGTGCAGTGGCGAAAAGCACCTTCCGGAGCCCAGGAGACAGTCTGAGCTGTGAGAACGTGGTCTAAAAGAATGGAGACCATTAGAAACCCGTATAAAAGCGTACCACAGCAAACACACGAGTTAGCACAGGGCTCACACCATATCACTGCGGTTTACATTGGACAGATTTGGAAGAGCCGCTATGAAAGCAGTTTCAGAACCAGAGGGGATATCTTTCAGAGAAAATGGGTTGCCAGGGACTCTTTAATTGCTTATTGCTAAACTAAACAGTTCAACACTGAATGAAAGTACAACGCCAGAGGACTCCCAACACCATAACCACTTCAAAGAGATCTAGCGTAACAGTACCTAGAGTCTTTTTAACTAAAAAAAACTGAGGGACGGCATCCACAGACTTTCTGCACCATGATTTTAAAAAGTGGCAATGATGGTGCACTCTGTGTTCCTTTACAATTTTGCAGGAAAATACTAAATTATTAATGGCCAACCTGGACAGCAAATATAGGCTGAAAGCTCTGGGCTAACCCACGGTTATTAAAATTTACAGTAAACAAATGTTAACTGAACAGAAGTTTGCAGAGAATGGAGATTGGAATTGCAGAATATAAACATTAACAGCACAATTAAGAAAATTACAAAAATTCAGATTTTCTTTTCTTGGCCATTTTATTCCCCGCTTGCTGTAATTCTCAGTGTCGGCAATAGATTTATTTGCAACATTTTAATACCAGTCAACTCAAATTTAAAAAATAAATAAATAAAAAAATTTAAAAAAAAATTACTTAAAAACTTTTAACATTTAAAAAAAAAAAAAAACCACACACACACACACACACACACACACACCTCACCCACTTACAGTTCCCTATCAAAGTTACAATTGTTCTTTAAAAAAAAAAATGTTTAAATCGGAATAATATCCACTTGCTGTATATAATCAAAACCTAATTGTTGGTGTTTTTCACCTTTCTGAAGTTCCTAAAGCTCCCAATAGCAAATAATAAAGAACATTAACAAGATAAAAATCCGTTTCACTTTACACACAATTTAGTCCAATCTTATCATACATCAGTGTACTTTCAGAATGATAACGCAGTTACCTGGCCAAAGGTTGTATAGAGAAACACAGGGATTTCAGCGACCGTCATAGCAAGGGCCTGAATGATCGACATCCCCTCTGCCCTCTGAAATGCCATTGCTGTCAAATAGGTGGAGGAATCCAATAAAGGAAAATCGCGTGATTCGATTTCGCAATTAATTATCCCTCTTGAGTATTTAAGATAGTAACCAGCCACAGGTGTCCCATTTTTTTCATTAACCTAAAATAAAAAAATAGAATGTTTTATTTTAACTCATTTACAATGTATGTTCAAAAAAAATTTAACATCAGAAATATAAATCGCCAATGCCTGGAATGACGATAGCCGGCCTTGAAGTATTTAATTGATTGTGTCAAATATTTCTTCGGGGCTCACCAATTCGAGCAGGTAATCACATGACATAACAAAAGTACAAGGAAGATATGAAGCTATAGTACTTTTACAGAACCGAGGTAAAAGTTGTCATGGCAGTACAAAGCTTTTAAAACTTCTGATGTTGAAATTGGTTTAAAACAAAGGAGGAATGAATAAAAGCACCAATCTGCTTAAAATTCTTTGCATAACACGTCGGAGCACTCATGAGTCTGTAACCCATACAAAAACACATTATTTTATCCAAATATGCGACTAATAGCAGGACACTGATTCGGACAAAAACAAGCAATTTTTGTTTTGTTTACTGTAGCATGCATTATTACCAAAATATTAAGAATTCTATAAAAATTATGCAGGATCTCTCATCTAACAAAGCATGTTACACATGTTCTGGAAAACCACTGTAGAAGCACAAATGCCAATTTTGTAACATACAGTAGGCATGTCAAAATAATTAATTAAACATGGTCACATCCCTTACTTGTGGAATTTGATAGTAATCTTCTGGCATTTTGAGGAGTTCAGATTCCAAATGTTCCAAGTGTGCAGAGCATAATGCCAACTTACTGTAAATACAGTTGCCTGGCTAAGATCAGAAATCTGTATTTAAAGTACACTGCAGACTATTCTTACAGCATGTACATATACCCCAATGAATGCTTGGAGGGACCCCAAATTCCTACTCCCTGCAATTGACTTGTGAAGGTTTTGGTACACTGGGCAAGGAGGCATTTTAGTCATAGTCTAATCTGTGTGAGGAGGAATTTGTTTCTCAAACAGGTGAGGAGCAGAATATTCTATATAGATCTCTATCCATGTTAAAATGGCAGCAAGAAGTCACACATTTCCAGCTACCAGACCTGGTTTTGACCCTCAGTCAAAACTTGTTTCAATTAAAAAGCTGACAATCATTAGAACTGTACACCAACAACTGATGGAGAGTTGCAGTTGGTCAGCCCTGTGCGATACAAAACACCTTGTGTGGCGAGTAACAATCTCACACTATGCATTAGTCAATATGTAGCCATTAGACTTTGCATTACAACAGATATTGCTCGCTTATCAAGAACTGATAGGGTTTATAGACTGATCATAATGGAGTATTTACAGCAGAGTACTTTTCGGTTTCGACGTTTACAGCTGGAATAAAGGAAACCTCTGGGACCATAACAACTTTATCTCAAAAAAAGTTATGGGGCCTAGCGTTTCCAGGTGCCATCTTACCTTGCAGTGTTAAACTCAAAAAAGTTAACACCAAATTTATTTCCACAGGCGCGTATCGGGCAGTCTCTTCTCTTTCCTTCCCTCAGCCGCTCGACACATAAAGCATTGCTTGGGCAGCCAGTGATAGACTGATAGCGTTGGTTAAAGCTCACAGCCCATCACTTGGCACCCACTACAAGTAATAATAAGTACCGTAACTCACAATGGGCGGTCAGTGGCTGAGAGAGTTAGCAGACGCTTTCAGTCTGTCGTTGGCTCCGCAAAACAATGCTTCCTTATTAACAAAGCAGCAACGCCATTGAGAGATGGCCTTTTAAAGGGGCACATTCAACACCATAAGCACTACAGCATGTTGTAGTTCAAGGGTACCCAATAGGTAGATCCCCAGATATTTTAAAACTACAGCATTCTAAAGGCATGAAATGCATCATGGGAGTTGTGGTTCAACATCTGGGGATCTACGTATTTTACACTTACCTGGCTCTGTCTGGTGACCACGGTCTGTACTGATCAGCTAAAGCAGATGTTCATACTTTAGTGTTACTCAATCATCAATTGCTTTGCTCACAGCAGATGGGAGGACTTCTCATAAAGAGGCATTGGTTTCAATGATTGTCTATGAGTAACCGTGTATTAGCAGAGCGAGGCAATTTCTGTACATGGACAATAAGATCCCAGTGTTTCCCTATCAGAAACATTGTATCGGCCCAGGAGATCACTCAGACAGCAAAGATTTATTCACTTAAACATGTTTTTAACAACTGGTAATGACATTGTGAGTTCCAGGCTAAACTAGCCAAACTGGATTTTATTCCAGGCCAGCCAGAATTCCAGTTCTGCTGTTTCGCAATTAAATTGCAGTTTGAACACTGACAAGGTTATTCCATAAAATGTGAATTTGCAGGAATTCTAAGTGAATTTGGGGTTTTAGACAAAAGATGAGTCGATCTGAGTTTCACTTTCAGTTCGCAGCTTCATGGATTGCCTTATGAATAATCAGTAGATAAGGGACAACCGAACTCCAGATGTGTTGCCTCTCTTACTGGGATTCTAAATAAAGAACATTTCTGTGATGTAAAAGTGGAGCAATCACCATGGAAACCAAAAGGAATACTCCAGCTGATTGGTCTACATTTAGAACTCTGCAACATAATTACAGTTCACACAGAATCCCACAACATATGGAAGATGTCTGTACCTCAGATAAAATTTGGGGACTGTGCTTTTACAAAATGTGCACCGGGGACATATCAGAACTAATGCATAATGCATCACTAATGAAAAGGGCAGCAAGATCACCTTACCTTTCCCTGCTGACCAAAGCCTTGGCAACATAAAGTTATTACTATATAGCAATCATGTATTTATTAATATATAGCAATTATGTATATATATTCATGTATTTATTAATACTATATGGCAATCATGTATTTATTAAAAAGATATACCGGTATATAGCATTCATGTGTTTATTAATATATAGCAATTATGTATATATATATATATATATATATATATATATATATATATTTTTTTTTTTATTCATGTATTTAATAATATATGGCAATCATGTATTTATTAAAAAGATATACCGGTATATAGAAATCATGTATTTATTAATATATGGAAATAATGTATTTAATAAAATTATATAGTAATAATATAATTTATTCCCAATATATAACAGCCATCCCATTGCTTGATCTGGAAGATCTTGCACTGACCCAGCACCCAGGGCAGGACAGCCAACCTCAGCACTGTATAGAATTAAGGACTACATTTCCCATGGTGCTCAGTCAGTGTAAAGGCTGGCTGAGGATGCTGGGATTGTAGTTCAGGAACCAGCAGTGTGACCAGCAATGTGGGGTGAGACTCTCAGTTACCCAGCACCCCCCCCATTAGATGGGCAGCTCACCATGCTGTCAGATAAATACCCATTACCCATAATGCCCCTGGCTATGTGCCTGCTCTCCCAGCCTGGCCGCCTAGCCCTCACTCACCGCTTGCAGGCTCCCGAAGGGCAGCGTCTCCTTTAGCCTCCCTGCCGCCACAGGGGTGGATGCCAAGATGAGTGACAGGCGGAGCAGCCAATGGAATGCAAGCATTCCCTGGGCCGAAGGGCTAAGAAGTGCGATCTGGATGCAGCGATTGGCCGCACGAAGGTCACGTGTGCTTCTGCGTAAGAAGGGCAGGCGATGCTTCCTGGCTGCTGAGGGCTGCTATTGGGCGAGGGCTGTACGTCATGAAGTGGTGGGCGGGGCAAGGGTTAAAGGGCCAGAAATATGTGAAAGGTTTAGGGCAGTGGGTGTGCAGCATTCCCATTTCAGTTACTGAAATTCAGTTATTAGGGATCTTAGTACAGCATGGCTGGCTAGGAATACTGAGAGCTGCAGTCTGCAGCAGCTAACACACAAATCCTGGCTTTCACTGACACTATTATTATTATTATTACTATTATTATTATTATTATTATTACTATTATTATTACTACTATTATTACTATTATTATTATTATTACTACTATTATTATTATTATTATTACTACTATTATTATTATTACAATTAATATTATTATTATTATTACTATTATTATTATTATTATTATTACTATTATTATTATTATTATTACTATTATTACTATTATTATTATGCTCGCCTTCAAGATTTCTCGAGGGCTGCACCGTTCCTGTGGAACTCGCTTCCTTCCTCCGTTAGATGCTCACCCAGTCTCCACTCCTTCAAAAAAATCATTAAAAACCCACTTCTTCATAAAAGCGTATCAATTAAACTGTTAATAGCTCCCAACTGATTCCGCTTCTGCAACTGTCACTAGTCTAATACTATCCTTACCTTTTTGTGTCATTTTACCCCACTCCCTCTAGCATGTAAGCTCATTGAGCAGGGCCCTCAACCCCTCTGTTCCTGTGTGTCCAACTTGTCCTGTTACAACTACATGTCTGTTCGTCCACCCATTGTAAAGCGCTGCGGAATGTGACGGTGCTCTATAAATATAATATTAATAATAATTATTATCATTACTATTATTATTATTACTATTATTATTATTACTATTATTATTATTACTATTATTACTATTAATATTATTATTATTACTACTATTATTACTATTATTATTACTATTAATATTACTATTATTATTATTATTACTATTATTATTACTACTATTATTATTATTACTATTATTATTATTACTATTATTATTACTATAAATATTCCTATTATTAATATTATTACTATTATTATTATTATTACTACTATTATTACTACTATTATTACTATTAATATTACTATTATTATTATTACTATTATTAATATTATTATTACTATTATTATTACTACAATCATTACTATTATTATTACTATTATTACTATTAATATTACTATTATTCTTATTATTATTACTACTACTATTATTATTACTATTACTATTACTATTATTATTATTATTATTATTATTACTATTATTACTATTATTACTATTAATATTACTATTATTATTACTACTATTTTTACTATTATTATTATTATTACTATTATTATTATTATTATTAATATTATTATAACTACTATTATTACTATTATTATTATTACTATTATTATTATTATTATTATTACTATCATTACTATTATTATTATTACTATTATAATTATAATTATTACTATTATTATTATTACTACTATTATTATTATTATTACTATTATTATTATTACTATTATTATTATTATTGCTGGTAGTTATATAGCGCCAACTTATTCCGCAGCGCTTTACAATATTAGAAAAAGGGAAAATTTAACAATAAATGAGACACTTACAAAATATTGTAAAGCGCTACCGAATCCGTTGGCACTATATAAATCGCAATAACAATAATAATAATAATAATATGCTCTATTGTCATCTTTCTTAATTCTGCATCCATCTGACATCCAGCTAGCTATCTTTTAGATATGAATAATGACTCAGGACTGGAATTGTCCATTCTTATTTTTAAAGGAACACTCCAAGCATCAGAACCGATTATGGTACCAGAAGTGCCCTGGCGCTCCTCTTACCTATTGTAAGTAGTCAGATTATTTTAGAATGATTTGACTACTTATCATGGATCCTCCAGGAGTCACTACCTGCCTCTGCCACTTATGACAGAGAGCTGGGAGTTTTCGATTAGCTAAGCCTTACAGGTTCCGGGCTATCTCACTGGCTGAGAGCTTTAGCTCATCACACTCAGCCAAGGAGCTAAGTCCTGCACCACCAGGCTTACCTCATCCGGAAATCATCCGGCTCTCACTGAGCAGTCGTGGAGGTGGGGAAAAACACCAGGCGGACCCCTTGTGAGAAGTCAAACCATTCTAATACAGGATGACTACTAACAATGGGTGGGATGCTAGGCCGTCATTGTAGCGCTCTATCATTGTGTTTATGGTGCTTGGAGTGTTCATATAAAGCATTGAAGAAACAATGGATAAAAATCTGCGCAAAAAAGTAAGTAAACTTTTAAAGTTCCTGAAAGGGAAAGTATATTAAAAAAAAACTAGCGTTGTTATGCATTAGAATGATAATAGATTAGATAATATGAGTTTAGTAATTGCAAAGGTAAAACAGCCACAGAAAGTCTGGGTGGGGTTAGAAGAGGAGTGCGTGACAGGCAGCAGACAAGAAATCTGCAGCTTTTAAAATGTATAATTAAATGCAAGCGTGTTTTCATTGGGGGTATATCTACTGAACAATAATTTAATGATTTATTTTATTTATTTTGTGTTTGGGAAGTGGAGAGTCCCTTTAATGACTCCTACATTATTTGCACTTAATGTGCAAGGAAATAAATGTGGGCGCCTGCTGGCCAAGTTCCTGCAACAAAGTCACACCTTTATATACTTCAGATGGTGAATAAGGCAAGCTATGTGTGACAATTTTCATGAGTGTTCTTAGAATAGTATCACGCAATTCTATGACCCGTGGTTCAGGTGTGCTAACCCACATGCCAGGAGTGCACCACGGCACCCCAGGCCAGCTGGCAAGTTCTTGCAGGTCCTTATCCTCCCAGCGTAGGGTATCACTCTGGGGAGAAGGACAGCTGGAGGCAGTATAACTGTAGGAAAGCATTAACAGTCTCTTATTTCTTGAGTAATAAGATACTTTATTAAAGGCTGCTGAGATCCATGCCATCATATCCTGCCAGCCTACGAGGCAAACTGTTAAATTGTTTCACTACTAGCTCATCCTACCCCAACAAAACAGGCCTCCTCCCAAGAAGCCACTGCTATCTCAGTCCCCGCTATTAAAGGACCACTGTAGGCACCCAGACTACTTCAGCTCAATTAAGTGGTCTGGGTGCCAGGTCCCCCTAGTTTTAACCCTGCAGCTGAAAACTGTTTACACTGCAGGATTAACCCAGCCTCTAGTTGCTGTCTCCCTGGGCAAGTTTGAATGTGGGTGGGCCTCTGGCGGCGCATGCCCATTTGGCTCCACTCGAGAGCTGACGTTGATGGAGGAGGAGAGGTCACCAGCATCGAGAGAGCCCGACGCTGGATTAAGGTAAGCAAATAAATGGTTAATTAACCATTTATTCGCAGCGGAAGGTGTACAAGTCACTGTTTAGTTGACTAGTGCTCTATAGCGTTGGGAATACATATATGTATTTCTAACGCTATAGTGTTCCTTTAATGAAGTAACATGCTTAAATGTGTGTCTGCAATGTATGTGTAAGTAAGTATGTGGGTGTGTGTGTGTGTGTGTCAGTGAGTGAAAGTGTGTGCATCAGTGTGTGTGAGTTAGGTGTCAGTAAGAGTTAATGTAAGCATGTAAAAGACGTACGTTCCACAAATAGGAATTTAAAATATGATGCTTAAAATATACATACTGTATATTTATGCACATAAGCAAATGTTTACTGCTAACGTTGTGCTGGTAGTTTTCTCTTCATTTAAATTTCTAGATAAAATATATAGGTGCACTTAACCTCACGGTACCCACGTTGGAAGCTAATGCCCTAAAATGCCAATTCCCCTTCTGGTGGTGCCCATCCTGCATGCGCTACCTTGGAACAGTCATCACCACGGACACACAATCCCGGTACCAGGCTAACTACCTCCCCCTCCTCCAGCAAATCCAGCGAGATCTGGCAAAATGGTCATACCCAGGGGAGGGCTGGCAGCCTTAGGCCTGGGGGGCAAAACCAGTCAAGTGGCCCATTACACCACCAAATCAGTGCAATGGTGCCCACCTTTTCCTGGTTTTATAACGGATATTGATGTTATGCTAATCAGTAGCTCTTTGCCATACCCGCTTCTTCACGGCTCTGACTTTCAATGTTGTCAGAGCACAGGCTGAGAATCTCTGAGCCTGTGCTCTGACTCACTAACTGAGCGCCGGAACCACGAGGGAGAGGCTATAATCTGACTGCACCTACTGCTGGTGCGCACCAGTGGACCACCAGCGAATCGTTTAAATTGAATAGGCTGGTGTCCCCAACTTGTGAGCTGTGTTGTCCGCCGGGCGCCTCTGTTGTGATGGCACCCTGCGTGACTGCACAGCGTGCACACCCCAACGCATGGCCCTGCTGACACACACTGATGTTACTACTTAGAAATCCCTCAATATTAATACAGACATCAGAGTAAACACCAATAAACTGTGGAAACAGAGCTGATCCCACCCAAATTTATAAAGATTTGCTTACTGGATTTGTTGTAAGATTAAATCATGCCTCCTCCTCTCTCTCTCCCATGCGCTGCTCTGTAAGCTGGGAGGAAGTGAAGAGTAATCACAATCTCCCAGCACAGTGGCACCTGTGGCTGCATGGGGAACAGCTGTATTTGCCGCCCCCCATGTGACATCACAATGCCCCACCTATATGAGCTGCCTTACGAACTAACGCCAGTGCTGCCCACAGTGTGTGTTTACATTAAAAAGCCTGCAGGGACCGGCTATAGACACCAGAACCACTTCATTAAGCTCCAGTCGTTCTGGGGACTATAGTGTCCCTTTAATGTAATGTAAATTATAGATTATTGTCACTAATAATATACTAGATTGCCTACTTACAACCAAATGAGGATGATGATGGGCTGCAGTTTGGCTCCACTGGTCTGGTGTAGAACAGGATCTCTGGAGGCTGTTTGCAACTGTGGTCACAAAATTCAATGTTCTGGGAGAATTGGAAGCAGCACCATTTTTTGGGGGGCCCCTTACACAGCTCATAAGTCCACTTATATGTTCCACCCACCCATGAGTTCGCTCACAGGGAGTGGAGTGTGTAGGGGATGTGTTATGTGTTATTGTAGAGGATCTAATATGTGTGCTTATGGTATGTAGTGTATAGGGATACCAGTTTGTGCAGGTGATGCAGTGTGTTGGTGTGTAGTGGAAGCAGTGTGTATTTGTGTATAAGGGATGTATTGTGTGTTGCTGGTTGTGTGTAAGGGATGCATTGTGTGAATCTGTGTTTGTATGCATAAGGGATGCAAGGTGTGTGTCTGTAAGTGTGTGCATTGAGTGTGTGTTAGTGATGCATTGTGTTTCTGTGTGTATGTAAGAAAAGCAGTGTGTGTGTAAGTGTTTGCATTATGTGTTTCTGTGTATGTGTGCAAAGGATGCATTGTCTTTGTATGTAAGTGTTGCATTGTGTGTGTGTAATGGATGCATTGTGTGTTTCTCTGTGTGTAAGGGAAGCATGTTGTGTTTCTGTGTGTGTAGGGATGCATTGTGTGTTTCTGTGTATGTATAGGGATGCATTGTGTGTGTGTGTGCGCGTAGTGTCCTCTCCTCCCTGTGTCCTCCTCACCTCCCCCTCCCTGTGTTCTCCTCACCACCCACCTGTGGTGGAATCTCGGTAAAAATAAATTTAGTAGGCCGAGATTACCACGTGGCATGTGTACGTGCATATGCTGACGTATCGATCAGTTGGTTGCACGAGGCAAGATACGATCAGTAGTGTACGGAGCATGTGCAAGAATACAGGATGTAGTATTCCCCTCCTCCATTGTGCTGGACAAGCCATGCGGTCAAGCAGGAAGTTAATTCTTATTTGTAATGATTGGTCAAGAGAATGTGCGGGTGGAGCTTAATATGGGAGGAGTTATGTGCCTATATAGGGAGCCTGCACTATTGTTCAGGGCTCAGAACTTGCTGTATTTTTGGTGACATTAGTCCCTCTGAGTCCCGATCGGTGATCCAATAAAGAATCTCTTCCTTCCTGAAGAAACCTGTGTCCATCCCTCTGTGCTTTGCTTCCGTCAGTTTCTCCGGTATCATTTGGTGCATTGGCCGGGAAGCTCATCGTTCAACGGTAGCTGAGAGGCAGAGGCGTGAGACGGTCTATCTTTGCCCACGCTCTCTACGGCTGCACCCCTGAACTTCTGCGTGGACCTCCCTTCGTCTCGGCGCCACTGGTCTGTTGTCCAGGAGATCATCGGCCTCTACGTAAGAAGTGCTGGGGTGTCCCCGTCGATGAGTGTGAACTCAGGTTCAGGAACGAGGAGGTAAGACAACTGCTGTTTTAGACGGCAGACCCACTAGGGGTATACCGATTGTGCGGTAGGCCCAAAAGGGGTTTAAATCTGTGTATGGAATCTGCCCCCTCTGTCGGAGGGAAGGAGCGAAGGCGCACCGCTCGATCGAACGCTCTTTAGTAAGACCGCTTTGATCTGGTTAGTCAGGCGGGGTCCTGTGTAAATAGCCCTAGCCGGACACCGGTGTCTTGTCTAGACTAGCGTTCTAGGGTGTATATTACGTTCGCTAGGTCGGAGGGACCGGGAGACTAAGCGGCGCCTGTGTAAATTCGGTTCGCTAGCTCTCAACCTATCTTGGCTAAGTGGGAAGGCGTGTAAATTTGGAACCCACTAGACTTTTGATAGAGTAAATAGACTAGAAGGGCAATTTTGTAAATTTCGCCCTCTAGTTCGCTATATGTGGTGTTTGGGCAGTGTGGCTAACCAAAACGGGTGTATATAGTTTTAGGTAGTCCATTCAAGGTACTGGCCAATAGTTTAGTTGGGATTGTAAATGTGTTAAAGATTGTTAGTAAAGTGTATATCTTGTCAGATAGCGCGAGCTCAGCCGTCTAGCGAGAGTGTTAATAGTGTGTTGCTGTATCATAGTGCACGGTACCATAACCCTGAATATTTACTGACACTGTATATAAGTACTAATCATTGTCGTCTATTGCATGTTTAACACCCTAACCACTAATAATTGTATTGTGACCTTAAATTGTGCTTTGACCTATGCTAACCGTACTGTAACCGATACTAGTAAAAGGCGATGTTACTGGGGTGTGTTATAGACGGGTAATTCATATATAGAGAATTATAGCGTGGGTGACTGTATAGTTTCGCCAAAGGGCATAATATTGATTATTTGGTGACTGGTGTAACAGCTGTGTGTGTACGGGAATTCCCTGA